TAGGGTTTAGGGATCACAGGAGTATGTGCTTATCATCCTGTTACTGCAAGGACTCTACAGGGATACTATTACTTAGGCTCTGCTATCAACGCTAAACCCCGACCCAGTAGAACCGGGGGAACACCCGTCTATCCCGTTGACACCCTCAGAAAGCAGCAATGCCTAGACACCAAATCCCAAAATACGAATGCCGAATGCACAAATCCGGCAGGTGCCTTGCACAAGATCCTCTTGTTCTGGAAGCTCTTGTGCAAATGCTGCGCTACCAATCCTGGGTGTGCTGGGGGTTCTTACCTAGACCCAAGAGTAGCCTAGGAATCAAAAGCGTGCCCTTTTTGGTTTAAAGGGCGTTATAAGGGAACCTAAACCCTAAGAAAGGGAATGAGGGCCTAGGGTTGAAGATTCAAGCTCCACGGAAAACGCAGTTCGTCTTGCGCTGCAGCAGGCAATGTGAGCCTGGGTGTCTCTGGCTTCAAAGCCCAAAGGGTCCTAGGTACTGCTATGGGGAAAATCCTTCCCCGAATCGTAGTAGTAATTCCTAGGAAGCACCGTCGAGTTTAGAAGGTCTACGACAGTAGGAGGCCTTTGGCTATTGGGTCGTCTAATAAGGCTTTGAGGTCGAGGGCTTCACGCTATCACAACTCGGACTCTGCGGGGTGGCCTAGGGCCTCAGGCCTTTTCCTTGACTTGGGGATTTAACTCTTGGAGGGCAGGGTTTAAGGCTTTGAGGCTTTCAAGATTCGGGTTGATTTAGAGTTGTTCTTTGCGTGAGGTTCAGAAAGTAGGGTTTGGGGCTCAATTGGCCCCCTGTACGTCCAAAACCACTGTTGCCCCCGCAGAAGCTCAAACCTAGAAGGCCCTAGTACCTACCCATAGGCTCCATAGTAGTTCCTTGCTGGGGTTCATATTTCGAAACCCTAAACCCTAAACCCTAAAATCCTATATGGTAATCCCAACCGTCTGCGACCGCTCCCTGAGCTCTCGCCGGATGAACATGTCATGCCGCAGAGGTTTAGGGGTTAGTGTTTAGAGGTTTAGGGGGTTTAGTGTTTATAGGGTTTAGGGTTTAGGGGACTCTGCTGACACCTACTATCCTATAGCATGTGGGTAGTTGTCAAAATTGGGGACCCTAAATATTAGGTGCCGTGTTATAGTAAGGACCCCCAAAAGGGATCCTAATTTTGACAACCACCCATGTGTACGCAGACATTATACAATGAATTACCCTAAGGCTCCATAGTAGTTCCTTCTTGGGATTACCTTCTAGGGTTGTAAATATGAACCCCCCCAAGGAACTACTATGGAGCCTCTGGGTAACGCCTGCAGGGTTCCGTAGCGTGATTTCCTAACATGTTTGGGCTTTAGGGTTTAAGGGTTTAGGGGTTTAGGGTTTCCACGCTCACACTCACAGGCAGGCAAGGCTCCAGGGGTTTAGGGTTTAGGATTACTTCAACAAAGTTGGGCTTTTGGGCTACGGGTGCACCTGCAATACCCTCACCCCCTAAACTCCCTACACTATGAATCCTTATAGAAAGGCCGAGCCCTAAACCCTCAACCCCCTGGGAAGCCTTACAGGAACCCCTTTAAGGATCCACTTCTAGTGCTCTGCAAGGGCTGAGAGGCCACCACAAAGGGACACATAAACCCCTAAGGGGGGATCCCTTGAAGGAGCCCATAATATAGGGGCCTTTAATAAATCCCAATACTAATTTGGGAGTTCCTTTTCATTATTATAGTGCAATATAGCCCAGATTCTAATTTTTAAGGCCCCTATATCATAGAACCCTGATAGTACCCGTATAGACCCCTTTTAACAGGAACCCTATTTCTAATTATTAAGGCCCCTTATTTGGGAGTTTCCGAAAATAGGGGATCCTAAGATAGTAAGGTACCCCTAGTTTTCGGAAGCTATAGCCAAGAGTCCGAGGGATACCCTCCGATACTCCTGGAGATCCTCGAGGAGGGAACGGAACTCTCTTGTGTCGACCTTGCCGGTTTGGGGCTTGGGGTTTAGGGTTTCTGGGATAGGGGTTTGGGTTTCGGGTTTACGCTCTCACGACTCGGACATGCCAGGCGAGGCTCTCGGTGCGGGGTCGGCGTGAAACACTGGAATCGGGTTTAGCGGTTTCGGTTTCGGGTGTGGGGTTTCGGAGTATGGGTTTAGGGCTACCTGGGTGACAGAGAGGGCCCGCCTTGAGGTTTGGCGGGGGGAGGCTCGGCGAATGAGTGGTTAAGAAAACTGTTGGGTCGGGGGTTCGGGGCGGGGCTCCGTATAGGGGCCTGAATAATTGCAATAGGGCGTTGGGGTATATTATACCATAATCATTAAAAGGAACACCCAAATTGCTATTGGTAATTATTTAGGTCTCTACCTAGAGGCTCCATAGTAGTTCCTTTTTGGGGTTCATATTTAGAATCCTATAAGGTAATCCCAGAAAGGAACTACTATCCTTGTAGGGCTGGGTACAGTAGGATCTAGTAGGGCCCCCAAAAAGCACATAAGCAAAAATTAGGATAGGAATCTCCCATATACATCTCCTTATACTGAAGCCCAATAGGGTAGGGTTATCCCCATAAAACGCTTATGCTTATGTCCTTTTTGCGTCCCTAATCTAGCTCTTTCGTCCTCCCGCTGCGCAGCAGCGAGCCGCATTTCAGGGTTGACAATTGAGTTCATAGGGACCCCTAGGGGGCAGTAATGCCCATAATAAGGACCTAATCAGGCCTATTTTGAGAGGTATAGTCCCCTACCACACTCCCCCCTAAGGGTCCCCATGACAAGATTGAGACGGTCAAAGCTTGCAGAGCATCTGTATTGTAGGACCCTCCTTGTACCCTCAAGGAGAGGTATATGGTCCCTAATAGTAGGGACTGAAGGTCTAAGAGAAGGTAGAAGGAGGGTCTAAGTTGTATTGATAAATCTTCACTTCAGGGCAGAAGGTTTGCGGCTTTAGGCCGAAATTTAGGGTTGGGTTGCAGTGGCTGTGATCTTTGGGAGTTCATGCCTTATCCGTACCCAAACCCGCAGTACAAACACAAACTTCACAGATACTGCAAGCCCAGCAGCCAAGGGCTGCGACTTGTCCGTCCACTCGCCCTGCTCGGCAAAGAATGATGTGTTGTCTTAATTGCGCAACCCCCTGTTACCTTGCCGATTCCGCGTTACGGGCTACGATGTTCTACGCATGTCGGGTTTAGGGGTTTGCAGTCTCGGGGGGGGAGGCCGTGGGGTGTAGACGAGTTTGGGGGTTCACGGGTTCGGGGTTTTGCTTTAAAAGTCAAGATTGTATGCCATTGTATGCCCTCAATGCGGGTATCTGGGGGGTATTGGGAGCATTTCACAACATAGGTCGGGGGCTGGTAGGAGTGTATACAAACACCGGTTCAAGATTGCTTAGCCACCTATATATCTACTCAATCTGAAGGTCGTCCTCTGCCCTCCAGACTCCAGCAATCTCCAAAGGGCCTCCCCAGGATCCGATGCATCGACCTTGCCGTCTGAGCCCCGGGGGCACCATTGTACACTTATAGGGGCTTACCTTTCCTGGATAGTGTCACCTCTATAATGGATCTAAGTGTCTGAAGTTCTCTGAAGTGTCATCTAAACTTTTGGCCACCTCCTCTCGTCCTCTCACCCTCCCCTCTCCCCTGACAGCCTCAAAGCTGAAACATAAACGCCGAACCCCGAACCCTAAAGCCTAGAACTACATCCGCCAGCCTTAGCCAGGGCCTGGGGGAGTTTGTGGGAGATGATACCTCGGCCCGGGTTTTTTTTTTTAGGCTTTAGGGTTTAGGGTTGGGTTTAGGGCTTACGATAGAAGCCCCAAAAGTTGGAAACCCAAAAGCCTCAATCCTTAAGAGTAATACTATAAGGAATCCCAGCACTAATGATCCTTAATCCGGTTTTTCAAGTTTTTGGGATTTACCAGATTGGGTTTAGGGTCGTGGGGTTTGAAGTAGCGATTTTAAGGTTGAGGCTTCAGGGTCTCTGCACAGGGCTAAGGGGTTTAGGGCCGAGAGGTAAAGGGTCCCTCTTCGGTGCTTGGGCTTCTAGGATGCCCAAGGATGCCAGTAGCCTAGGAATAAGAAGGGCTCCCTTTTTATTTTTGCTATTGGCTAGCTTTATAGGGAACCTAGGGCTATAAAAAGGTAATAAGGGTACCACTGGGCATCCTCGGCTTCAGGGATTAGCCCGAAGAAACCTTGGCTCATCGAGACTCTTTGGGTGGATCCGAGTACAGATTAGGGTTTAGGGTTTAGGGATGATTAGGGATGTCTAGGGCGTGAATGGTTGAGGCTGTAGGGCTGACGCTTCATGGAAGTTCGTGAACGCAGTGTCATCAGTGCTTCGGCAATCACTCTTTGGGGCAAGCCATGTGGTTAGAACAGCATGTCAAGCTACAACCATGGCCCCGCTGAACCAAGAAATTCAATAAATGTCCTAGAGTGGTCCCTCCATTACTAGCTTCAGTTGCGCTATTGTTGTCCTTGCCTTGTTCACCGCTGGTTAGGAGTATTCCGTAAGGACAATCCTGGGACAAACGTCCCCAGGAGCATCGGTAGTTTAGGCGCCTTAAAGAATTGCACATGTGCAACAAGGAACTCTACAAAGTAATATTGCTAACTCTTCAAGCCCCTTTCTCAAGGGCGTTGGGCTCTGATGATGTGCATTCACTGAGAGTGACATGCAATCGACTCTCGATCTTGGGTCGGGAGGGGGAGGGACGATGCTGCATCCTTGGGGTTTAGACTTGAGCATGTAAAACAGCTACCTCGATGAGAAGTTTATCTGACCTACTTGTCGGGTATCATGGGGAAAGAAAGCTTAACGTTTTTGGCTATATCGGGATTATATAGGGACTATACTACCCAAAAAAGGTTAAAGGTTACCTACTTTACTACTAGGTATTCAGAATCAGGAGGCTGACTAAAATCTGTTGCATTTCTGTTGCCTTGTCCTGGTCCCCTGTGCCAGAAGCCACTGCCCGCAGCTGCCCATGCTACTCTGGAGGAGAGTCGGCATGGGAAAGCGTATCGCTATATGTGAAGAGCGGGTAGTAGCTCCTGTCGTGTGGCCAGGTGATTAGGCACAATGCAAGGTGAGCCACTGCCAATGGAGGAATCAAAGACGAATACTGCGCCAGCTCTTGGACGAGCAGCTGCACGGGTTTGGCCACGAAGCCGTGCAAAAGTGCTGCACCCATGTAGATGATGAAGAGCTGTTGCATCGCAAATAGGCTTCCCTCTGTGCTGCTCTTCACGCTGGCCCACGCAGAAGTGAATTCAGGCGCATGCTTCTCAAAGAATATCAACATCCATTGATGAGAGATAACTATGCAGAAGTTCAAGTTTGCCAAGTAGCTGACCCAGGCTGCTGCCGGCTCCGGTACCTTGATGTCGAGAAATGTGAAAGCCAGAAGCGAAAATTGAAAGGGCAAGCCTGCGACCATGTAAGGCAACTGCTGCCTGCAGTGATGCTTCCCAAAGCCGAAAGCCTCCCAAGCGGGATGGCCCTCGATTAGCGTGCTCAGCCCGAGGGTGCTTCCGATAGCCGCAAGGGCTACGGGCGTCCATCTATGCGAGATAAATCCTGAAGGCCCGCAAAACCGTGCCAAAGCTCGGCAGGCACAGTGTGTTAAGATGGCAGAGGGTAGCCGACAGTACCAGAAGGATTGATAAGGTTCCCAGGATACACACACCTGGGGCTGACGGTCCACATCCATGCACATCCAAGCAACATAGGCCAATGTGGCGGCTGGGATTACACCTGGTAGCACGGAGTCGATTGCATGTGCAGCTCCGAGACACCACACGATCGTGTACTCCAGGCAAACCAACCTAGGCTGACCCTTTACAGCCTCTCAACAATTTTGGGAAATAAAATTGTCTTAGCCCGACGAGGAAGCCTGTAAGCAAAATACACCAAAGGCCTACTTAGCAACCATGTCGATGTCTGCCACGACGGGTTTGGCAGATCGTCGGCCGGGAACGCTGGTCGCACCCAGTCTTCAAAGTTTCGCATCGTTACAGCCGCTAGAAGCCATTCCGACCAACCTTTCAAGTCGGCGCGCGGCTGCTCATGCTCGAAGAACAGTTTCTGTCCGCAATACCACGGGGACGCAGGACGAATGAACAAGCAGACAAAATGCGTGAACGCTATGAGTGTGCTTCCTTGTATTGCTACTTTCCGCAGAATCTTCATGGCAAACGACTGCAATGTCAAGCGGCGAACTGACATCAAGCGAACCGTCACCACCACAAATATGTCCTCCAACCTTAGAATATCTGCTCCAGTCATATAGCAGATAGGCCATGAGAACGGAAAGGGCTGTCCCCTGTGGGTGTCAACCACGATCCATGCTGCCAGGAGCCTTAAGATGTCTATCGCCACATTGGGAGCCGTGTCTTTCGATGCCGCTGCGCCGCTGCTTCGTCTCCCGAACACATAGCACCTGCAGCCCCAAACCAAAAGCCTTGCTTAAACCTCTAAACCGTAAACCCTAAACCCAAACCCTAAATCCCCACAACCCTACAGAAAGTACGTTAATTTGGAGCCTAAACCCTACAGAAGGTACTTGAATTGAAGCCGCAGCTACAGCCACGGGGCCAAAAACAGACTGCAAACTCCGGCGCAGAGAGTCAGAACAAAGGGAGCTCGAGATGGGGAAGTGCAGGAGTCACCTTCTTTAGTTTACCCTAAGGCTCCAAAGTAGTTCCTTTTTGGGGGTTCATATATAGAACCCTACAAGGTAATCCCAAAAAGGAACCACTATGGAGCCTCTGGGTAGTGTTTGGGTTTAGGATTGAGGGTTTAAGGTAGGGTTTACTAGGGTTTACGGGGATTCTGGGGTGTTTTGCGTCACCTTCTTTTGGGCAGGGGCTGAGTACCCTAGCCCAGAAAAGGAGGATTACATAGACCCCAAAAGTTAAAGGTTATCTACTCAGCTACTGAGTTAGGGTAGGTCTATTAGGGTTTAGGGGGCTTATGGGCAATGAGTCACCTTCTTTCAGGTGGATCTATGGGGGTTTAGGGTGACCCATATCATGGACACTTGATGAACAAGATTGAGAAGAAACATACTAAACATAGTCGTCCAACAGCGAAACATTTTGTGAGCCCCGTGCTCCCGTAATTCTAAACATCACGTTACAGAAAACAACTTGTGCCTATACTTAGCCCGTGTTCCAAAACCGCCTTGACGCAGGTGTTGATCTACTCGGTTTTTTATGACCACGTGGTTCACAGAAACCTGAGCAATGCAGTTCTCAGGAGCACCCAGCCTTCTCGAACCTGCTGAAAGGTGGCACCTCCAAGAATTACCGGCCCGTCGATGCGGCTGTCTGCCAGGAGAGGGATAAGCGTCACTGCCGCTTCTCCAAGGTTGCAAGCAACCGGCAGCGTGAGCACGTATGCGCCCTCGTGATGTTTGCGATCCATAGACCACCAGTCGAGCTTGACGATGTAAATGTTGCACTCTATATCATTCCAGCACATCGCAGCTTCTTTCATCCGGGTACGGAGCTTTATGACCTTGTTGATATCCTTGGGAGGCGGGGGATAGATCTCTTTCCTGCTCCACATGGGCAGGAGCTGATACTTGGAGTCATACAAAAACTGCTTCAGGCAAAATCTTTCGAGGTCAGCATGACTGACACCACCAAGCGTAGCCGGGGGCATCGGAGCGCCTTTCTGTCGAAACTGCCTTTTCGCTGCTTCGGTCATGTAGAGTGTGCCACTGAGATGAAAGAACTCGGACATCGGGGAGCCTCTAACCTGCTCCACATATATCCATTGTTCCGGGTCGGGCAGCTCCAAGCAGCACCTCAAGTATGTGTATCCTCCTCCGTTCTCAGGGGAAGGGTCAAAGCAGCCTCCATCGGAGATCAAGACTTTCAAGACGTGGCCAGCAGATTCGCAGCACTGTTCATATGTGAAGCTGGAGCCCTCTTCAAAACATGGAGCATCGTGGTCAGATGACTGCATTGGCGGAACCTGCCCCGATAGCGAACTCGACGCAGATGTTTGAACCCCCTCGCAGCACCGATCGAAAGTGAACTCGGCGCTGAAGCAGCTGCTATCTTGGAGTTTGCAGCAGAGCTCCCGCACATCGTCAGGTACCCCGGACCAGCAGGGATCAGTGTCGCCGTCGCAGCGCAAGAGGCGGCATGCTAGCAAGATAGCCAGTGGAAGCCCTCCCCCTGACATGCCGGAAGGCAGCGAACTCAAGCCTGGAGATCTGATGCCATGCAATCGGCAAGCTAATGTAGGAACCTGATTGAGAAATCCTGCCCCTATAACCTCCAATATACTAGGATTCATATAAGGAACCAGAATGAGGGCCACAGGTTTCTTAATCAGGTTCCTACATTACCCGCTACTCGGGGATTGAAGCATGCAGCTGAAGATATTCATGCGACGTCTTTGGGTAGAGCTACACACCGCTTTCACAATCGAGAAGTCCCGGCAACCGGCACTTGCCGGAATTTCAGTCACAACACGAAATCCTCTCCTGAACCCGGCTGGGTTAAGCTGCGGTTCATAAGGTGGGCCTGGTGGGAGCTTTAACTACACGAGCTTGGACACAATTTTAGGTAGCAACAGCAGCAGGAGGCCGAACAACTCGCAGTATGAAACTTAAGCAAATCATCAACGGGCCCTACTAAAGCCTGAACCCCTAAACCTGAACCCTAAACCCAAAGCCCTAAACCCCAAAACCGGAACCCTAAACCCAAAGCCCTAAACCCCAAAACCGGAACCCTAAACCCAAAGCCCTAAACCCCAAAACCGGAAACCCTGAACCCTTCAACCTGAAGCCTCAACCCTAGGCCCTAACCCCACGCTATGCACCTAAACCTCACCCTCTACCCCAGCTGAGCTACCGATAAGGAGACTAGCTTCTCGAGGCCTCTACTTACCGCTCCTAAGTACCTATGTAGGAGACTGTGGGGTTTCTAAAATCGGCGAGGAATTACCATTATCGGTTTGGGTAGATGTAGGAGAATGTAAGGTTTCGATAATAAGAATTACCGGTACATCATGTATTTGGGTGAGTATCCCCCATACAAGTATCACAGAACCGGTATACTTAAGATCCCTTCGGTTTACAGCTGGAACACGTGCATCGTTTGCTTCCCGAGAAGGAGACATGCCAGGAGGCGGAAGAGCTTCAGTTTCGTTTCAGTGGTTTAGAGGCTCAGGGTTCTCTTCCCAATGCTGTCATCGTCTAGGAACTTGAAGAGGAGAATCTCAACACCGCCAGCCGCACCGAACCCTCAACATAGCTCCCGAAACCGACTTCACAGCAGAAACATCCAAAAACCGTAAACTCCAAAGCTCTCCTGCCAAACAGAGCCAGGTGTCCGTGGAGCATCAGGTAGTAGAGGGCTGGAGGCAACCTGACGGTTTAGGACTTCGGGATGTTTGGCTTTTGCCAATCTCCCTGCAAGTTATTTAGTTGAACGCCTTTTTCCAACTGCAGGGATTTAGGGTTCAGGGGTTAGGGTTGAAGGGTCCAGGTTTGGGGTTCAGGGATTTTGCGTTGTTCGCTGGAATACCACTGCTAAGTATTCCAGCCGCAGGAGCAAAACAGAGAGGCACCTCAATGTAAATCTAGCCAAGATATCCGGCCGCCGAGACAAAGCCTAGGTTACTGAGCAACCCCTTTATAATAAGGCTACCCTTTTTCCTACTATTCGGTTTTAATCAGGGGACCCTAAACTAAAAAGGGCAAAAGGGCACTACTCAGGAACCTAGAAGCCACAGAACACAACAATGAACATGTTTCATCAGTCCGGCTGGGGGAGTTGGAGGCCGAGAGGGATATGTATAGAGCTGCCTTCTAGAATGATATACCTATCCTCTCCATTCTACTTCCTTTCTCGCTATAGCCTGTTTCATATTTAGGGTCCCGTAAGGCAACCCAAACAAGGAGCCACAACAGAGACTATAGGTAGACAGGTTACCTTAAGCCCAAACCTCGAACTGTTGCAAACCACGAAAAACCCTAAACCCAAATTCGCCCGTGGTTTGAAGCATTGGACATGTTGGAAAACCCTAAACCCCTGAATTCTCAAGGTCCCGGGAGCTTTTGGCCCAGCATTGTATAAACACCCAAAAGGTTACAAGTTACCTGCCCCTCAACCCTAACCCGCAAAACCCTAAACCCTAAGAATCCTCAAGATCCGGGGAACTTTTGGCCCATAATGGCGGCGAAATCGCTAGGCACTGGCGGAGGCGAGTCCTCGGTTGTCACAGAGCTTATAGGCCTCATAGGGTTCAGGGTTTCGGTGCTCACACTCGGACAATCCCGGTGAGGCACATGCTTCGAGGTCTGTTGAGTGAAACGACACTAAGTTGGGAGCTCCAGCATAGAGTAACAAGCACGCTCAGGTTTAGGTTTAGGCTTTAGGGTTTATAGTTTCCCAAAGGCTTCGAAGTACCTATATAGTCGAATGTAGCGTTTTTCATACTAGGAGTTTTTAGTATGACTAGGACCCTTTGGGTTTGTAGGGTTCAGGGTTTAGGTCGTTTCAAAGCTGCTGTCTTCCAGGCACGACAGGTGGGGTGATCCAGGAGCCTGGATGATTAGACTACGGTTTGGGGGTATACTCGGTGCAGTGACAGTGAGGAACTCCAAGGCATAGTCTTGCTAATCACTTCCAGGTTTCATAATAGAACCCTAAACCCTAAGTAGTAGACCGCATGGCTTGGACTTGGGGTTTGAGGTCAACTTGGGCTGTTCAGGGTTTAGGAGGTTTGAGATCGAGTTTTTGGTACAGGATGGTTTAGTGGTTCCCTAAACCCTAAACCCTAAACCCCTAAACCCTAAACCCTAAACCCTACGCTGGGTGCCGGGTGAAATATTTATGAGTCCTTGGAGCAGGTTGAGACCTGTCGTGTAGCTCGGCGGAATTCTCTGATCTCTACTTAAAGGATCATGGGACTTAGTAACTAGGGTTATAAGTAGGGTAACTATACTTATAACCCCGATTAGGGTACTTATAACCTGACTTACTAAGTCCCATGATCCTCCAAGTAGCCACTCCTCTGCGAATGCTACATGGCTGAGGATACCGCGCAAAAGAGATACACTCCCACATACCTGTACGACTCTGTACGACATAGGGAAGGCCAAAGGCATTAGATGACTGTGGCTTTTGAGTAGTAACGAGGCGTGTCACACGGGTCGTCGTTCTGTGGACTCAAACCAAGATTTGTTAACCAGGCTTCCCAAACCCTAAACCCCTAAACCGCGCATTTTGCGCAGTACATCTTGTAAGACCTGGCATGACCTGGCCAAGGTACCCCCGGCTTGCATGCGCCAAGCGGTCGGATGGCATAGTCCTCAACCAGACGGTAATTGCGTCAAGTCCCCTCCGTAGAATCGCTCCAGCAACGCCTACCTTGGTCCCTGAAGAACCTATACCCTTTTAAGAAGCTGCACAAGGAAACCATAATAAGGAACCCTAGCAAAAGGTGGGTTCTTCAGTGCCCGGGTACACCCCAACCCCACGAAAGAATCAGTACACTTCCGTGATCTGAAAGGCTTGGTTCCTTCATGTTCTCTACGTCTACATGAGCCCACAAGCCTACACGGACTCTCACAACTGGGATGCTCCAGGTATGGCGGGCCGAAGCAAAAAGCCCTCGAAACCAGAGCAATATAGGGATCGGAATAATTCCAACAAATTCTTCTTTGTGCTACCTTATCATGAGAATAATATGTATTAACAAATTACCACGTTACCACAGCAAACATTCAAATTAGTGCCGCCGCATTAGTACATTGTTTTCGGGACACCATACAAACGACTGTGTTCGGAGAGAAAGCTGCCCAGCTTTCAATTCGACACTCGCTCCACACCATAGCCCCAAACCCCCTCAAACCGCAAACCCTAACCTAAACCTGCGTAAAAATGCCCCAACACCCAGAAGAAGCTAATAGTCCACCGCCAAGGTAACCCTTGAGCACTAAGCCCTCAAACTTAAACCCTAAAGCCCAAGCCCTGACCCCTCCAACCTGATACCCGAAGCCCTAAACCTCTAAACCCCTAGCCCCGTAAACCCTAAGCCCCAAACCCCAGAACCCTAAAAACCCTAAAACCTCCACGCTAAACCCCTACCTAAACCCTAAAGCCTAAGCTGTCGGGTCCTGCAGGTGCAAGACCGGAGAGTTCTGGACGAGCACCTGCTCTGTGAGTCCCAAAATCCAAGTTAGGCCTTTGGGGCTGATAATAGGGTTCCTTTAATGGGTTCCTTTAAGGGATACTACAAGGGGGCAAGGATTTAGAACAGGGGCCTTCATAATTAGAATACAGCTTCGGGGGGCCTTCAGGGTTTTACGGCCTGGAGGGTTCAGGGTCTGCTGATGAGCAACACCAAGACCCTACGGTACTACTACGGTTGATGATATAAATCCTGCATTACCTTAAGGGCCCTAAACTATGGGAATTATGGTATATTCCTTATTAAGGGTCATGCAGGATTTATATCATCAACCGTAGTAGCCAGCCAACCAAGTACTAAAGGAGCAAGTACGTTCTGACTGTCCCATGGTGCTTCGAGGGAGAGGCTCAAGTGGTCTCTCCAGGCAGCATACTATATCAAAATAGGTCAGTATGTGTATATCAAGGTCTGTATAGTCATGATACTGGCACCCGCAAAGACCGGATGGCACCACAAACACCACAACCCGCCAATAGTCAGCCCAAGAATGGAGGTAAGCATACAGTTCTGACCGTCCCCTGGTGCCTCGTGGGGGGGAGGTTCATGTGACCTCTCCGGACTGTATGCTTTGCAAGAAAGTCAGATGTCTGTCAGGGTCTGTATGTTGAGTGCACAAGAGTAGGAGATTGTCAAAATCATGGCCCCTTTTTGGCTACCCTAAATATTAGCTGCCGTATTATATCAGGGACCCAAAAAGGGACCCTAATTTTGACAACCACCCATATGTACAAAAACGAAGCGCATACTCAAGATTATATACTCGAGATAAGTCGCTATACGCTCATTCTCATCAAAATTTCGACACCTGCTGGGTCTGCTGGGTCTCATGGTCAGAAGCAGCCTGTGAGAGGCTGCTCCCGTCGCCGACTTCCGTAGAACCCTGTGTAGGTGACGATGGGTCCGGCTGAAGCGCCCGGCCCGCGGCTTTGCCCTGCGCTTTGAGTTCTTTCTTGGCCGGGTCCGCAGCTGCTGGAGCTTCACCCTGGCGTTGTCGAGCCAGCTTGGAAAGAAGTGTCGTGATCTCCACATCCTTCCCAAAGGCTCCAGGTACCCTTATAGTAGATACTTAAGCCCCAAAGTAGTTCCTACATAGGTACTTTAAGGCCTAAGTATCTACTATAAGGGTACATGGAGCCTTAGGGCTTTTGCTTCGCTGGACGTTGGCAGGGGCAACGCGGCTCATGTGGGCCTTGAACCTCTCGGCGCTGGGAGATTTCTTTGGCATCAGAAGAAATCGAAGAAATCTCAGGGCTTGTAGGGTTAAACGGACGAGGGGATTAGAGAGATGGACACTTTGAACAGATGGATGGCTCGCTGCACACTAACAGCTTTGGGCTACAGAGGTGTTGGGTTTTGGCTTCTTTTGCGGTTTAGGGCTTCTAGGGTTCAGGGCTTGATAAGGGTGACAGGGTTTTAAGGGTGAGGAAGTGTAGCGTTTTCGGGGTGATCGAATGTTCGGAGTTCGGATCCACAATACTTAAAAATGATTTAAGCCTGAGGGATAGTGCGAACAACTCCCTTTTTGAGTCACGTGCTGGGGCCGGGCGTCTGAAGAAGCATCGGATTGACGCAGAAGGCTGAGGGAAGCTGTAACTGAAAGAAGGGAATCCGAAAAAGAGTGTAGCAAAACTCAGATTTCAAGCCTGTAACACCGATTGAGCTCTCCTGATTCTATCGTCAGGGACAACCTCAAACTAAACTACAAAACCACTACGTGCAAGTTCATCAGCAATGAATGCGGGAATGCCAGGCAAATACTCTTCAATATCATCGCATGAGGCCAGTAAGACAAGAGTGAAAGGTTTGGGCAGCTGCAGCTTGACGACCCCACAAAAAGTCTCACAAGAATGGATCAGGTGACCACCTCCACTGTATGACTGCGCCCCATGTGTCCGATCAACCCAAAAGAACCTGAAGGCTGACGTAGTCCGTGCAATGCACACGTATCGCGTCCAAGTCGAATAATTCCCTGAACCCTAAAAATCTATCCAGGCTTCTACACTAATGTTGGAGTGGGCGTCGCAAAGTTGAGGGTTGTAACACATGTGATGATTTAGGGCCGAAGGTGTAGGGTTTGAGGCTCGGGTTCGGGGTTTAGGGCTTTCAGGACTAGGGTGAAGGGTCTAAGGCCTAAGGCTTCAGGTTTGGTGCGGTTTGTCGTTTTCTTGCTTTCCAGCCAAGGTTGCAGAGACGGAAATCACTTAAACCCAAGCTGAAAATTGGGAAACCCTTAACCTGAAGACATCCCCTTAAGATCGAGCCGAAGACAACCATGCCTTGCAAATGCAGTAGCCGTCCACATGGTCGGTCTTCATTTCCTCGCAGGCTGAAAGAGTTTCTGCAAGAGTTCCTCTGAGGGGTGTTTAGGGTTGAGGGTTTCTGCAGGGGCTCTAAAGGGGGTTTCTCGTTTCCAGCATCTGAAATTTCAGACCCTACGCCCTATTACAAGGGTTTAGGCATGGGTAGGAGCCTCCTCCTCCTCCTCCTCCTACTAGTACCACTACGACCACTACGACTATACTACTACTACTACTACTACTACTACTACTGCTGCTACTGCTACTGCTACTGCTACTGCTACTGCTACTGCTACTACGACTACTACTACGACTACTTCTACTGCTACTGCTACTGCTACTGCTACTGCTACTGCTACTGCTACTACGACTACTACTACGACTACTTCTACTGCTACTGCTACTGCTACTGCTACTGCTACTACGACTACTACTACGACTACTTCTACTGCTACTGCGACAGCTCCTGCTACTACTACCGATCGTGACCCTCTTGTGGCCCTTGTGCCTGTTTACACAACTGTGGGAAAGGTGTTGAGCACGAGCTGCATCGAGAGAGCTGGGTGCGTCGACAGGGTGCAGGGCTTGAGGACTGGGCTGGAGAATGTAGGCTTTTGTTTGGGTTTATCAGGATGAAGGACAGCTTTCGCAACTAAGAGCAATCGAGCAAGTGGACGCGCTTCATTTTTCGATTACGTTCTGCCGAAACCCACTATCAAGTAACGCTTCAAGTGCGTGCTGCTACTGCGATCTAGCAGATACAAGCACTCATAGGCACCACCCTTTAGTCCTGCCCTCATTCCCTACAGTCATAAACAGCACCCCGAATCTCTGCACACTAAACCCGAAAAATCCTACTTTCCTGTGTTCAGTGCTTCTTGTAGTATGGGCTTAGGGAGGGTGTTAGGGTGTAAGGTTGAACCCGACAGACGGCTTCGGGTTTGGACTCCACTTTGGGGTTTAGGGACATGCCAACATGCAACCAACGGAACTCAGCCATATCTCGCCGATTCACACTGATCAAACTCATACCTGCAACCATCCAATTCTTAAACCCTGGCCCGAACCGCCGAAGCCCTAAACCCTAAAAACCCTAAAACCCTAATCCCCAAGCCCTTCGCCCTTAAGCCTTAACCCTGAAGAACCTACCTTCTTAGGGTCCCTATTATGATTTCTTTATATAAGTCCTTAAAAAATATAGGTTCTTCGGGGTTAAGGTAAGCCTTATGTAGGTACATTTATAGCGAAACACTCACCCAGAGGTGTCCTCTGATGGAAAGTGGCCCATCCAGTCAATCAGAGGGCCCCTGGGCAGCGGCAGTTTGAAGAGTGCGAACCCGCCCGACCCCCAAGAAGTAACTCATCTGGCGTTGCCTGTAGTCTCCATTGATACATATATATATATATATATATATATATCATACATATATATATATATATACACATATGTTTTGGAGGATCTGATAAGAGAACCTGGTAACCCCTGAAAAGGAGCTGCAATGGAGACTATAGGTAGAGTTGCTATTATATAGGTCCTGGACCGTGGCAGGTACCCAACACCCAACCAAAAAGCATTCACATCTTGGTGGTGAGCCTGTAGCCTCAAGCCCACACCTGGATCGTCGGTTATGAGGTTGGGGTACTATAGTTTACTATAGTATCCCGTAGAAAACTTGAATATCGCGTAGTAGCTGGGACGGCAGTTGCGAATTTGTTCTACTCTCTATGGCGTCCGCCTATATGCAAAGGCCACAGCCCCAGAATGCCTCTCCCGAAATAAGACCTATGAAGCAGAGAAGGATTATGAAGGTATGTAATATACATATGTGTATGCCTAGGAGAATAGATTGTATGTGTATATATATATATATATATGTTTGTACATGTAATATACACATACATACTTCTTAGTTTTATTAACTCTCTCCCGACCCCTGCGGTACCTAAACTGCGCCAAGACCTGCACGTTTTGTAAGTCAAATGCTGATGTAAAGAGCCCAGTGCCTGCTACCTTAAACTAGAAAGGGCTCAAGTAGATTTCGGAATAAACAGATATTCTACTTGGCTTATGCCCAGCTTAATTAAAGGTTCAGTGCCTACTGCGAAACGAAGTAACACCTGCAGGCCCCCAAGCGCAAATATCAACCGGAAACTCTGTCCGAATTCGAGGATCTAACGGAGGATTCTCGGAGTTAAGGTCGGGTCTTGGGGGATTTTTCGGGTTTAGGAGATTAAGGGGGCATGTACAACAATGACACAGCTTACGTATGTCCATGTCTGAGAAGCTACTATTTCGGCCCCAAGCCCAACACCTCAACTCTGATACCTCGCATGATGTTGCTTCGGACCGGAATCAAGGCTCTTGCTATGTCATAATAGGGTCCTTAATATTTGGAATAGGGTTTGGGGGGTTTTTGTATATTATACTCGAACTGTAAAAAGGAACCCCCAAATAGTATGGGTAATTATTCAGGCCCCTATAGTATTGGCTCATCTGAGTCTGAAGAGCATAAGATTTGGGACCAAAGGGGCTGTTTGATGATGTACACGGCCGCCTCGAAGTTAAATCGGGCCTGCTGCTGCTGCGTCGTTGCCTGCCTGAGTCAGAGACTAGACCCAAGAGCACCCTGTGCATAAAAAGGGTGCCCTTTTTGGTTTAAAGGGGCTTATAAGGGAACCTAAACCCTAAAAAAGGGAACAAGGGCCTACTCTAGGTCCTAGGAGATAGTTTGAAAAGCGGTCTCAGGCTCTCGCAGCCTAGCCTCAAAGTAGTGAGCTCTTGGGTGGCGGACGAAGATAGGCTCTCACTGGAAACAAGAACGGGTGGGATGTTCATAAATTCCGAGGGGAGTGGCATCTAGAGCGTGGATACTGCAAATTTGTGAAGTGGCACGTGCACTCGGCGGCCTGGGCACATGCCTCGTCACTGCGTCCGAACGACAAGTACGAGCAGTTTTCAGATGTTGCACACATAACTCATGACCCGTTGCGGTTAGGGTTTAGGGCTGCCGCAGCTACGCACGGAAAGGGAAGCTAAGGCAGCTTCGCCCTAGCGAAGTGCCCGCAAACAAAAGCATCTGAGCCATACACGGAAAGGTGTAGGTACGCAAAGCAACAATGATACCAGGTGCTGCATTGGCGGCCCACTCAAGTTCAAGTACGGGTAGGTGAGGCAATACCTCGGCGAGCGCGGCTTATCTGGCTTTTCCGATTGCTCAAAACTTCTCCGAGTCCTAAACCGACTAAAACTAAGTCCTGCATGCAGACGGTGGGCTGTGGCCTTTATGGAGATCTTGACATTTGGCCCGCACATTTCTGAAAGGTGTGGGTTTATACTTCATAACTTGCAGATATCGAGGAACATGGGGGAATCGGGGCAGAAAACAGTTTTGGGTCACATTGCAGTATCGTCAATTTACATACTGCACGAGAAACTCCAACACATTTTGACAGGACATTTTTTCCAGAGGCTGCCTTACTTAGGAGGCTCTAGGAGACACTCCAGAGAATCGGGGTGGAATACTCGCTGGACGCAAAGGTGGGGGGATGGAGAGTGGAGAGAATTTTCTCCGACTGACAAGGCTTGTAGGGTTCTTTAGGGCTTGTACCTAGACCCCCCAACTACCGTCTACCTGTAATATACACCAAATACCCACTCTTCAGGACCATAAGGGCTCTATTAAACGGCCTTTTGGGGGATCCTGGTGGGGTGTAGGCTTGAGGGTCTAGCGTTTAGGCTTTTGGGTATTACACTTGATGACCCGGTGGGGGATGGTGTGTGTGTGTGTGTGTTTGTGCTTTGATTTTTGGCTCTTAGGGTTCTCGGGAGTGTAGTCCCGCGCCCTGAAGCATGATATGGGCATCCCAAAGCTTCAACTCCACCCGCCCACCCCCCCCCCCCCCACAAAAAAAAAAGTGCCAAAATCACCTATCTAGTTGTTCGTAGGGTTTCGTTTGTAGGAATTCTCACCATGGGTTTGGGTAAGTATCCCCCACATAGGTACTGAGGACCCTTTGGGAGTCCCGAACCTTACAACCCTGAACCCTAAAAAACCCTAAACCCTAACCCTAAGCCCCAAATCCTACAACCTGAACCCTGAACCTTTTCTTGCTGCAGCCTTGTTTTGCAACCCCCAACCCTAAACCTCTAAGCTGATCTCGAGCTGCTCTGTCCCGGCGAGCATGCACGCCTCCACGAAAGAATCCCAGGACCTTGGCTGGCAACTCCACCCTCCTGTTGTACTACACATATATAAGTATACCATGATACACTATAACATACTGCAATAGAATATTCTATATTGCTCTAAAGAGCCCAAAACACTCATCCAGGCTTTGGCGCTTCAAGCCGGTCTTTACACAGGCTCCTCTGCGATGCAGGTGGAGCGGGGTATAGGACACCTGCAAGCCGTGCCTTCGAGGACGGGGCACATGATTACGGTGGCCCGGTGCGGTCCATCCTTGTGCCCTACTTGTCGGGTACCATGGGGAACTAAAGGTTAACCTTTTTGGTTACATGGGATTTTATAGGGAATATACTACCCAATGAACATCAAAGGTTATCTACTCTACTACTAGGTCTGCACTACACACATGAGAACCCTTGAAAGAGTCGTGTCCTGGCTCTGGCTCAGCGTGAGCTGGTGTCCGGGCTCCTTACACACGTCATGCTGGTATGAACCTTTCTCACCAGTTCCTTCCAAGACAGGAGCATCTAAATCCCGCCCGTGGTTTCGGGTTGTAGGCCTTGTAGGACCCTATTTGCCCCAAAACTGCTAATCTTTTCAGCTATGGTAGGAGTATATATAGCTCAAAAGGTTTAAAGGTTACGTACTCAGCTACCAAATTGCCGTAAGGGCATGGTACTCCTTTTCAGTTATGGTAGGAATATATGTAAACCCAAAAGGTTTAAAGGTTACCCTGGTGCTCTGCAAGTTTGGCCCTAAACTCTAATAAACTCTAAACCCTTATAACCCTTAACCCTAAAACCCTAAAGTAAACCCGAAGCCCCCTAAACCGCCGCCCAGGTGCAGCTGCCACTTGTTGAGGACGCTGTCCAAATCCACCCAGTCGAAGGTGTTCTGAGAAGATTTTCGTGTTGGGGGTTAGGGTTTCGGGTTTAGGGTTTAGGGTTTGAGGGTTTCAGAGTTTCGGGTGTAGGGTTTAGGGTTTCAGGGTCTACAGGTCCCCATCCACCTATTGTATCACTCTTCCAATCGCAAACTGTGAACCGCCAAAGATACTTGACGGGTTCAGGGTGCTATCAGGCATGGTAAGCGTCAGTAGATCGTTACTTTGATTTTGGCGCACTGCAGAATGTGAATTTGGAACAATATAGGCCAAGGATTGGATGCTCTGGCCTTCACACAAGGCGGAAAGCCGAACATACCTGTTGCAAACCCCTGCCTTCTAATCTGGTCGTGTCCGCTTTGCATACGAAATCCGGAGCCTCAAACCATGGTAATAGTGGGATCCTTATCATAAGGACCCCCAAATAAGTTACCCCTACTTTCCATACCAGGAACCCAGCACCCTGTCAGCCCTGCAGCACGGCTATGCCTCGGGAAGGGACAAAGACTGCAGCTTATACTGCAGGGGAGTAACAAAATCCTGACTTGTTAGGAGGGGCATGCACCAGTACACACCTTATTCCCGCACCTTTCTGCTGTACAAGCCTTAGACACTGCGACCCCTATATCAACCCTAAAGATTCCTGAGTAGCCCCTGTATAAAACAACAAGACTACCCTTTTCCTGCTGCTCGTGTTTAGTAATTCAGGGGGGTCTCTTAAATACAACGGTCACAAGGGGTGCTACTCTAATGTAGCTTCCGTTAGGGGTTCCTTTTAAAGGGGCTGTAAGGAGTACCATAAGGGGTCTTATGGAACCTACGGCCCCGCCTGGCTGAAGTTCAGGTGTATGATCACCGTCTTCACTCCATAGAGGAGCAATCCTTGAAAAGTTCTCCCTAAACCCTTGTTTCAAGGGGTTTAGGGTGTAGGGTTAAGGTAAACCCCGTTTTTGGAGCAGGGACTGCAATCTAAGGTAAACCCTGAACCCTAAAACTCTTCCTAAACAGCGCTCTTAGGCCGGGAAGGTTCAGCGTCTTGGGCCCTGGGCTTAACAGGGTGTAATGCTTGGGGCCATCTGATCCCCAAACACTCCCGGAAAGCCCGAAACCCTTTAACTAAGGAATATACCTCAAGCCCCTTGTAATTCAACATATATTCCCGTTTTTACAGGTATTACCCTAAGGCTACATAGTAGTTCCTTTTTGGGGTTACCTTATAGGATTCCAAATATGAACCCCAAAAAGGATCTACTATGGAGCCTCTAGGTAGGCTCTCCGGGGAAGCCTACACCCTGCTTACGATCAGGTGTCGGATTGTGTCTTTCGGGTTTCATCTTTTGCCTCCAAGGCTAAACAAGACCCAAGAATTTGCCGTTGAGGGTTTATGGGTTTGTGATGGGACCTTATACACAGCTCTCACAAACATACCAGTCACTTGAAGTTGGACTGCTACCTACTCTACCATAGAGAAGCACGTCGAAGGCTTCAACGGGCCGAAACAAGGGTTGGCATAAGCGCAGGTGGCCGCGGTTTGGATGACAGCTTGGTTTGGGCTCCAGAAGTTTAAATTCAAGGTTTCTGGGTTCACGATGTACGTCTGCAGCATGTTGTCAGAGACACCCGCAGCAAATTTGTCAACAAACATGCCGCGGCAAATGCCCAGAGCCTCAAGACCAACTGAAACTCTGAGCCCCAAACTAAATCGCAAAAAGGCGAACTCAAAGTCAAAACGAAGCCAGGTTTCCTGAACTCTGTGCACAGTACACCATAATATACCATAGCATAGATGTTTTATTGGGGTCCTGGTTAGATGGTGAGACTATGGCCATTACTTCCAGTGCTCCCCTCCCCTCCTCCTCTGATCCAATTCTCTCGGCATCTACAGCCTACTTGTCAGGTATCAAGGGGAACTAAAGGTTAACCTTTTTGGCTATATAGGGATTATATAGGGACTATACTACCCCAAAAAAATTAAAGGTTACCTACTCTACTGCTAGGATAGTCTATACCGATAGCCTAGTTCTCAGGGTGTGTTTTATATGGCCTTTTTTGAGGGCGCCTTACTATTTTTGGGTCCCGTGAATGTCCGGTTTTTGGATGGGCGCCGTACAGTTTTGGGGGACCCAAACAGGGACCCTGATTTCGAGCCCTTCTTACTCTGTGGCCCCTAGCCTCAGAAGTCACAGCTGAGGCCCTGAAGCCCCCCCCTAAAACCCCAAACCCTAAAACCCTAAACCCTATAGTACCCCTATAGTACCCTCAAAGGAGCCCTTTAAGGAACCCTACAGCCCTTAAAGGAACCCTGAAGCCTTTAGCGCGGTTAGCGCGGATTAAGGTTCAAGGCGCAGCTCAAGGCTACCAAAGCCGGCGAGCTTTGCAATTTCTTGAGTCAATCACACGCCCAATCAGGCTCTAGGGTGTAGGGGTTTGGGGGGTTTTCCCTCCTACCTAGCACGGACACTGCCCGCGTTGCAGGGTTAACTCCGAAGTAACAGTTTAGGGGGTTTAGGGTTATAGGGTTTGGGTCAATGGCCTGGTGGTCCGAAAATCGTCTGCACCAGGTTTTGCTCTGCGAAATGCGCCAGCCTTGGGAGGTGAAGCTTCGCTCGCGAGGTTCGGTCTTTTAGGGTTGAGGGGTTTAGGGGGTTAGGGGGTTTGGGGGGGCTTAGGAGTTTACAATTCAGGGGCATGAGGCATGGGGGCTTATGTTGGGGTGGCATTGTTTCTGTTGATTGTCTTGTGCGGAGGCGGGGCAGTTTTATGGGCTTTGGGTTTCCGATGTTGAGCGGGCTGGTAGTGCTTCCTACTTGTCGGGTATCATGGGGAACTAAAGGTTAACCTTTTTGGTTATATAGGGATTATATAGGGACTATACTACCCAAAAAAGGTTATATAAAGGTTACCGACTCTACTACTAGTAGGGCCCCCAAAAAAGCACATAAGCAAAAATTAGGATAGGGATGTCCCATATAAACCCCTCTTTTAAAAGGAAGCCCATAAGGTAGGGATATCACCATCAAATGCTTATGCTTCGGTGCTTTTTGGGGTCCCGAACTAGGGCTTCAACCTTGGAGTTGACACAGGTGCTAGACCTAAGAGTCACCTAGGGGGTTTAGGGGTCCTTTAAAGGGTACTATAAGGGTTCCTTTAATGGATCTATAGGGGTTTAGGGTTTAGGGACCTAAGGGTCACCTAGGAATAAAAAGGGTGAGCTGTCTGGGCCTTGGATTTGGAGGCTCAGGGTAATTGAGGGCCTTGCGACTGTATTAGCTGTATTTAGTGTGCTTTGCTGCAACATTTACGGGAAAACATATTTACCCCAAACCCTATTTTAATGATTAAGGCCCCTACATTAGAGCAGTTGGCTTTTTGAGTGTCCTGGGTTTAGCGTTTGGGGATGTCATTACAGTGGTTGGTCCGTCGCGAGTGTAGCCCTGAAGCTGGACTGAATTCCCGAGCTCTCGACGGGGTGCTTGGAGGTTCAGGGTTACGGTTCATTTAACGGTGCCGTTTAAAGGGATCTAAAGGGATTCTATAAGGGTATAGGGTTTTGGGCCTACTTGGAGGTTCATGGGTAGTTAAACATGGGCTTATAAGTCCCCTAGTAAGAGTTATAAGTATAGTTACCCTACTTATAACCCCAGTTATAACTACCCATGAATCTCCAAGTAGGCCCAAAACCCTATACCCTTATAGAATCCCTTTAGATCCCTTGAAAGTACCCATGGCCCAAAACCCTATACCCTTATAGAATCCCAATAGATCCCTTTAAAGGGACCCTTAAAGGAACCCTTATAACTTATAACTACCCATGAACCTCCAAGTACGACCCAGAGAACCCAATACCTTAATCAAGGAATATACCTTAAGTTCTAGGGGCCTTAATATTATGATTTGAAGTATATTCCTTAATTAAGGGGTATTGGGATCTCTGGGGACATCCAACCCTCGGCCATCCGCGGCAAAGGGCTGAGCACCTGCGAAGTAGGGCGCCTGGAAGCACTCGTAGCCCTTTTGCCTGCGTGGACATGGGGTACTGCCCCCCCGTACAGTAACAGCCTATAATAGGGCTACTATTAAAAGCCTAACATATCTATTATAGGGCTACTATTAAGAACCTAAAATATCTATAACAGGGCTACTATTAAGAGCCTAATATCTCTATAATAGGGCTACTATTAAGAGCCTAATACATCTATATGATAAAGATTATCCAAGTGTTACTGAGTGGGGGCAGTACCCAGTGCGTGGGACTGAAGCTTCGGAGTTGGTTTAGTTTAGGGATTTTAGAACGTAGTACCCAGAGGCTCCATAGTAGTTCCTTTTTGGGGTTCATATTTAGCATCCTCTAAGGCAATGCCGAAAAAGAACTACAGTGGAGCCTTAGGGTATGTATCAGTTTGCTTATCAGATTTCGGGCTTATACAGTAGCGGCTGGTTTGCAGCTGATCAGGAGCCTCGGCTATGACTTCATGGGGTGGTGGTGGTCGGAAGAGGAACAGAACCGCAGGCATAATACAAGACGGTACCCTCTAGTCAACTAGAGTCACGCATTACTTCAGCTGGCCAAAGCAGTATCTAATAGAGGCCGTAGCAATTACAAAAAAGGAATGGATTGGTGATGAGTCACGTCCCTATCACGACTGCGGACCGTGCTGCAGGTGTCCGGAGGTTCCGGAGCCCATCAGAAGCTGAAACCCTGTTGCTTCTACAGGGCTGGGTTCTTAGAAGTTCAATTTTGGGGTTTCAGGGTTTGGGCCAGCCGGTGGTTTCACAGCACCTCCCCGAACGCCTTTCGACGAAGCTCTTACGATCGCTAATAGTGGGGACGAGCACCTAGAAAGGCATAACCGGGGCGGTGTAGGTGGGAGTTTCCCAAAACTAGGGGACCCTGGTATAGTACAGTACCCTGAATAGTAGGATGTAGGATCCCTATTATAAGGACCCCAAAGAAGGTCCCCCTAATTTTCGGAAACTCCCCGGTCGACTTTCAGGGTTTATGCCTCTGGGACCAAGGCCTCTGCGCATTGAGACCCGGAAGACTTAGCAAGTACCCCCCAATGGGATCTGAATCGGGGTTATGATGCCTACAAGTCTCTAAACAGCTACTTAGCTACTGACTAAGTCCCCCGAAAGTGGTTTCACTTCCCTAAGCCGTCTGGGCCATGAGCTCGAGTTGGCATGTCAGTACGAACTCGTCGCCTCTTTGTCACTATTCAGCCAAATATATAAACAACAGTGCACTGAAGAAGGCACAACGACTCATCTTGGCTTGAACGCCGCCCGCAAGAAAAACTAAGAATACAACACGAGGGAAACCTAAGCCCTCAATAGTAAAACCCTAAAGCTTAAACTCTACCTGGACCCTAAAGAACCTACCTTTGTAGGGCTCCCTATTATGATTTCCTTATATAAGTCCTTAAAAAGCTAGGCTGTTCGGGAAGGTAAGCCCTCAACCCTGGGTCCAGCTCCAGCTAAGTGGCCGCAGGTGATGAAAAATAAAGTAGACGAAGTCGCCATTGATACGGCTGGTGGAGACAGCAAAGCACTTCCTTGCGCCGCTGGGCAGACAGTGCCAAGCCCTAGTTGAAGGTTCATTGGTAGTTATGAGTGGGGTTATAAGTAGGGTAACTATAGTAATAGCTATAAGCCCTACTAGGGACTTATAACCCTACTTATCATTACCCATGAACCTCCAAGTAAACTATAAACCCTAAACATCGCTGGCTCCAACTACTACCCTGGCCCAACTTGCCGCAAAAAACTTAAGCCGTTTAGTTGTAGTAGGGTTACATAAGCCCCAAAAGATAAAGGTAACCCCTAAACCCTTACAGTACCCTTGCAGATCCCTCAAGGCTACTTAGCGACCGTCTCTTTTCAGCAGGGGCTCTGTGCTGCTGACCGCTCGCCATGGGCGAGGTACTTCCATGCCAAATCCTGGGCACATGCACGTCGAACCCCGAAACCTACACCCTTTAAGCAGGGAAATGGATCCCTCAAGCAAAGTGCCAGGAAATCCTTATAAACCCCATAAACCCTAAACCCTCTCTCTCTCTCTCTCTCTGAGGACACTTGGTTTGCTGACAACCCGAAACCCTAAATCCGAATAAACTCTAGTTCCCCCACCCGAGCTTCGGGATGAGTTTAGGGTGTTGCAGTTGTGAGGTTTGTAGCTAATCGCCTGGATCTTTCCTGATCTCATCTAGGCCTCAGTATAGTCTAGTGTTTAAGAGGGACCTGCCTGTGCGCTGTTGGGCTCCAGGTGCTCCAATTTGGCTAAAACATCCAGGGCCCAAAACCGTGCATCAGCCGATCAGCCAATCAAACAATCAACCCTAAACCCTAAACCCTGAACCATAAACCTTAAACCCCTAAACTTTAAATCCCTACACCATAAACCACTAAACCCTCAACCCGACCAACCGATCAGCTGATCGGCGCATGCGCAGTTTGGAAACGGCGCATGCGCAGTTTGGAAACCCACTTTGCAAGCACGATGGACACATCTTCGCCCATCGGCTCACAACAGCGATCAGCATCTGCCCTAAGGGTCCATGTACCCCGGACCAGTAGTATATACTTTGTTCACATTGTATCTGTAACTCCCTATAGGGACAACTCTAAGGCCAAAGTAACAGTATATAGTATTTGGGTACTTACACCCTTGAGGTTATAGAACTACGCCTCCCGCCCGCAAATAGATGCAGGATTCTGCACTTGGAGGCTGCACTCTAAACTCTAAACCCCAGACAAACGAGATCGTTAATCCCCAAACCCAAAAACGCCAAGCCGAGACGCCATCTGGTGGTCCATCCGACTCACGAACATCGAGTGCTGTGGCCCAGGTGCGACCCCCTGAATCAGCATACTAAAGCATAATATAGAGGCCGAGGGGCCTTAATAATTAGAATAGGGTTCCTTTAAGTTCCTGTTCAAGGGGTCCATAAGGGTTTCTATAAGGGCTATTATAAGGATTTAATATAGGGGCCTTATTCATTAGAATAGGGTTTGATCATAATCAGGAATCCCCAAAATAGGGTACATAATTGTTAACGCCTCTATATTACTGAGGGAATGTTGGGGCACGTGTGTGATGTGTGCAATCCGCGAAGTGAACAAAAATGCATGTCCTCGTCTCGAATCCAAACTATTTGATGCATATAAGAGCTTCTGAAGGATTATGGGTCCAGCAGTACATGTCCTCAGAACAAGGATTCGATTGCTTGAGTTCTACATAAGGTCCGCTGTGCTTCTGTACTGCGATGCCGAAGCCTGGACACAAGCCTGGGGGGATGTCCGAGTGTAGCCTAAAGGGAACACCTGTTTCAACGAGTGCAACATGCACGCAGGGGTAACATGTACAAGGTCCGAACCCGCCTGAAAAACGAAATAAGGCGTGATGTTGTTCTCCTGCATCGCAGGGCTTCGAGCTGGACAAGGGCTGGCAAATTAGCTTTTTGATCCTGCGTCACAGAGTCTAACCGTCTAGCCTACCCTAAAATCGCAAAGGGTGTCGCAAAACTTTCATTGCACCTTTTTCTAGCTAAAGCCCCTGCATTCACAGAACACAAAACCTTCATGTTACTGTCGTTTTCGAGAGCTTTGCAGTGCAACTCGGGCAACACTAGCCTATGGGGCCCGTGAGGTTCAGGGCTTTGTATTGTGGCGCCCGAGGTTTCCAACTGACACGGGATCTCAAACTGTAGGGCCCCGAAGAGGACACAAGCATGGGCATTTTGCAGGCATGTCCCTACGTCGTATACGGGGGCTTACATGGGATATCCCTTTTGCTTATGTGCTGTTTTGGGGGGGCCCACAAAATGAACACACGGAGCAGGGCTTTCGGGTACAGGCTTCGATGATCAAGACGGCTTGTAGAGTGTATACAAGACTTTAGAGTACCACTTTTTGACTAACGCGTCGCCACTGAAATCACAGAGCCTCTGTACTATGGTACTATCGTAGTTCGGACGCATGTTTCTGAGTGCAGCCCCAAACTCCCCCCCCCTTCCAACCATCCGCAAAAAAAACAACAACCAGGCTCCACCACCTGAAGGATACCTCACCGACACGGGGCTTACATGGGTTTGTCCTTATTGGGTGCGTGGGGCTTGGTAGGTTTGGGCTTCTTTTCAGGTGTTAGAGTTCAGGTTGTCCTTGAACTGCTCCAGCTCCTTGTCCACGAAGCCGAAGATCCCTGTTTTGGTCTGAGTTCATGCTTGCTGGGATAGGATTCAGCGCTTCTCTCTCTCTCTCTCTCTCTCTCTCTCCCTTCCTCCCTCCTTCCCTTCCTCCCTGTGTGGCTTTTTGGGCACACATCAGTCGCGGCGGCACGCACATATGAATCGGAGTATCTATCCGTTTCTGAATACAGTGCAGGTACATACATCGGCAAGGGCATGTATCAACAAAGCGTATGTAAGTATGTTTGTATGTATGCACATGTACGTACGATTGCGCACGCATGTTATGTAACTGTATATATATATATACACATACATTTACATATACATATACATATACATATACGTATACATATACATCTACATATATATATACATACATATACATATACATATACATATGCATATGCATATATCCATACATATATATATATATATATATATATATATATATATAAACACATACATATACATATACATATACATATACATATACATATATATGTATCTATATATATATATATATATATACACCTACGTAGGTGTGTACGTGTGCTAGTATGCACGCACATACACAAGTATGTGCGATATATATATATATATATGCACCCATGCACATACAATACAGAGCAAGAGTCTGACATACGAATCAGACAGTTGGATGGAGGCGTACTTGCTCGTACACATGCATGCACGTCTTATGTGTGACCGTGTCTGTATGTAGGCATCACATGTATTCATCATCGGGTTTATCAGGTTTATCTTTTGGGCATGCGCATGGCCATTATGATGTTGAAGGAGATTTCTATGATAAGGTACATGCACATCAAACTCCCACGAGTATCACTCTTGCCTCCTCGCGGAGAAAGAGAAAGAGGCCTGTGTGTGAAATCCGAAACCCTCAACCAGAACCCGAAACGGTGCCAAAGTGACCTTACCCTAAACCGTAAACCCCTAAACCCCATGTAAACCCTAAACCCTAAACCGACCGAAACCAGTAAGCCCTCAAACCGAAGCTCCGTCTTGACGGGGCACCTGGTGGAATGCCACCCAAGGCATCAGCAAAGGGATCCTTCAACCTCAGGCAGTGTTACATGGGTGGTTGTCAAAATTAGGGTCCCTTTTTGGGTCCTTATTATAATACGGCACCTAATATTTAGGGCACCCAAAAAGGGACCATAACTTTGACAACCACCCACATCAGACCTCTATTTTCCGATTTGATAGGGTTGCGAAGCGCCTCAACCCTACTTGGAGGTTCATGGGTAGTTATAAGTAGGGTTATAAGTCCCCTAATAGGAGTTGTAACTATGGGAGTTTCCGAAAATTATGGGTACCTTAATTTTGGGGTCCTTATAAGAAGAACCCTACTATTCAGGGTACTATACTAGGGTTCCCTATTTTCGGAAACTCCCCTAGGTGCCCTACTTATAGCCCCACTTATAACTAGCCCTGAACCTCCAAGTACAAGCCTAAGCCCTATACCCTTCCAGATCCCATTAAAGGGGCCCTTTAAAAAAAACCTTATGACTTATAACTTATAGCTACCCTTGAACCTCCAAGTCGAAGCCCGGAGTCGCTAAACCTTTAAACCCCTTCGGTAACTCTTGCAGGATCACTTTGAGCATGAAATACGCTGTAAAGCAATCGCTTAGATCAATCCTTAAAGGACACCTCCGAAAATCACTTGAGCCACCCTGTACATTAAAGGTACCCCAAAAGGTAACTCTTGAAGGATCACTCTGAGCAACCCTTTAAAGGTACACCAAAGGGAACCCTTGAAGGACCCTTTTTTTACACCTGGTCTACACATCTGCCAGGAACCGAGGCGCCTGCAAGGGCCCTAAATCCTAAACCCTGCCCCCTGAACCGGAACCTTTTTGGCTATATAGGGATTATATAGGGAAGTATAGGGACTATACTACCCAAAAAAGGTTAAAGGCTACCTACTCTACTACCAGGCCCTAAAAGTGCACCACGGATTTCAAGCTTTTGGCGTTGATCTTCGGAGCCCAAGAAACTGGGTTTGGAGTTTCCGGGCTCAAGCAGGCTTTTGGTTTCATGGGTTTACGGGGGTTTGAGGAAGATTTCAGGCCTTTAGGGTTCAGGGATTAAGGTTTAGGGTTTAAGGGCTTTAAGGTTTAGGGTTTAAATCCTTTAAGGTTTAGGGGTTTTTTTCCCTCCTACCTAAGGTTTAGGGTTTACGGTTTAAGGTTTAGGGGCTTCTTCTTGCATTGGTATTGGTAAGTAGAGTAGGGTTCCAGGGATTGTCAGGGGTTCTGAAAGCGGTTCAGGGTTTAGGATTTAAGGTAGGGTTCCGTTACGGCAATTAGAACAAGCTTTGGGCGGGGGTCTATCATAGTACATAAATATGGTGAGGAACATTGAGGCATTGAGGGCTCAGGTATACTTGTGGCAAATACTACAAGTAGCAGTTATCTGGATCCGTACAGACTAATTCACTAAAAGACTCTTCGCAATCAGCCTCAACCTCTACCCTCAGGCTCCCTAGTAGTTCCTTTTTGGGATTACCTTAGAGGATTCTAAACATGAACCCCAAAAAGGAACTACTCGAGGTATAGCCAACCCTGAACCGGTCGACTGGTCCCGCAGCCCTGTCAAAAAGGGTACCTTTTGCTCTTCTGACCATGCGAAACCTAGGCAAGCTACAAAGGGTCCTGGTACTGCTATGGGGCATACTTTCCCATGTCATACTAGTAAGTCCTAGTATAGAAACCCTTATAGGTACTTTGGGCCCTATGGCCTGGGAACCATAGAAGCTCAAAACTTACACTTCACGACCCATCAATAGACAGAAGAGCACCTAGTGCCGCACAAAATCACCCAGTTCCGATGCCAAACCCTCAGAGGGCACCAACAGAGGCCAAGGGACGCCTGAATGGATCGGAGCCAAAAGACGGCATCAACTCCGACACTCCTCGGAGACAAGGGTCTAGGCTTAGGGCTACCTGGACCCCAATGTATGTGGAATAGTAGCCTTTTATGGAGGTTGGGCCAGTAGTGTTCCTACTTCTTTTTTTTTTTTGGGGGGGGGGGGGGATTTGGGCAGGGCTTAAAGCTTAAAAGCCGTACTGTTCGGGTTTCGGGTTCTGCGAAAAAAGGTGGGTCTACAGGCCAAATTAGCATGTCCGGTTCTCTTCCAAGGTGGGTTTATGACTCAAAGACCAGAATGTTCTGCTTGCCCAGACCCCCGGGAGGATCCAAAAAGTAGTTGCCTTAATGGGGGGTTCCTATAGAATACACTTAATAGTATAGGGCCCCAAATTAGCGGATCTACTTTCTAGATCCTTGCGGGGGTCTGCTTGTGGGCCAGTTTGAGCTTGAGGCTCTTGGAAAGATTCTCCACATCTTAGAAGGCCCCCCCACCCTGCAATAGTGACTATAAGGATTGTATTAGGGTCCTATTATATTGCTACAATACCACTATCACAGGGTGGGGGGGTCCTTCTAACTCACATCTAACTTGCCATGCTCCAAAATCTCATGCCAGCATACATGGTCGTAGAGATGGCAACCTGTTTTCGTAAGGCTGCTATTATTATCGTAGGGGTTGTATAAGGGTGGCACAAAATGCATACAGATACATAAACAAACCAGAGGCACATGAAGCAATAAACAACTCTATGTATATGCACACATGTGTATATATATATATATATATATACAGTAGAATCCAAAAAGTTGGAAACCCAACAGCCTCAATCCTTAAGAGTAATGTATAGGAAATCCCAGCACTATTTGGCCTTAACCCGGTTTCCAACTTTATGGGGTTTACTGTATATATGTACGTATGTATGTATGTATGTATGTGTGTAGAATACATGTCCATATCAGTATGAGTGTATGCATGTACATATATATATATATGTATGCATATATATATATATATACACTAGCAGTGTATGTATACAAACCTGTAACATGTATGTGTCTGTCAGGGACGGGGGGCGGCAGACTGAAGGGTAAACCAGACGAGGGTTTGATGGACTTTCGCACTAGGCGTAACTCTTTCCGCATGTGGCTGCCGATCTTCAGGGTCTCTACAAGGCGCAGGGCTTTTGTGAGGCTTGGGTTTCGGGCGGATATCGGCCTGTTACCTACCAGGCGACATTGAAGACAACATGGGCAATCCAGCCAGATTTTACTGTAATGCCGAGACTAAGGTTGAACCCTATACCCTGCACCCTAGCCCTTAAACCTGGCAATTAAGCGCGAGCGGGTGCAGTGCGCGCCAGGGCGTCAACAAGGACACTTAATCGGGAATTCTGGCGAAGGCTTCGGGTGCTCGCCGTGTAAAGTTTAAGCTTTAAGCTCCAGAAGAATACCGAAAAAGGTGTTGAGTTTTTAGGGTTTCTAGGATCTAACACTCCAAACCCCCAAAAACCCTCAGGCACTCTTTCGGGATACCACGAAGCCAGGCGGCACATTTCGGAGATCGCGAAGCGGACCGCTGTTCACCAAACCTTGATCCGCCAGATGCGTCTGAAGATGCCTGGCAGGGTGTACTTGGAGGTTCAAGGGTAGTTATAAGGGTTCGTTTAAGGGTCCCTTTAAAGGGATCTATAGGGATTCTATAAGGGTATAAGGTTTAGGATTCTACTTGGAGGTTCATGGGTAGTTATAACTGGGGTTATAAGTAGGGTAACTATACTTTTAACTCTTATTAGGGGACTTATAAGCCGAATTATAACTACCCATGAACGTCCAAGTAGGGTTTAGGGTCCCAAGGGGTCCAAGTACCCATATGGTAGAATGTAGGGTTTCTATATTAGGAATTACTATGATGCTTTGGGGAAGTATTCCCCATAACAGTACCTAGGATCCTTTGGGGGTTCAGAAGTGTAGAGTTTAGGAGCAAGGGTACTATAAGAGCTCCCTTTACCTATGAGGATTCTCAGGCTTCTTGGTTAGGGTTCAGGGATTATATATGCTGTTGGCGTATATGGTTTGTTTATGGGCTTGGGGTTTTGGAGTTTATGGCTTAGGGGTTCAGGGCTTAGTGCTGGAGGGTTTATATAGTGTTCAGGTTTAGACCATACTCAGGCTCAAGGAATGACCAAGCAAGAGGATATACACAAATATGTAGTCTATGTACCTATGTACATAAGAAAAGAATGTGTGTATATATATATATACATAAAGGTTATATTCAGACACATAGATAGTACTTAGCTATTTCCTCCATATATATGTACATATGCTGAGCTTCCAATTTAGTTCTGAACAACAGGTTTTGTGCCTGTGCATCACCTCACTGGTCTTACCCGTTGTGATCTCTCTCCCTCTCTCTCTCAAAGGGTCCGAGGTACTGTTATGGGGCATACTTTTACATATCATACTAGTACGTCCTAGTATAGAACCCCTACCTTCGACTATATATGTACTTTGGACCCTCTGGGTCTGTGCCTGCAAACAAAACTCAAGCTTAGAGCTGTTGCTGTTGTCAGGCTGCCCATAGGCTCCATAGTAGTTCCTTTTTGTGACTACCTCATACAAATATAGGATCCTCAGTCCGATCCTCAATATGAACCACAAAAAGGAACTACAACGGAGCCTATGGGTACACACCTCAATCTGCCTCTTCCGGTGTGTTGTGTGTCTTTTGTGTCTTTTGTCTCTCTCACGCGCTATCTGATATCTATCTCCATCGTTCTCGCTCCCTCGCTGGCTGGTACGCACCCATACGAATGTTTGAGGAACTCTACTTCTCCGGGGTTAGAGGGTTCTATAATTGATGGGTATCTATTGGTTATATAGGGTGTCTTGCAAGGCTTCATGCAGAATTCGTTTGTGCGTTTATTAGCAAAACTGGGCAATGCCACGAGTTGGTTATTCTAAACTGGGGCCCTCTCCGTGTTCAGCGGAAGGAAATTGATATCGTGAACAAGGAGGTTGTAGTGCAAGTAGGAACTGACCGTTTAGCCGAGACAAGACACACAACACACGGGCAAAGGTAGGTTGGGGTGTGTAGCTCGACAACACCGACAGCTCTAAGGTTGTGTGATGTTTGTGGGAGAGAGAGACAGACAGAGAGAGAGAGAGAGAGAAAGACGGAGATAGATATCATGTAGAGTGTGGGAGAGACAAAAAACACCCAACAAACGGGAAAAGGTGGGTTGGGGTGTGTAGCCTGACGATAGAGAGAGTGAGCGGGAGAGAGAGAGAGAGAGAGACGGAGAGAGAGAGAGAGAGAGAGACTAGGAGAGAGCAGGCGTAGGGCCCTGCGGTTAGGCGGGATTCAGGGTTTAAGGACTTTGGGGTTCGAGAGTTATGGTCAAGGATCTTGAGAGTCTACCGCGGGTGGGGGTGGGGTGTTCATCTAGATGCTGCGGAGACTGCAATCAACTGTTCGCATGTTAGTCTTAGCAACGTATAGTCTATTAATTAACGTGAGCCGCCAAAAAATCCATGGGCAAAATGACTTTGACAGCGCACTTGAAACCCGAATGCAACCTTCAGAAGGCTTAACATCGAAGGTTTGATCAAGGTCTCATGAACATGCCACATGACTGTTGCCTGCGCACTTAGACTGCCAGACCAGCAACCCCTGCACACGGGGCTGCTTGCCTAACTCGCATGGCGCTGCCTCACCGAGTACCCGCGCCCCGATTGAGCCGCAAGTCTTTTAGGCGCGGGCCATGTGATCAAAGGGGGAGCTTTAGGGTCTATACTACAGTAACAGTGTAACGGGGATACTATTTCTAAAGGGCCCAATATATCTATATTGCGAATATTATCCAACTGCTACTGAGCAAGGGCAACACCCAAGGTCTATATTTAGGGCTGAGGGCCTATAGTGGTTTCCAACAATGGCACTGTATCGGGCTGGGGCTTGTGCCGCCTAAAGAGAATTTCGTTTCGAACTCCCACGTGCACAAGGCTTTAGGGCTGAGAGGTCGAACGGTGAAAGAGTTTTCAGATTCAGGAATGTAGAGAAGGCTGTCGATGTCAGAATCCCAAGATCCTTCTCTGCAATTCCATCACCATAGAAACCAAAAGCGGGATACAGCTTCTATGGTGCCTTGGGTTCGAGCTTCCACTTCGGCTGCGTCTAGCGCTGCTCATCTACATATTCCTGGGTGGGAAGAGTAACGTAGACACGGCCTCCAGGGTGACGGTGTGTTGTTGAGCGACGTCTTGCTTAACATTAACAGCACGCACGAGACGGTAAAGTACGGCTTCAAAAGGCATTGCAATTGCAACCTGTGCAACCTTTGAGAAACGAGTCTGATAATGAACCTTGTTCTAACTAAACCAAGGTTCGATGAGAATGACATAAATTATGATCATGGCCAAGCTTTTGCACCAAAAAGCTACAATGGCTGTATGACAGTACAGGTGCTGCAACTACAGTAACCGCTGAGTCCTACCATATCCCGTGAAACACATGCTATGTTGGGCTCCAGAACTCCACCCTCAATCAACACAAGACCCTCTCCAACTTGGATCGGTGCCGCGAGCTTTGAGACCTGGGCATGAGATATCTTCAAAAGAAGCAGAGCTTTGGGGTTTATGGTTTAGCCTAGCGGTTTAGTGCTTAGTGCTTAGATCGGTTAGCTGACGCACAGCAACCGTCAGATTGATTATAGATGTTCTTGTGTCATATCTTGTTGCGGTAATTCTGGTGATGGTGCTTCTCCCGTGGCTATTTGCATTGTGGTCTGTTGCGAACATGTGACATGATGCATGAACACCCGGGTGGTGATTGCAACTGGTCAATACCGTCACCGCTACTGCTAGTTCTACTGCTGCGAGTTCTGTTAGTGCTGCTAGTGACTGCTACTGCTGCTGGTGCCGCTCGTGCTGCTAGCGCTGCTGGTGCTGCTAGTGCTACTCCTACTCCCACTCCCACTTGTATTGCTACGCCTACTCCTACTCCTAATAAGTCCTGCTACTGCTACCGCTACTGCTACTACTACTACTACTACCACCACCACCACCACCACTACTCCTACTTTTCCTACTGCCACCACGCTCAGCAGCGCGACGACCAGCTCTACCACTACCACCTACCACCGAGCAGAAGCTCTAACAGGAAAATTCTGAGGCGCGTGCTCCTGGTCCACCTCGGATGCAGCAGTGCCCAGAGAGCCCAATACCCGTTAATTAAGAAATATACCTTAAATCATAATATGTAGCCCTATGTAGTTTAAGCCATATCCCTTAATTAAGGGGTACTGGGCTCTCTGTCTGGGTGTGGGACTGAAACTATGACTAACACCGGTCGTAACTGCTAAGTAAGCACCACACAAGAAATCCTTCAACGCGAATTCTCCGTAGATTTACATGTTGCGGTACGAAGCTGCCTTACTGCTCCAGAGCCTTTCGGAAGAGGCTAGGTTTTTCTGAAAGAGACTGCGCCGAGATTCTTGAACGGCTGAGGCTTCTACATGCACGGCTTTAGGAAGCTTCGAAATTAGCTTCTGGACCCTAAGCCCTAAACACTTCGGGCAGTTCGGATCCTATAGGTTTTACACAAGGTGCCCCTGCGCATTTTGGAAACCCACATAACTGAACACCCTCCCTCCCTCCCTCTCTCTCCCTCCCTCCCTCCCTCCTCTCTCTCTCTCTCTCTCTCTCTCTCTCTCTCTCTCTCTTTCTCTCTCTCTCTCTCTCTCTCTCTCTTTCTCTCTCTCTCTCTCTCTCTCTCTCTCTCTCTCTCTCTCGCTGCTTACCCTGAACCTAAACCTTAAAAACCGTAAAAACCGTCGAGAGCCCCTATAGCATTTCCCTCAGGCCCTATAGCACCCTCGTAGCATCCGCAATGGATCCCTCGAGGGAGCCCTTAAAGGGAAAGGGAACCCTTGAAGGATCACTTTGAGCAACCCTTACAGGAACTGGCAGTAATAACCGCATGTAATACACTGTATAGCAATCCCTTAAATCAATCCTTAAATGACCTCACTAGAACCCCTAAAACAATCACTTTGAGCCACCCTGTAAATTAAAGGTACCCCACAAGGTAACTCTTGCAGGATCACTTTGAACAACCCTTCAAAGGTAATTACCCCAAAAGGGAACTCTTGAAGGACAGGACCCTAAACCCCAAACCCTGACTATACTACCCAAAAAAAGGCTAAAGGTTACCTACTCTACTACTACCCTAAGGCCCCAAAGTAGTTCCTTTTGGGGATTACCTGATAGGATTCTTTAAACGAACTCCCAAAAGGAACTACTTTAGGGCCTTAGGGTAGGCTAAACCCTACCCTACCCCCCCCCCCTTGCAGCGCATGGAGCCCTCTGCAGCGCCATGTTTCTGCTGGAGGGCCTCTGCAGCTCCGGCCCAGTTTGACGCCCTTGATAGATGAATATACCATATGTGTATGTATGTAACAACGTATGTATGTATGTATGTATGTATGTGTGCATGTATGCATAGCAGAACATGTATATTTATATGTAGATAAACTATATTATATGTTCAGTAGTTTACTTACAGCTAAAGTATGCATGCATATAGAACCATCAAGGGTGTCTTAAAATTGCAAGGGGGTTTCGGAGGTATGGCTTGAGGCGTATCCCTTAGTGGAGGCTCCAGCCCCTCCCTCGAGGACTGCCAGCCTCTAAGATACGAGGACCGAACAAAATATGTTTGGGAGTTTCCGTAAACTAGACCCTTTATTTGGGGTCCTTATAATAAGGATCATACTATTTAGTTAGTAGGGTACTCCATTAGGGTTTCCTATTTTCGGAAACTTCCTCTTCGGGCCGCCGCAGCTGTGAAGTCTCGGGCGCTTACAGGCTGCATCTATAGTAATCCCCAAAAAGTTGGAAACCGGGTTAAGGCCAAATAGTGTTGGGATTCCCTATACATTGCTCGTAAGGATTGAGGCTCTGGGGTTTCCAACTTTTGGGCTTCTACTGTAAGTGGGCCCTGTGAGGTCCGAGCAGGACATGGGAGCGAAAACCGAGACATCTGCAGTCTGCCATGTGGGTGGTTGTCAAAATTAGGGGCCACTTTTTGGGCACCATAAGGGTTCCTTTAAAGGGAATTTATATAAGGGTTTCCTTAAAAGGGCTCTTTAGTAGGGTTTCGGGGTTTAGAATAGTTGTCAAAATTAGGGCCCCTTTTTGGGGTACCATAAATATAAGTGCCGTACGATAATAAGGACCGAAAAAGGGACCCTAATTTTGACAACCACCCATGTAGTACTTGGAGGTTCATGGGTAGTTGGAAGTAGGGTTATAAGTCCCCAAGTAAGGGGGTTACCACTACAGTTACCCTACTTATGACCCCACTTATAACTATCCATGAACCAAGTAGCACTGTTTCTTCGGGCTCCTTACCTTTTTGGCACTTGCACTCGGGCAAGTCGGGCGAGGTTTCGGGTCTTGTGGGCGGTGATACCAACATCAGGTGCATGAGCCTGGCTCTTACCTTAATAGATCTAGACCCAAGAGCACCCTGTGCATAAAACGGGTGCCCTTTTTTGGTTTAAAGGGGCTTATAAGGGAACCTAAACCCTAAAAAAGGGAACAAGGGCCTACTCTAGGTCCTAGTAATAGATCTAGACTCTTCCTCAACATCCAATTCCGAGCTTCGACCTCCCCAACCCCACAGCTGCGAGGCACCCAGACCTAAACGTAATGGAGACACCCTCTTGACTGCTTCTCTTGTTAAGGAGCTGGATGTGGGTTACCATGATAACAGAGCACATGGTGATCTAGAGTCCCATGTTTGGTGGCGGTGGGTTTCGGATTAAGGGTATGGGTGCGGTATGGGGCTTGGGGGGGAGTTTTCAAGTCGCATATCCTGACGAAACGACGAAGTCAAGATCTCTTTCAAGCGAAGAGCACGGCGGACATCGGACATTGCCCTAGCACACCAATGGCTGATGCATAAATTTGTAGACTTCTGCTTAGGGGCTGCGTGTCCTGGCTCAAACAAGGTTAACCTTTTAAATTATGGTAGGACCTTTTGACTGATAATAGTATATACTGGTATATTGTGGTATTGGTATCTTATAGTCAAAAGGTCTACTCAGCTACTACTAAGCCAATCCAAAACACTCCAGGTGATGCCGAGGCCCGGACGCCTGCAAAAGCCGTAGTCGACGAGGCAGAAAGCCAAGCGCACCGACCCTCTGCAGACTCCGTCCCGTCGAGAGTTGAATGTAAGCTGGGAGCCCTAACTAACTTTCAATGAAACTAAACAACGGAGAAAGAGCCGAAGCAAAAGCGTTCTGCTTATAGTTTGAGGCTACTGTTGGGGCGGAGCCGCAGCGGGTCGGGGCAAAGGGAGCGGTGGCAAAAACACGCTCTGGTAAGAGCGCGAAACTCTACCGCCTCGACCCTATCCCCAAACTGAGCCCCTATAGTCAGGCTGGAGAGAAGATCTGAAGGATGGCTCTGATCGTTAGTGGCTGACGTCTGACATGGGACCGGCTGCACTCCGGAGACAGTTGTGCTAGATTGCTGCCTGCAGCACTTCGCGGCAAAGAATGTGTTGAGTTGCTCTAGCTGCTAGCTGTCGGCATGAAGTGCGGAAGACATCCTTCGAATCCACTGAGAACTGGCGGAGGATTGCGGCGTCATGCTACTGGCAAAGCTCGAGCGGCTATGACGACATGAGGACCATGGGCGGACAGGCAGCAACTCGGGCCAAGTCGCTCTGTCCCAAGCCTAAGTTTGAGGGTCATGGTGTGAAGACTCGCGATCTCCCAACTGGTGCCCTGCAGTGGGAGTGCTTAAAAAAACTTGGCGCTTCGCACATATATTCTGAGCTTCAACCCATGGTCTGGGCACTGGATTCCAACAGCCCCCTCCCCAAATAACCCTAAACCCTCATTAAAGCAGCAAGCCGCACACCCCTAAACCCTAAACCCTTCCCCCCCCCCCCGGTTGATTTCAGGCCTTGGCCCCTGAAGGCTTCGAGTGTTGTAGGCTAGCGAGAGGGATTTCGGGATTTAGTGAATTTCAACAGCTTTCGAAGGTGTTTATTCTGAAAAACCTACAAAAACTAGGCTATGGCTAAACCCTAAACCCCTAAACCTCCTAAACCCAACGCCCCTAAACTCCAAACCCATAAACCCCTAAAGCCCTAAACTAAACCCTAAAGCAATGCTGGGTCCCCAGGCCATGGGTCCCTTACTGTCAGCGTCCTTATGCCAAGGATCTTTGTCCTACTTGTCGGGTATCATTTAGAAGCTGCCCCCACCCTGTAATAGTGACCATAAGGATTATATAGGATTATATTAGGGCCCTATCATACTCCTATTATACCACTATTACAGGGTGGGGGCAGCTTTTAAGGTAGCATGGGGAACTGAAGCTTAAGCTTTTTGGTTATAATAGGGAACCTCTTGGGACTATACTACCCAAAAAAGGTTAAAGGTCACCTAATCTACTACCTAGAGGCTCCATAGTACTTCCTCTTCGGGGTTCATAAAAAAAACCTATAAGGTAATCCCATGAAGGAACTATGGAGCCTTAGGGTACTAGGTTGGTGTTTGGGCCCCCAAAACCTGGACTACAGTTGGCACCTTCTTTGACGGAGAGGTTTAGGGGGTATAGGGTTGACCTTAATTCACCCTCCTACCTGGCAAGGACCAAGCCCGCATTGCAGGGTTGACCTTAATCTACCTGGAGGTTCTTATGATAAAAGCCCGAATACAGAATTATAGGGACTCAAAACCAAAAAAGTAGCTTCAGGTAGGTCCTAAGACCCCTTTTTACACAGGCTCGCTCCCCTAAACTAAACCTTAAACCCTACCACAGCTTAGGAGTTCCGGATAGTCCCCAGACCTAAAGACCCCGAGACCCTACACCCTAGGGACTACCTAAACACCCCAACTACCCCCTACTATTCTCCGGATACCCACCATTAAGGACCATACGGGCTCCACTAAAGGTTGCTAGGGGGTCCTGGTAAACCCAAAACCCCAAAACTCGAACCCTAAACCTGTTCCTTCAAGACCCTACAAACCCTGAGCCCTAACCCTAGGGACTAAAATCTCAACCCTTAAGCTCTGCTTTGTGATCCTCTTTTCGCGGGGGAAGTCAACTCGGGGAGGTGGCGTCTCACAACTTGCCGAAACTTCCCAGATGAAATCCTGGGGTTCATAATCATAATACAAATATTGCTATGAAGTTGACCATTGTAGTTGCCATTGTGTTGTTCAGTTGTGTTTTTTGCTGTTCGCTTTGTACTGTGAGTGTCATACATAAAGATTGCCAGACAAACAAACAGACATGGGAGTTTCCGAACATTTAGGGTACCTTATTCGGGGGTCCTTATAATACGGATCCTACTATTTCGGGTACTATATTAGGGTCCCCTATTTTCGGAAACTCCCATAGAGACACACACACACACACACGCACGAACACAAACCAACCATACCATGCCAAGCCATGTCGTACCATACCGTACCATGCCATGCGATACCGCACCATACCAGACCAGACCAGACCTGCCATACATGAGGTATGTGTGTATGTATGTATGTATGTATCTGTGCATTTGTAGATATGTATATTATATGTACATATGCATGTATTACAATTAATACAAAGTCCCTGTCTGCACGTATAGGCAGGTGAGGGCGCATAGATGTGCACATGCACATCGACTTCGTAGCATCTTACGGCAGGCAAAAAGGTAGGCAGGCCAAGGAACACGACGATCTTCATTGACGTATAGCAGCAAGATATCTATAAGCATACATTTGGCCGTCATTCTACGTCAGTTCAAACTTTAGGCATACTTCAGGAGCATCGACGGACGCAAGATAAACATCCCGGCATGCACCATCAACCCGTGCGGTGCTGCCGCCATTCCTGCGACCCTCCCACTGCAAAGCCATAACCCTAAACAACTCCCGAGGCGAAGCCGCTGGGGCGATGGTTACAGTGTTTGGGTCAAGAGCTTCAGGGATTTTAGGGTTCGGGCGTTTCTGGCCCGTGTTGAGACAAGCTCCCCTTTTTCGCTGTACAAGCACAAGGCCCTTGGAGCCTTGTGCGCAAGACTTCCCGCGTTTTGGGGCCATTTTTTCTTGCCCAAAGGGTCCAAGTAGCAATATCGTGGCTACTTAGTAGATAGTTGGACCCCAAAGGTGTACCCTAAACCCTAAACCCCTACTACTCGGACCCTTTGGGTTTCGGACAGGGTTAGAAGCCTTCAGGCAAAGGCTTTAAGGCTTTGCCTAAGGGCTTAGAGGGTGTATTTCCCACCCCCAGGGATTTAGGGCTTAAGGCTCTTACGGGTCAGGGGCTAAAGGTGGTGGGGGGTTTAGGACTGCACGGCACAAGGCCAAGTTGGGAAGTCTCCCACTCAAAGTCGCCTCAATCGGCGAGATCTGGCGACTCCTTAGAAAGCAAGTCGGGAAGGCAGGAACTTCCAGAACAACATCACAAACCCTTTTACACCTGGACTACGCATATGCCAGGAACATCACAAACCCTAAACTGTAAACCCCAAGCTCTAAACCGAAACCCTAAAGCCCAAATCCAGAAACCCTTTAAATCTCAGAGCTCAAGGCTACCATATCTTAAAGGCACAAGCATTCGAGGGCTTGTAGGCTTTAGGTTACCGACCTCTAAGGCGCCTCACCCTGAACCGAAATCGAGGGCTTCTTGAGAGAAGGGTGGAGGGCACAGGTTTGGGTTTAGGGTTTAGAGTGGAGGGCTCAGTATCTAATAATTAGGGTTTAGGGTTTAGGGCTCAGAGTGGAGGGCTCAGTATCTAATAATTAGGGTTTAGGGTTTCGGCGCTCACACTCGGACAATCCAGGCGAGGCATATAAGTTCGCGTCTGCAAAGTGAAACATCACTAAGAGGTTCCGCAATGACATGTCAGCATCAAGTTAGCAACACATAAAGTGACTGTGTCCTCCCACGAAACCTCTCCTTAGAGTCCCACACTGAAAACATTGCTGATCACTGGACTCCAAGGCAACATACTCTGACAGATCGTTGGGGGCGGGCACAGGTAGAATAGGGCCCTATACTAAGATGATATATAACTAAAAGCTAAGAACTAGGGGTCGAGACGACCCAGGTACTAACGACCTGTTGTTGAAACATGAGTACCATGTTTCCTTTGTAGTCAGCCTGTTACCGACCTTTTCTCAGAGAATTACTTGCATACAGTAGTGTGAAACACTGGAATACGTGGATCTACATGCGGGTTAAGCAAATGCGCATTCGAGCTTGGCTACAGTGACAATCGCGGACCAGAAGGACTGCATAACCTCTCTTCGTAGCCTGTAAATCAAGACTATTACAACCTTACCAGGCACCTAATACATGACCTGATGACTCATCTGACCGGTCCCATGCATATGAATTACATGCTTGTAACCCTCTACTTGGATCTCAGAATTGCCAATGACACGACCAAATTGAATACCGTGCGCGACACTGTACTCAATGTGGTCTGCCATGTAGGACTTGCAGTCGTCACCACTTCCAGAGCAGCCAATGACAGCGCTAATGGCAGCGGGGAGCTCGTGCTCTTCTCTGTTATTCCAGGCATGCACATGCAAATATGTTTCAATACCAGCTTCAATTCGCATCTGCTGTAGGTTTCCATCTCTGCCTTCCACTTTTTTTTGATAGGCGGTAGACAGCGAGAAGTGTACTCGTCGGAGAGCATGCAGAGTTCCAGCGTGACCCACGATGTCGTCTCTGTAGCTTACGTGCGATGCCTCCATTGGTCTCGGATTCCAGAAAAACATGCAGCAACAATGGTTGTCGGCATCTGAGGCGTGAGTCACACAGCAGCACCCCATGTCAGTAGGTTCCCAACATGCAGTTCATTCGGCATGCATATCGAAACAGAAGCCAGTCAGAAAAGAATGCAGTGCGGTGTTTGGCAGCGGAGGCCATGCAATGAATACTGAGTATTGAATTCACAGGCCGTCACCAATGCCAGCCATGCAGAAAAGCAGCCCTCGTCCTTGCCAGCCACACGGAAGCGGTCCGTCCCAGGTCCATGTGTGCCAAACGCGGGTTAGTGGTTTTTAGGGTTCAGACCTCGCATTGGAGTAGACCAACCTGCACCCATGATGAGTTTACACAATAAGAGACTTATGGAACCCGGGAACGAGGATAAAACATGCTGAAGTGGGGGAATAGAGCTAGGGGGTGGGGGTACTATAGTAATGTAGTTCTTAGTAGACAGACACAGCGACGAAACTTAAGACTAGACTCTGACACAGTAAGAGACAAAGTAGTACAAAGCAAGCCTACGGTAACAGCACTGAAAGAAGACCTGTATCAACCCCTTTCCAGCCGGTACTCCTTGGAACATGTATTGCACACGTTCCTGCTTGAGCCAAAATGGCTACGGTTTAGGGTTTAGGGTTTAGGGCTTAGAGTGGAGGGCTCAGTATCTAATATTATTCATCAAATGGGCTACTTTGCGATGCATTACACCAAAACAATGAACCGAGATTTGCTCAGTAGTGCAAACAATAGCTCAGGACACTATGCTGCACAATGCCATCTCGTAAAGCCTTGACCCCCGCCCCCCCCGCGCAGGGCCACGAATTCGGGGGCGCCCGAATCTCAAACCGGTCTATCGAACTCGACCTGTCCATCGCGTGCAGCACCGGGAAAAGAATTTGCTTGCAGAATTGAAACTCCTTGAACCTCCATCCTACACGCCCATGTCTCGTCATGTCGTCCATGGCGCCTACATGCCGTCTAAGACATGCGTAGACTTGATATCAAGGCTTTTCCGTGATATGAGCTCCACAAAAGAAAAAGGCGCAAAAAGCCAATGGTGTAAAGCTCGTGAGGGATGAACCGGGTAGCATTATGCCTTAATTAACTACCTTAATCTACCTATCTTGTAGGGTCCCTAGAGATTCCATATTCGGGTTTATAAAAGTAGGTTATGGTAGTTTTTTAAGTAGTTCCATGGACAGACACCACGTGCGAAACTCACGAATGCACGTCCTCCTGAAAGTGCTTCCCGGTCGCATCTCCGGCATCGTCTCCGGAATCTTCACCAAAGGAATCATCACTTTCCTGCACTAAATCTCTGGGGGGGCTCCTGATCCAACCGTCTCTGATTGTTTGTACATCCCCCCTTGCAAAACATTCAAACCCCCTGAATCCTTGAACCCCCAAACCCTGAACCCTCAACACGTCTGCCCTACGCTCCTCCTCGCTGGACGACTGGTACCGGATGGTCCTGGAGAGGTCAATGCTCGGGTAGAAGTTTGGATGTGAAAGGCGGCTCCGAGCATCGGTTTAGGTTTAAGGGGTTCAGGAGGCCGTGCACAGCATCAAGTTCCTGTGACCCCAAACCCTATAGAATAGTAGGTTATTACCCTTCAATTATAGGGTCTAACCCCTAAAACGGTAGGTTTTTGGATCCACAGGTTGTCTCATCCGTCATCATTGCAATCGTAATCGTCCTTCTGTTTCACTGGCACGGTTGGACCGTAAACATCCTAAACACTTTTTGAATGCAGACTCCCTACACCCTACAGTAGAAGCCAGAAAATTGGAATATCATATATCGTAACCCCTTAAGGTAAATCATAGGGGACCCTACCATTAATCATCAATCAATATTTCAACTTTCTGGAGTTCACTTTAAACCCTTGGAGAAGTGCACAAGGAGCCATCGCTGCAGTTCTGCGACTCCTCGTCTAACTTGCAGCATGAGGCTCAAAATTGGCCCTGCGGTTGATGATATACATTCTGCATTACCCATCATAAGGAATATACCATAATTCTCATAGCTTAGGGTCCTTAAGGTTTGGCAGGATATATATATATATATATATCATCAACCCTAGGTGGTAATTCTTTTCATTCTCTGGGCGCAACAGCCGCAAAATTCGACCCAGGGGCTGAGGGTGGGGTTTGTACTTTCTCGTCCGACATCCTTGGAGGTTCATGGGTAGTTGGGGTTCCTTTCAGGGTCCCTTTAAAGGTATAGGGTTTAGGGCCTACTTGGAGGTTCATGAATAGTTATAAGTGGGGATATAAGTAGGGTAACTATAGCTATATATCCTATTATGTAGGGGACTTATGACCCTACTTATAACTACCCATGAACCTCCAAGTAGGTATTATGGTACCGCCGAAAAGGTTGAAGGATACTTAATCCTAAGGGTCCATGTGCCCAAATAGTATATACTTTATCCTTAACGTAGTCCCGATATAGGTACTTTGGGGCCAATGTATATACTATTTAGGTACATGGACCCTCAGGGTAATCTACTACGGGGTGTATTTGTCAAGCATCGGGCTTGACGTGGCGTCGCTTTGTTTGCTTCATCCGGCTTATTTGATCCGGGCGTCAGCTCCGGAATGCCCATAATAGAGGTATAGGGCCAAGCAAATGACACAGCGGTCTGAAGAAGATTGGAACTAGGATTTTGGGGTAGAACGTAGTGCAGCTAATTAACCGTGATACTAAAGGTATTGATGACAGCACAACTAACTGTCCCTAGGGCTCCAGTTAGCTAAATAGTTGGTTACTAACCATACGTTATGTACCCCAGTAGCCTACTTTGTAGGTATCTGGAGCCCTATAGGGTGTGATATGAAGGACAAGCTCGCAATGGGTCCTAAACCCTCAACCCTTAACCCTCAACCCTCAATGGGTCCTAAACCCTAAACCCTTATATGACTCTATGACCCTAAACCCGCAATGGGTCCTAAACCCTAAACCCTTATATAACCCTCAACCCTCAAGGGGTCCTAAACCCTAAACCCTCAAGGGGTCCTCTTTCGTATCACGCGCTTGCGCGCTTGCTTGGCCCAGTAGAGGATCATCTCTCGGGCAGCTTGAGGCACCTGGGGGCCAGAGAGCCCAAGGGGCCCCTTAATTATGGAATACACCTAGGGTTCCTTTAAAAGGTGTCTAAAAGGGATCTATAGGGATTAGGGTTTCCGATACCCCTTAATTTAGGAATACCGAAAATCATCATATGAAGGTCTATATAATTTAAGCAATATTCCTTCATTAAGGGGTATTAGGCTCTGTGGGTGGAGGCCAGAGGGAGATCGCGCGGAAATTGGATAATTAGGGTATGGGGTTTATAGGGTTCAGGGTTATAGGCCCTAGACCCGCAACCCGATAAAGGGTTTGGGGTTTAGGATAGATGAGCTCCGAATTCGGCAGAATAACACTTTGTCTTGGGGCGTCGTTTGCTCGTCGCATGCCGGTGCCGCCCGGCAGATCCGTGTTGGTTCAGGATGCAGGTGAACCCAAACTATGAACGCCAAAGGTACTTAGAGAGAAACCGCTTTGCAACCAATACCTGTCATTTCGTTCAAGCTAGGATGCAATCTGACTTGCGCTATCCAGATTCCTGCCTATTCCAGCACCAAGTCTCCAGCCCTGCACATCCTTGGACCACTTAGCCGCACTCAAACTGAAAATCGAACCAAAGTAGGTCAAGTGCTATACAGCCTGAATTAGCGATAATTAAAGTAAAAGCCAGAAAGTTGGAATATGATTATCCTAAAACCTTTATGGTAAATTATAGGGTATCCTACCCTGAAACCATATTCCAACTTTCTGGAGTTCCCTTTACAGCCTGAACTCTCGACCGGAAGCAGCCAACAAGCACCGGAGCCCGGCCGCCAAGATTACGAGTGTGGGGCTCAAGTTCTCGCCTTTGGAATAGGGCCTTTGTGAGTGAGTACCCTTAAGTCTTCATCTGGCTTACATAACAAGCCGCATGTGATTGTTGAGATCTGAGTAGTGTCCGACTCATACACATGCTGAGCTATGGCATGTGTCGCGCATTGTACTATGGCCGGATGTCTGTTTGGCCTGCATCAGTCCGTGGCCATGCACAAGTCTAAAGTAGACTGGGTACGAGGAACCGAGTTAACATGTCGACTCACTGTCGCCAATGGCAAACCCTAAACCGTAATTGCGGCAGCCCTAAACTCTAACCCATCCCGCCACGGCATCCGCACCTGGACGCTCACAAGGTTCGGGAACCTTCACGGATTGAACTGACAGATCTCTCGGGAACTACGACACGACGAAGATGGGCGCTCATACCAAGTAGTGTGCTTAGTACTATAGTGCTTAACCACCCAAAACAAGACCGAAAGCCAATCTGCCTAAGCAGCCTTATGTGCACTGCCCCAAATCCCGAACATAAGTCCTGCAGCATGCAGATAATGTCTACTTTCGTGTTGGGAGTATACAGGGATGCTATCAGACGGTGGAGGATTGAACTTGCAAAACTAGTCATACCCCTCTCTTTACCACAACTTGTAGCTGAGTTCATAAGCCCCCAAAAAGTGTATGTACACTTTTAGTCCCCAAAAACCGTAAAAGTGTATCCACTCAGCTACTAAGATAACAAGGTCACGAGCACATTGCATCATGATACTCGGAAGCAGGACAACAGCTGAACACTAACAAATCTCACAGCGATCGACGAACCAAGCGGTGCTAAAGTCGAAGCATCAAAAACCCCTAAATTCTTTTCCCCAAACCAAAAACCCTTAATCCCTAAACCCTCAAAAGGAGCCCTATTTATTCTCGCACTCTACTCATGGGAAACGGCTGGTGCCATCTTTTTTTGACGATATTTGGCTGCCTGAAGTCTGGTCTAGTAGGGTTTCGGGCTTAGGGTCTAGGGTTGATTTCGCTCTTGACTTGTGGTCCTTGCATGTCCTTGCATTACAATAGGCAACTTAAGCGTCAAGTTCGACCGAACCCCCAAGCCTTCAATCCTACTGTAAGCTCGTAGACAAGCCTACAAAAGAATATAGGACCCGTGTAATATCCTACGCCGTTGCATAACCTCTTCGCCTGCGAGAAGCTTCGGCGTTCTCGATGACACGCCCCTATGCCAACAGATCGTCTCCCTTACAACAAATGTCCTGTTTTTTATTTAGGGCTTAGGGTTTGGTATTCAAGTCTAGCCTAGCATCCTTCTTCAAGTCTTGGACTTCTCAGGTGCAAGAGAGCGAGACGAGAAAGGCCCCTAAGATGGTTCATGGCGTGTTTGCTGCTTCTCCACTGAAGATACCAGGTCGGAGGTTACCTGTGGAGCACAGACGCATAAACGACATCCTCCAAACGCGCCGCAAGAATTTCCAGCCCACTCGCTTTCGAAAGATTGGGCTTTGCCCTGCACGGTTTTGAGGCTCTAACACCCTTGAACCTGCACCTGACCACCGCTGGATAAAAGCTCGGGACACTGAACCCTACACAAGTAGATAATCTCAAACCTACAGTCGAAGAAGCCTTGTGCCTCATTGTCTCAAGTCTGGGCCGTGTGCCCGAATAAAACCTCGAACTGAACCCCTAAACCCTAAACCCAAAGTCAAACTCTAAAGCATCAAGCGATAATCTTACCCCGTCAATGATGACGCCATTGTGCAACCCTGAACGAAACAAAACCGGAACCATGACAAAGTGTCTCTGAACTCAAAACTGCTGAAGCCCAGAGGCCGAAACAAATGAAACTACATCCCTGAAAGCATACAAAGCCCATACAACGCCCTCCTGAAGCAGACATAAGTCTCTATTCAACCCCTTGAAGCATCATTATGCAACATAGGTTATGCAACATAGGTCCACAAAACGGTGATCAAGCATTGCTCGGCAGAACATTCCATACACGGGATACCGTTGGACCACAACTCACTTCAACCCATAATGACAGTCTTAAGAGTCCTGTTCAATCTCTACGATGACAACATTGAAGACTGACTCCTGGGACAACCAAAGTATCTTAGGGGTATACAAGCCCCAAAAGGTTAAAGGTTACCCGGTAAGAGGAGCCCGCCCCATGTCCCTGGGCCAACCTCGTGGTGTCAGCCGGTTCGAACTCGATATCGCTGGCGTCATCTTCGTTCTTCGGCGTCTCCTCCGTGGCCCGGGGTCCCTTATTTTGCTTATTAGGCGGCTCCACAAGGGATACCGTGAATGGCTTTCGCTTCGACAACGAATACCCAGACCCCCAAAAGTACATAGAATAACAGCCTTTTGTAGGCTTCGAGCCATTATTTGTTATCTACTTTGGGGGAGTCTAGGTATGTTGAGTTTGAAAGGGTGCTGATTTACTTTCATCCCCTGCCCCGTGGAAGTCCGCCTGCGGTCAACACCTCACGGTGTAAGACTTAAAGCTTAGTAGAGAGTTTCGGATTCAATTCTGTGTTTAGGGTTGTCGGAGTTGAAGCTTAGCTACCGTAGTTCAGGGCTTCGCTTTTTGTTCAGAGTTCAGGGTTGCTGTGTTGAGCTCGTTTGCTGTGTGGCATCCGCTGCACAGCCTCCAATACATGGGAGTTTCCGAAAATAGGGGGCCCTAATGAAGTACCCTAAATAGTAGGATCCTTAATATAAGGACCCCAAAATAAGGTACCCCTAATACTCGGAAACTCCCACATGATGTCGGAGAACTTTCCACTGCATGTGGACGAGCTCTAGCCGCCAAGTCTTCAACACGCTAAGACGAATACCATATATACCTCGTCGCCAGACGGCCTGCTGACGCCTTAGTCTTGCAATGCCGACGCAGAATTCGAATCGTAGAAGTGGCCGAACCGCCGCATCACTAGCGTCATCATCGTCACCATCCTCATCATCATCATCATCATCATCATCACATCATCATCAAAGTCAGCTTCTCTATGTCCATCATCATCATCAACATCATCATCGTCATGTGCTGTTCTTCATGGTCTTCATCTCCGTCGAATTATTCGTAGTACTGCTTGCTAATGTTCTCATTAGTCTTCTTCTTCTTCTTCGCTTGCAGGGCTGCCGGAGCTCAACGATCAAAGCTCGCACTCATCGATGATACTGTGCAGGCTGCTGCGGCTTCACCGCGCTCAGACAGCCTAGTCCTAAACCCCAAACTCGAAACTAGACCCAAGAGCACCCTGTGAATAAAAAGGGTGCCCTTTTTGGTTTAAAGGGGCTTATAAGGGAACCTAAACCCTAAAAAAGGGAACAAGGGCCTACTCTAGGTCCTAGTAAACCTTGCAGATCACCGAATGGCAACGTTCAGAAGTGGAGATGACGAAACAGCGCACCTGCTGCTCCAGGAGCATCAGAGCCTGAAGGCGACTCTTGGCATAGGGAGCCTTAAGAAATTAACCTAAGGCTCCATAGTAGTTCCTTTTTGGGATTACCTTATAGGATTCTAAGTATAACCCCCAAAAGGAACTACTATGGAGCCTCTAGGTAGACTAGTATTTCGGGCTAGAAGAAATGGTTCTTACTACCGTTAGAATAGTGCTTTGGGGTAGTAAAATTTCTGTTACGTTACTTTTGCTATTATGTGATGTTATAAGTGGGGTGTCACAAGCCCCCTAATAGGAGTTACATCTATAGTTACCCTAAGCCTACTGATAACTACCCATGGACCTCCAAGTAGGGTGAGGGCTTCAGGCCCTTCAGGCTTCAAGGATTCCGGGCTTTAGCACCACGCCCAAGGTTTAGAAAGGATCGGCATCCGACGATTTTGTCATCTCAGCAATTGAGGTCGGGAGCTGTCTATACTTGTAGACAAGGCTTCGTCTTGACTAGATTTTATCTTCCGGTGAAAAATTGGTGTCGCTCAGGTCTGCTCAGAACTACTTCAGCGGCTGCCGTAGCCGCCCTTGCGCGTGGGGATGTCCTCACCCCAGCCGGCGGTGCCACCGTTGCCCGAATAGCCCTCGGGACGATCTGCAAAGAGTGCATGAGAGCCAGCGCCACCGCGGAAGGCCTGCTCGAGGTGGATCTTGAAAGGTCCGAGCTGGAAGATGCCTGGGAGGGTGGTGTCGGTCTTGCGCTCCTCCGCGAAAGGACGCATGCGGTATCGGCGACCCTGCTTGTTGCAGATCTTGAACATGTCCTCTCAGGGGCTCAGTACCCTAGCCCAAAAAAGTTAAACTTGAACTATAATTAGCTTATAAAACCCCGAAAGGTTAAGGGCTACCTACTCAGCTACTAAGAGCCCCACACAGAACCACTATAGCTCAGCTACTAAGAGCTATAGATCCTTTAAGGAACCCCACGAAGCCACTAAGTCCTTCTCTCCAATGAAGAAGCCCTCAGCAACCACGAGCTGTCCGATTCCCTGGGGGCCGACCTCCATCTTATCCAGGCGCCATCCTATACTGAACTTACCTTTGGTTAGTAGGGAGTGGAGCAATGGGGTACAAGCATAACTACTATTACTACCATTCTTCCATTCCCTACTAACCAAAGGTAAGTCAACTTAGACCCCTGGCAAAAATTAAACTTTTAGCTGTTTTCTTAGGGCTCATAATTGTGTTTTAAGCTGAGTCCGAGGGTTCATATCTATGCTTTTAGCTGGTTCTTAGGGTTAACAATAACCAAAGATTAAACATTGCTAAGTACCCCCCAAGCATCCATTGCGGGCAACGGCGGCTCCCTCAGGGCGGCTCAACCCGCCACCGCAGAAGGCCTTCAAGCAGGACTGGGTCCACACTGCTGCGCCGACCACGGCCGCAAGAGCAACGACCCGGGCTCCACGTGCCATCTTAAACGAGTTGGTCTGAGCTGTCTATGGGAGATCTGAGCCGGTAAGGATCTGCAAATGTATCAAGCTTGCCACGCATGAAGATCCTTTGCCTACTAGCTGGTCCTCCTAGTTGCGAGTCACTCCAGTATCACTCTGACACCGACCAGTACACGCACTTCTGCCGGAACTTCGCTGAGAAAGCATCGTTCTTTGACCGTGCTTGGTGCGACCGGGCAATGCATGCCGAGCAGGCTCAATTCCGCTTAAAGTGTTTCCCACAGTTCCATGTGCCCCCCTTGACAAGGAAACAAAAAGTGAGAACATGGCGGAACATCGCGATCGATTCGAGAAACTAGGTTGTGTCATGGACTGTTGTATTGGTCCTCTAAACCGAAAGAAATAATGTAGGGGCCTAAATGATTACCAATTCTATTTTGGTGGTTCCTGACTATAAGTGTAGTATAATGAGCCCCCAAACTCCTGTTCTAATTATTCAAACCCTATAGTATTCCAGGCCAGTCCGCCTTTGCCGCAATCCGACCAATCATGGGGCTGTGCTGCATCTGTTGTTCTGTCGAAGGAGTTTTGGTGGCTCCAAACGTATTCTCGACATGTCTATGTAGATCTGAACTTACACACCTCTTCACATGTATTCTCGCTGAGTACTTTTCGAGACTGCCTTACCACACACATGTCAGGGCAAAGGTGTTGTGCACCGTACTCGTCGATTCGGGACAATGTAATTCTGTAAGCTTCACGACTCTCCCGGCTGGAATACTGGGTGCAACTCTTGTAGGGCAAATTGTTGGCCGTGATCCGTAGACAATGTTGAATCCTAATGAACCCTCGCAACTCCAATCCTTCAAGAAGGCCCGAGAATTCTTGCCTCTTCCTCCTCGGTGCCACCACTGCTTGAATCCTTGGCCAAGCAGACCGCAGATTGGATTCAGGCGGTAATACAGATGCTCGAATAATACAGAAATGGCACTGGGACATGCATTAAATTATAGAGTATAACTGACTGCATGAGGATTTCCTCTTGCGGTCCAGGCTCATGGCATTCTGTTTCGGCTTGAGGGCTCATGCAGGACCTGCAAAAAGCCTCGCCAAACCTCTCCCTATAGTCTCCGCCGATATTGCTTTTTGTTGGGTTACTTCTCATTTCTGAACTTTCAACTTGCATATCCCACACAGGAAAGAGATTGGAGATTAGAGCTAAACCGGTAAACCCGTCATGGGCGTGACCCTAAACCTAAACCTGAGCGACATGAGGAACCCCACGGAACAATGTTGCCAATTATTTAGGCCTCTATATTATGTACTTCCGGCCAGTGGCGTCATCGCCAGTGCGATCCCTAATCGCTGCGGCAGAGGCGGCTGGAGGTGTTGTCGGGCCCAGCGGTGACTGCGAGAGCAGTGTTGCATAATTACAGGTTGAAGTCCATGAAGCATATGATATGCCTTACACAAAGTGCAGAGGTACTGGTAGGATTACCACAATCAGGAGTACGAAACAGCTATCGAAGAATAAATTAATGATAGTTTGTGGTTTGCGTGGTTGTGAGGACCCAGAAGACTCGCTGGGCTGCTTGTTGAGCATTTGTGATATCTACTGAACCTACTGCAGTGCAGGCCTAGAAGTAGTTCAGGCTCTTCTACAAAGCTTGGTGGGGACGCCTTAGCTTTGGTGGCAGTGTCGGTTGGGGACTTGGCTGGGATAGTGGCAGTCGTGTGAGCAGCTTTGATGCGACATGTTGCAAAGCCCTAAACCCAAAACACCGAGTCTCATACTTTATACGGCATACGGGCAATCATGATTAGAGAGGGTTTCGAAAACAGAGCTACAAGGGTTTCTGTAGGGGGCTGAATCAAAACGGATTTATTGTTGGAATAGGTGTGGATGCACATTCTCGTTTACTGCTAATCTTGTCGGCGCAGGGGGTGTTGTTACTACTTCTTTCCGACCTCATGATTAGCCTCCTATGCTAATCCGACGTCGAAAGCATGAAGCTTTCAGCCTGAAGTACAGGCTAACGCCGTTTTGGGGGCCGGAAAGGGTGACGCTTGCCTTTGGGTGTATCAAGCCGGAACACTCCATCTTAGATGCTGAATTCTTAAGCCCCCAAAAGTGTACACTTTTAGTTTTATAGTGGGTAGTACTATCCCCAAAAGTGCAAAGTGTATCCACTCAGCTACAGAGTGTATCAAGCCGGAACACTCCCATCACAGAACCGGTGTCAGCCATGCCTTTACCTTTACGGTTTGGGATATTGCCTTGTTCGGAACTGCTGGCACGGGCGTCTTTGTGGACACGTGCAAGACAAAGCTGAGTAGCAAGTTCAACCAGTCCACGTTGATGTCGTCGTGGTTGTCGGGGAAGGTCGAGGCATCAAACCAGTCCTCCAACAACCTCGCCTTGGTGTCCTTAGGCAGCTTCCAAGGCTTCGTGACCCTGCCCTTTACACATTGGCCAAGGTCCTCCCCGCTCTCGTTGGCGTGCTCCTCGCCGGCCAACTGCTTGCATTGCGCCGCATCCATGGAGAGCAGCTTCGAGGAAGCGATGCGCTTTCATCAAACATGGATGCTTACAACGACCCCTCAACCCTTACCCATACAGCGTATAGGCCCTGACCCCTAACCCCTAAACCCTGCACCCTAAATCCCTACTGCAACCCCTTATCCCAGAACCCCTAACCTTACATCCCGGATGCAAAACCCATCAATCAAGGGGCATGGATGTAAAGCCTGAATGACTGGTAATGGAAGTATTCCTGAGGCATCGCGTTTACAAACATACCACAGTATTCCCGAAAGCCCCATTCTAATCACGAAGCCCCCTTTATCACTTCGGCTTTCTGGCAAAACGCCCCTAAACCCTAAAGCCCAAACCCTAAATTTAAACCCTAGAGCCCAAACCCTAAACCCTTTACCTTAAACCCTAAACCCCTGAACCCGAAAGCCCAAACCCTAAACCCCTAAATTAGCCCCTTAACCATATAAACCCTAAACCCCTGAACCCTGAACCCCAAACGCTAAACTCCCTAAATTAGCCCCTAAAAGTTAAACCCTAAACCCCTGAACCCTAAACTCGAAGGCGAATCAAAAGCCTGGGCCGCAAAGTTGAGAGCCCGCTCGGCAGCTTCCGCTTCCTTCCAAGAGGGCGGTTACGGTTTAGGGTTTAGGGCTAAGGGAAGAGAGGTGGTGGGGTTAGGGATTAGTTTCGGGGTTTGGGCTTAAAGGGCTTCTGGGTTTTGTAGGGTTTAGGGGATAATAGGGTTTAAGGCATTGGGCTTCTGAGGTTAAGGGGCTGGAGAGTTTGGGATGTATGTTCCTTGGGGTGTTGTACTATAATTTGATGGGTTCAGGCGGAAGGTGTGGGGGTTATACGATTTTGTGCTGTGAGTTTTGCTTAGGGTTGAGAGGATTTAAGGGTTATAGGGTTTTGAGTTTGAAAGCTGTAGACCACGGAGCTTAAGCAATCCGGGCTTCCCTGTGGATCCGAAAAGCTACAGCTTCAAGGGGTTATACACCCTAGTACAGGGTCATAGCTTACTATCATGTAGGTAGGGCCTAGGGTATATACTTAGTTGCTGAGCTCTTAAGCCCCCAACAGTGTACACTCTTGGCTTTATAGTGGCTGGTATTATCCATTAAAGTGTAAAGTGCATCCACTCAGCTACTAAGTATAAGGGTTCCTTTCAAGGGTAACTATAAGGGTACTACCAAGGGGTTCCTTTAAAGGGCAAAAACAGGGTCTAGGTATAAGTACCCAGAGAGCCCAATACCCCTTAATTAAGGAATATACCTTAAATCATAGTATGAAGCCCTATATAATTTAAGCCATATTTCTTAAATAAGGGGTATTGGGCTCTCTGGGTAGGGCTCCGTTTTTTTGCGTCAGGCTCGGGCTTGACGCTTGGAGGTTGCGGTCTAGGTTTTTGTAAGCTCCTTTCTAATGTCCGCCAGACCGTCGGCAAGCACCAAGGCGGTATAGGGTTTAGGGTTTAGGGTGGTTTAGGGTTTAGGGTTCAGGGTTTAAGGTGGCTTACTGTTTAGGGTTCAGGGTTTAGGGTGGTTTAGGGTTTAGTTGCTGCGGTTCAGAAGTTCACAAAGCGTTCTATCGGGGTAGCGTGGGAAACTCTTGGGACGAGCATGTACCCTAAGGGTCAATGCACCAGGCTTTTCAGTATATGCTAAGGCCTTCAAGGGGTTCGTGTATAGGTAACCCTATCCCTCCAAGGACCTCATAGCTAGGGCCCTAGACCCCTTAAGGACCCCATAATAAGGTCCCCGGAGGCATAGGGTAATTCCTTGCCAGTCATTGCCAATGTATGTGCAATGCGGGCTTTAGCTGTAGCTACCTATAGTTCAACGCTGGGAGTTTCACCGCTTCATGCTTCTTGGTCTACCCTATGGCTCCATAGTTGTTCCTTTTGGGGGTTCATATTTAGAATCCTATAAGGTAATCCCAAAAGGGAACTGCTATGGAGCCTTAGGGTAGGTTGTGGTTTGAGAGTGCTAGTTACGACAGCGCCGCTTGTAGGACCAGGGGTTTGGACGATTGGGAGACTGGGAAATATTCTGGCGGTGCTGGACTTTCGGTACATGACTACTGTTAAACTGCAGGTGACCTGCTGTGTTCTGCTGAACTGAATCCAAAATCGCTGGATAATTATATAAGCTTTGCGTCGGTCTGAACGAGTGTGCACGGTGTGGCGGTCAAGTTCGAAGGTCGTACTGGATGCAATCGTGCAGCCAAACAGCCATCCAAGGCAATCCTGCTTCAACGGAGAACAAGATGGAGCGCAAAAACGCCTGGTATACACCCGCCTGACTGTCAATCGCCAGCTGGAGCTGTTTTTATATGTACATCCGGGAGAAGCAATATAGAACCGGTGGTGGTGGTGGTGGTGGTGGTGGTGGTGGTGGTGGTGGTGGTGGTGGTGGTGGTGGTGGTGGTGGTGGTGGTGGTGGTGGTGGTGGTGGTGGTGGTGGTGGTGGGACATGACACGGTCCTACACCCATATCTCTAAACTCTAAACCCTAACACCGCCAGAAAACGGACCACCGCCAGAAGCCTCAACAACAATGTACAAAACATCCTGATATAGAAACCTAACGAAACACCAACAGTACTCCTGTAGATTTCTTATTAGAACCAAACTATGACACACCACCCGAACTCTATTCTAATAATTAAGACCTCTACACTGATGCCCCTACAGTATAAACCCCTGCCGTAAACCCTCAGTTCCCGAACCTTATTCCAACAATGAAGGCCCCTATATCATAGAACTTTTACAGAACCCCATTCGTACTCTAAGGTCTCTAAACATCCAGCTGCCTCAAAAGCACACAAAACCCTAAACCCTGAGAAACCCTAAAAAGGACCGATTGCAGCGACCTCTATTTGTAATAATTGAGACCACTAGACCCTCAACCCTTAAAGACCCCAACGGGGCCGATTGCAATGGCCTCCTAGGTTCTTGTTGCGGAATTTAAACTAAGTAACCACAATAGGGTTATGTAGGAGACAAGAAAACGGTTTCTGTATTATGGTAACTTGACTTACATCCCTTAACCCTTAAAGGAACCCTTATAGATCCCTTAAAGGAACCCTTATCTTAAATTAAATCTCTAAATAAGAACCCAGCCTCTTGCTGTCGCTTCATTCGGAGCCGCTTGCGTGCGACACGGAGCCAGGCAACCCCCGAGTAGGCAGCGAGAGGCCCGAAACCTCTTTGGGGGCTTAAGGTCTAGGGTTAAGGGCTTATAGGGTTTAGGGTTTATAGGGGCTCCAGGGATCTATAAGGGGTTAGGGGTTTAGGGTTTAGGGTTTATAGGGCTTTAGGGTTTATAGGGCTTTAGGGTTCGCGTTTTGGGGATGTTGACGCTCGCACTCGGCAATACCAGGCGAGTTGGGGATGAGGGTTGTGGTCAAAGCTTGAGGGTTTGGGGCCGCCAGCTCCTGGGGCAGGTTCAGGTTTATAGGCGTCGCCCTTGAGGTAGTTTCTTTATTGTGGTATCTTAGACTACATCCCTTAACCCTTAAAGGAACCCTTATAGATCTCTTCAAGGAACCCTTCTCATAAGTAGTATGATAGTGGGATCTTGGTCAGAGCCACTGCAGAGTTTGTATTAAGGTGTTTTTGCGTTTGGGGATTAAGGACTTGCACTGGGTTCTCGGTTGAGCGTCGTTCGAGTGTACGCATGGCTGGCTGGTCACCTGGATGCATAGCTGCGTGTATGAATGAGTGGGTTCAGATGGTTTGAAACTGCATGTGTGCATATGTATGACTAATTTTCCTTTATGCATGCAAATGTGCACGAACTGGCAGTGGTACAGGCATACAGGTTCATACACTCACACCCACACGCACACACACACACAGAGATACACACACACACATATATGTACACATACACATATAAACATGCAACACAGCGATTTGCACATACATACATATGCATCATGTGTATGTATATATTATATATACAAGGATATGCAATGTGTATCTGGTGTTTGTGTAGACCTTTTTGCACAGTGCACAGTAAAAAAGCCCTAAACCCTAAACCTTAAACCCTAAACTACTCCCGCAAGGCCTGCTGCTTGGGGATTGTCATGCTGCTCGTCGCTCAGTGGACGGAAGGGCCAGGCTTCCTTCCGCGGGTCTTTCTGCTACACAAGGGGCTTAACTAATTAGAATAGGGTTCCTTTAAAGGGTTCCTTTTAAAAGGGGGACTCTGAGGGATACTCCAGTAAGGTTCTATGATAAGGGCCTGAATAATTACTGATTACCTATACCATTCTTGAAAGGGTTCGTATCGTATAGGGGCCTTAATTCTGTAATAACTACCTAGGCAACTTTTTGGGGGTTCCTTATTGTCATAATATGATATAACCCCAAAATCCGATTAAGGCAACTATCATAGTTTTATTAGCGCTTGGGGCTTTAGGATTCAGAGATTAGGGCTACTGACAGGACGACTTAGGTTATCAGAGTTTGGACTGCGGCTTGTAAGCGAGGGTGAATTGGTGACGGTGACAGGACTCCTGATTCTGATGAGACTGCAGACTAACTGACATTGTGACGCAGCCTGGAGGCATTGGGGCTCAAGCTACTCTTACATGCCTGTGCGATTCTGATGCTGGGCTTGTTTAAGGTTCATAAGGTCTCGGGGTGGCGGGGTTGAGGGTAGGGCGTGCTGCTCCAAACCCACAGCCACACAGAGGTGCAACCAACGAAACCAACCCGTAAACCTCCAACCTCAACAACCCAACCCCTAGAATAATTTCACACACACACACACACCTGAAACCCTCAACCCACTTCAACCCTAAAATGGAAAAATACAAAAGCCCAATGATGACCAAAAGCCAGATAACCCCCAACGTCTAAAGCGAACAAGCAAATGCCTCCGCTCGTTTTAGAACGACCACGTCCTAATTTCTGGCAAGGTCCCTTCGCTGTTCTCTACGCCAACATTCCTATGTTCATTTGAAGACCCTAGCCGAACAACTTCCCTATGCCCTATATAACCTTTCTGTTGCAACTGGGCTTGGGGACTAGCCAGATCCTTGCACGTCGACCTTTTGTAATCAAACCCTCTCTCTCTCCTAAACCTTAAACCCTAAAACCCTAAACCCTAAATCCCTAAACCCTTTTGCAACTGGCCTGCTGCGACTCCGCCAGGACGAACACTTGACCACAATCACTTAGTAAGTCATCCCTAAGCCCTAAATCCCTAAACCCCAAAAACCAGGCGGCCTGGGGAACCTCCGGGGGCGGCGGGGGCGCTTCCACGCTCGCAGCCGTGTGCAGCTGGAGCCTACGGGGCACAACGAGGGCTCCGAGGGACGCCCACTTAACCCTCTGTTATATACTATACCCTCCCATAAATACAAAGAATATGTTCAACATTTATGTCGGGCCTATATAGTTTAGGGTGCATACTTCCTTGCTGAGTTCTTAAGCCCCCAAAAGTGTACACTTTTAGTTTTAGAGTGGGTAGTATTATCCCCAAAACTGTAAAGTGCATCGGGGACCAAAAATGGTTAACCTTTTTTGGTTATATAGGGATCATATAGGAACTATACTACCCAAAAAAGGTTAAAGGTTGCCTACTATACTACTAGGTCTATAAGCCTTATCTGACGGCTAAAGGGGTTAATGTAGGGACCCACATCATTTTCAATACGGTTCTGGGGTATATGATATTCACCATTATGATGATAGGAGCACTGCAAAAATGACATACATATCATGATCAGATGCTTAGGCTTAGGATACAACAATGTAGCCTGCCGGCTGGTAATTGGGACGTGGGCTTGGAGCCTCAGGGATATCGATCCTAAAGTTGACGGCGCGCATAACCAAACATTAGAGATTCCAGTCTCGAAAGTTCACCGGTTCTGGCACAGTAGAAACCAGAAAGTTGGAATATCATTATCGTAATCCCTTTAAGGTAAACTATAGGGGATCCTACCATTAATCCATATTCCAACTTTCTGGAGTTCCCTTTATGTTCTGGTGTAAGGACTCAATTTCTTGGTTCGAGAGCTTAGGGCACAGCAAACGTGAGGCTTTCGGGCCTGTGCGATTCAGTACCAGGCTGCATACAGGGTTTGGTATCAGGCATAGTATAGGATTCATGGAAGGATATATTGCGCGTGCTGGTTGCCAAGGGTTTTGAGCTGTGCCAGTCTGATGTCCGCTGGTTCCAATAATAGCGCGACTTCATGACGTTATTGACCAAATTACAGCCAACCATAGGCCATGACTATCGCAACCGAAAGCTTCTCAAAATCAGCAACACTCAAGGCTTGCTCTACTTCGCAGATCCGGAACTAAGGTGCGCAGATCGTGGCATCGGGGACCCAAGGCCCGCAAACTTCAGCAGTTAGTTTAGGGTTTAGGGGTTTAGGGTTATGCCTAGGGGCCTTCCTCATGCGATTTCTACCCTAAACCCTTAATTAACCTTAACCCTTAATCATTAGAGCACACTTTTGAGGTATATTTTCAATATCGTATACACATACATACCCTAAGGCTCCGTAGTAGTTCCTTTTTGGGGTTACCTTATAGGATTCTAAGTATGAACCCCCACAAGGAACGACTATGGACCCCAAAAACACCTCACCTGACCATGCCGGTGCCTTCCTGCGGTAGGAGAACCGATGTCATGTGTGACCAGGATTTGGGCTTCCACCGTCCAAAAGCACATACGGAATGCCAGAGAAGAGGAGTCATGAGATGACAACTACCTCGGACATCCGCCAGTAATATGCATACTTTTCCTGCACTGTCAACAACAACTCTACCCTCGGTTATCGTACTCAGGACAGGTTTGATTCTCCCGCGAAGCCCTAAACCGGTAGAGCAATATGCCCGACCGTTTGCACCCCAAAATTCAGACTGAAATCATAATGTATCTATTCCCTCGCAGTGATAGGTTTTTGCGCTACGGGCAAACTCGTGTAAACTCCGGAAACGACGGGGGAGGCACATGGACGGAAGCGCCATGGTTCGCATGACCGTCGATGCACGCCGACCACCAGGCACGTCGTCGAGGGCTGCCCGAGGGATTAAGTTGAATCTAGTGGCAGGGTTTCGGGGCATATCCAAACGATAACAAAACACACTATAAGGAATGGAACCGACTACTGATCATTCAAAGCTGTTATGTTAGTTTAGCGCTTCGGTTTGTGACTACGTGGTAAGAAAGGCGCTCGGGAATACCTGGCAGAACGGGCCCTCAAGACTATTTTCACATAGCTACCGCTTTTGGGCCATGAATGAAGCTAAAATGCGTCTCGAAGTGCAACCTAGGCTCGTTAGGTTCAGGGGTTCCAATGGGGCCGTAATGTTCCGGGAATATGGCTTATGGCGCAAGGCCAGGGAAGTGTGGTGGTTTAGGGATCAGGAGTGTCTTGGCTTCAGGGAGTGGCAATATGACCAATGTGACTGGATTCTTGCTGTGGAACTTTGCCCCCAGAGGTTCTAAACCCCGAACTTTGATTTAATAATCAGAAGACTTCGGTAACTCCGCCTGCAAGTCACAACTCAAAGGCCTTTAGGGTTTAAGGGTTCAAGGTTTAGGGTTTCGGGTATTAGGCGGCCCTAAAGCATTCCAAGTTCAGTTAGATTTACCTGCGGCTACAAGTACTTGAAACTTTGTGTTTTAAGCCAGTCATCATGGAGTCCGAGCAACTCGCTCGTAATTTTAGGGGGGTACCCTAGCCCCAAAACAAGGCTAACCTTTGGAATTATAGTAGGAATATACAAACCCAAACGGTTAAAGGCTACCTATGCAGCTACTAAGTAATAGAGATTCAGCGTCTACAACTGCACGCTACTACGCTACTTCCATGCTGAAGACGGAGAACAGATTTCGCAACAGATCGCTAAAGATTCCACGCTCCTTCAACTGTTGGCCTGCCTTGCACAAAACTGGGCTCTTGCCAAGGCGTTGTTTTTAGGTTACCATAATTATTTTATAAGAATCTAAACTAAAAGAAATGATATGGTTCCCTTCTTCAGGTAACGTCACTTACGTGGAGTGCCTTGAGAAGTACCCAGAACCCGGTGCAGCCGAGTCGGGCCTCCTTGAGATGGACCGCCCAAAGCATCTGCAGTTGAGCTTTAGGGTTTTGGGGGTTAGGGCTTACGGGGTTTAGCGGTGGTGTTCTTGTGTTCAGCTTCGTCCTAAAGCCGTCTATGCTTCAGAAAGCTGCAATTTCGGGGTGCACCTAGTCTTCATATTCTTCATTCTCTCTCTCTCTCTCTCTCTCTGCAGTGCCATCATCGAGAGTCTCATTTTAGTCCCTGTAAGTCTGTAAGTTTCCTGGATAGCCAGCTTTACATGTCGGATGCTATAAGGAAACCCTCAAAATCTAGACTGTTCAAAGTGATTCCAGGTTCTGTGTTGAGCGATGTCAGGTGAGGGCCCGTACGCTTCACGGTTCCAAAAAGCCGCAGCGAGCCCGCCGCTGCCCTTGCCCGAGAAGGGAAGGATGTGCAGAATGCCATCGTCGCTTCTGAAATTCGCAAGTTAGTGTTTTTTGATAGCTGGGCTTTGAGGGTTGCGCCTCAACCCTGAAACCCTCACGAAATTGGGCACAGCAGGACCGAGCCCGATAAACCCCAGGCTCTGACCTACTAAGAGTTTAGGCAGATTCCTGAAGAGTTTCGATGTTCGACCTCGACCCCCACCGTTGATTCAATCAATGCCCTCTAGTGGTCCCTAAATACCCACTATTTGGGATCCTATATCCCTGCTTGAGGGTACAAGGACAGTCCTGGTGTTCAGTCCCAGACCCATGTGCTACCCCATTAGGAACCCTATTCAAAGGAATACTATAATAGTCTATTGGGGTTTGTTTTTTTATATGAACAAAACCAACAGATAAAAACAATGAGGAAACTACAGCGTGCAGAAATGTAGACCCTTTTTTTTACACCTGGACTACGCATATGCCAGGAAATGTAGGCCCTAAACCCCAAACCCTAGGAACTCAGTACAGTTCAGGTCCAGCTCCAACTGCTAGCCTCCAGCCTCCCACTGAACGCAAACACCTAATATAGGGGATAATTAGAGTAGGGCTTTGGGGCTATGCTATGCTATCATTATAATGAGGAACCCCAAAACAGTATAGGTAATTATTAAGACCCCTACAGTACCGAGTATGCACCGTTTCCAGGGTAATTTAGGGACCGTATCATCCGAAGAAGGTGGTCTTGGGGGGACATGATATAGTATAAAACCCTAAACCCTAAACCCTAAACCCTAAACCTCTAAACCCTAAGGAGCCCCACGACTGATTTTGATAGTTATGCGGGCTCTACAGTAGCCCCGGATGGTTTCGGAACCTATTGGGCTGCACCTTGGCGTCCCGCCATGCCCGGCAGCGCCAGGTGCCCATCCTTGTCATGCAGCTTACGACCAGGCTCGAAATCACAATCCTTTTGCAACTGGCTTGCAACGTCACGCCAGGACAATCCTAAACCTTAAACCCTACGTCGAATGTTTGCCTCAAGCGTGGCTGGGACGAACCCTACATCGATTACTGATTGCTGACCGATGGAGTGCTAACATAAATCCGGGCCTAACCGTGCAACAAAAACAGTATGCGTAGTCCCGTAAACCTTGCAAACACTAGTCTGCGTAGTCTTGCAGGGGCTGAATACCCTAGCCCAAGAAAAGGGGAAGCTTTTCAAGTGCAGTATATGGTAGGATTATATAAACCCCAAGAGGTTAACGGTTACCTACCCAGCTAGTGAGGCTTAAGTCACCTAAGCACGCCCCCTTCAAGTCACTGAGCAGTGACTTTCCTCTGCAAACATCCGCTTTAGATCTTCAGAGCACATCCCTCAAACGGGTTGCACTGCACTGCAAGGCTCCCCCATGCACGCACCGGACTTTGAAGTAACCAAGGAGAAAAAAGTATAGAATGTGATTTCATAGTGGTTCCTTCAAGGAACAGGTACCATAAAAGTATTCAAGTATGGTACTCCAAACCCATGTGTAGACTGCAACTCCAGACATGGGAGTTTGCCTGAAGCGCCTAAGCCCTATACCCTTAACCCCTACGCCCCAAACCCTAAGCCCTTCAAACGGAATCCGAGGCCCTTGTTCCAAGGAAACCCCCAGGCCAGGCCTTAATCCCGAACCTACCGCTGCCTAAAACCCCAAACGGCTTGCACCGGACACCTACTTGGAGGTTCACGGGTAGCTATAAGTGGGGTTATATAAGTCCCCTATTTAGGGTGATAAATATGGTTACCCTACTTATTACATCTTATAACTCCAACGTATAACTACCCATGAACCTCCAAGTCAACCCTAAATCCGAAACCCCTATACAGTCCCTATAGATCCCTTTAAAGGGACCCTTAAAGGGAACCCTAGTAGACCCTGTACAAGCTCTGAGACGGCGATGCCTGGTGTGGTGCGGGCTCCTCATCTGACTCGTCCTCTTCCAGCCTAGTTTCCGAGGGGTGGTCGGTTTCGGGATAGGGCTTAAGGCTTTGCAAAACCCACTTATTATTATTCTCATTCTTGTATATCTGCACATATGTACTATATCATATATATATATATATATGTATATACACATATCCTATACCTATTATGCAATATATATATATATATATATATATATATATATGGGGATTAGGGTTTTGGGATTGGTGGGGCTCAAGGATTTCGGCTCAAGGCTCTAAGGGCTTCGTGTTTGGGGAGCCCTGTGGGGTCCAGGGGAGGAGGGTTTCGGGAGCTGGGGAGATCAGGGCTTCTGGGACAAAGAAACGCTGGGATGTAGTTTTGGGGCTCTGGAAAGTATTTATGACTCTATAGGAACCATAATTAAGGGAAATTAAAAAGTTTCCCAAATTGCCACCTAGAACAACACAGTAAGTAGCTTTTACAACTTCGTTGCTGAGTTCATAATCCCCAAAGTGCACACTTTTAGTTTTTATATGTGTGAAGTGTATCCACTCAGCTACTAAGACAACTAGACTACATTTATGCCACGTGCCGGAAATTTTCAGACAGGGCTTCGGGTAGGGTTTAGGAGTTTAGGGTTTAGGGCTTCGACTAAGACATCAACGCACACATTGCCTTTCAAGCGTTTGAACAGAGGATTTTCTTGACCAGACCGGTGCCGGTTTGGGGTTGAGCATGGACTGCAGAAGACAAGTCCGACCTAAAAGGGCGTTCGGCTTACAGCGAAGAGAAACCATTAATCAAAGGGGAAAAGGAGGGACCCTTAATGGGGACCCCTACCCTATAGTGGGCTATATAATGGGTATATAATTGCTATATTATGGGTATATACCTAGGGGTCCTTATTAAACAAAGGCTGCAAAGCTGCTAATGGCGACATGGTTTTGGGTTTTGGGCTTGGGGTTCTACTTTTTGAGGAAAGGTTCTGGTCCAGGATCTGTTGCCCAACGGCAATACAAGCGCTTGTCTCCAACAAACAACAGATGCGTATGAGTATATTATATTAAAGCAACCTATAAAACCGGATAAAGGAAGCAATGAAGTGGCATGCTTCTACTTGTTGTTCCGAGAGTTCGGGAGAGTACTGCGCACCCAATCCCTACCCCTCTCATTGGTATAAGGATCTCTACATTCGATACCCTGTCTCCCCCCCATGTATCCCACTTGGAAATGCTCCCAAAACCCTAAACCCTAACTTGACCCGAGCCAAGAAGCTCCAATCGCAAGTTCTCTGGCAGCTCCTGCTGCCCCACCTAAGCAATGACAAGCATTGGCAAGCCTACTGCGTCGGGACACATAAGAGAAGCCTAACGGGCCCGTTCCAGTCCATCCTTTCGTTCTTACGAAAATTGGCCACGTACAGTTCCTACTATGCAGTCTTTGGACAGCCACTGCTAGAAGCATCATAAGCTGGCATCGGAGTCAGAACGATGACCGGACCCAACCACAGAAGCCGTGACATGTGGTTTTTGGGGGAGAGGGGGAAGTACGTGATCCGGATGGTGCTGCTGCAAGCTACACTTCCCCACCACCCGAGAGTACTGTAGGGGCCTTAATAATTAGAAAAGGGTTTTGGAGGTTCCTTATTATACTTTATTATAGTATAATATATACCCCCATACCCTATTTCACTGAGCAACGCCCCTATACTATGGAAGCCTATTGTAGATCCTTTAAAGGGAACCCTACTTTGCTGCTTAACGCGCCAATGTTAGCTTTTGCGGGGCAGGATTTCCAATTCGCAGGCGCAGTCAAAGCAGTAGCTTAGACTTGAGTCCTTGAGCTTTTAAGGGATCCTTCAAGGGACCTATAAGGCTTAAGGTTTTCCCTCTTACTTAGCAAGGACGGAGCCTGCATTGTAGGGTACTTTGGTTGGACAGCTGAAAGCGCCTACAGCTTCGTTAAGGTGTAAGGTTTAGGGTTTAGGGTTTTAGTTCCACCTGTGCAGTGAAGCCATTTGTGCAGCCAGGCCTCTCGGGGTGTTGCCGGGTTAACAAAAGCCCTAAACCTTGTAAAAACAGAAACCTCAAACCCGAAAGACCTTCAAAATCGACAACTTAAAAACCTGCAACCCTGAAGCACACCACCCATGTGGGTGGTTGTCAAAATTGGGGGTCCCTTTTTTGGGGTACCCTAAATACTAGGTGCCGTATTATACTAAGGACCCAAAAAGGGACCATAATTTTGACAACCACCCATGTCGAAGTTGGGGCTATGGTTGGGCGTACACTTTGCCGGCACACGTGGTTAGCATTAGTTACGGACTAGCTTGATCATCGAATAACTCCAGCACCTGCAAACCCTAAACCCGAAACCCTATATAGAATATAGATACTACCCAGTGGTTTTGGAGGTTCCCTTGGCTCTTCAGCTCCTTACTTAATAGGAATGATCATCATCCCCGGCTCCTTAGCTCCCCCAAAAAGGGAGTTTCCGAAAAAAGGGGGCCCTAATATAGCACCCTAAAGAGTAGGATCCTTGTTATAGGGACCACCAAATAAGGTACCCCGAATTTCGGAAACTCCCAAACCAATGGTTAGAATCGGTTAGAATCGAACCATAAACCGTTGCAACGAGTCCGCAGGCCGTGTGAAGCTGCTGTAGCGCTCTGAACAGTCACTACTTGGAGGTTCATGGGTAGTTATAAGTAGGGTTATAAGGCCCCTAATAGGAGTTATAAGTATAGTTACCCTTATGACTTATGATTTCTTTATATACGTCCCTAAAACTATCCCTTGGTCCTTAGGGTCTGGTTTAGGGTTTACGCTCTCGCAACTCGGACATGCCTGACGAGGTCTCTGGTGCTGTGTGCTATGACGAGTCGGTACTAGCAGCTGACGATCTGGTATAGGGTTTAGGGGGTTAGGGCTTAGTGTTTACATATAGCACCGAAGTATTGTTTAATATTGGTAAATAAGATCCGCTTAGGCCCAATAAGGGAACATATGAAATGCCCCAGAGGTCTACCTAGGTATGTCATCCTCATTGCCATCCGGTTGCCGGCTCTGGAAAGGCATCGCCGGGCGTCTTGTAGACGCGGGTCTTAGCCAGCACAGGGTTGGGTTTTGTTTTGCTAGGGCTTAGGGTGTACGTAGAGTGTAGGGCTTATAGGGTTCATTTGGTTGGGTGTTTGATGGTTTTGGCCGTAAACTGCACTACCGAGCTACACTGCACGGTGCACACCACACTGAGGGTCGGATACGCAAGTTGGAGGATTAAAGTTTCCGGTGGCCTTAGGATATGATTACAGGGTTTAGTGTTTGTGGTTTAGGGTTTAGGGGTTTGGGGTCTAGGGTTTTTTGTTAAAGTGCACTAGCCCCTTTCGTAGGGTTTAGAATCGCAGGGTTCGAGGATGTAGCATTGGATGCATTGGGCCTGATGTAGCAGCCATGAATTGTAAGCTTGGGTAGATCTGATGCCTGCAACAAGGGTTGTATAAGTATGAATGTATGATCTCATCAAGCAAGGTAAAAACTTGAGCGGCTTGAGGTTTCGGGTTTCAAGGGTTCCCCAAGCGCTCGAAGTGGTCGGAGACTACGGCACCACCACGCCAAAGAGCTAAATCCTCAGTGCTCTTTTTCCAAACTTCGTTGCCAAGCCTTGTCAGGAAACCCGTGCTGAAACAGTTGAACCCCTTCCGCCCCAATGAATTCGCGAGCTTGGTCATCGAGTGATTTGGGGGTTTGTAAAGCTTTATAGAGCTCATGCCTCAGGATGTGACAACACACTACAAGCCCACGTCGACCTGCAGCACTTTGCCTGTTTCCCCAGAGGGTCCATACACCCTAGCATCATGGAATTAGGTCCGCAAAAAACCATAACAGGGATCGTCTTTTGGGACCTAATGACCTAATGTACACGGACCATCTGGGAACTCGACAAGTATTTCCCTACGTACTGACGCCCTGAATCGCGACAGCTGCGAGCAGCCAAGTGTCTGGTTGCAGCTGCAAGGCCTTCCACGCCACGGCTGAGAGGTGCCGGTGGCTACATGTAGACTGTGTTGGGAGAAAGCGCTGCAACAAACACAGTAAGACTTGAGAAGAGTAGCCAGTATTGCTATACTTGTTTGTCCTCTGGCCCTCTGAAGGCTATTCTACTCTTGCACTAGAGGGTCTGTGGGCGTTGGATGGCCACTACTCATGCTCCTTCACTCCTATGGCTTCCTTCATCTTCTGGTCGAAGGCATGCCTCAAAAAGCCTGCAAGTTCAGCCCTTCAGCGCTCCAACCTCGAAACACAAAACTCCCCTCAACCCCCGCCAGTGCCAAGTCTTACAGAACCCCTATGCAACTCTTCTGCCAATCATGAAAGGAAGCCAAACGGTAATGTAGCAGTCCGGTGGCCGCATTAGGAGCCCAAATAACCCCAACACCCTCGTCTAGTAATTCAAAGTAGCCAGTGCCTGCTGGTACAGCAGACTCAGCTTCCCCTTGTAGCGCTCGCGCGAGCGCGGCGTGAAGATATCGTTCAGGTGGCTGACGAGCCATCCTGGTTGACTTACATAGTGGTTAAGGGTTGGCGTGCAGAAAGAATCCTTCAACAACTCCCGTAACCTCTCCTATAAGGGATCTACGAGGGATCTCTAAACAGCGCCACAAACATCAGGTTCTTCACCTCCGGGCCGGCATGATGAAACGATGAACCACAAGCCACAAACAAAAACTGAAGAAACCGAAAATTCAGGAGCCAAAATGGCAATGCTGCGTTTCTGAACCTGATACGCTCTCCCAATCAACGCATGCCTAAGAACATGGAAGCCTGAAGCGAGCACCACAATCCGAGTCTGCCACTGGTACAAATAGAAGTTAGAATGAGCCTTGTCATTGAAAGCAGTGGTAGTAGCAGCTGCAGCAGCAGCAGTAGTAGCAGGACGAGGCATAAGAGTAAGAATAGGGTACGATGATGAGGAGGAGGAGGAGGAGGAGGAATGAGCAGCATCAGCAATATCGTAGTAGAAGTAACTGCTGGAGAAGAAGCAGCTGGAGCAAAGGCAGGAGTCGAAACAAATGCGGCAGCTCCACTAGCAGGGTAGTTGCAGCAGCAGCACTAAGAGCAGTTGTTCTTGTCGCTGGTGATGGTGTAGCAGCATGGCTGTCCCTGCAGATGGATTTTGGCATGACACAGCCTCTGAGACCTGTGGAAACCCGATCGAGACCCACAGGCCCGACAGCCTACCTGGACCCTCAAAGTATGTAGAATAATAGCCTTATATAGGGTTTGGGCCATTATGTCACCTACTTTTGGTGTTCTATAGGTACCCTAAGGCTCCATAGCAGTTCCTTTTTGGGGTGTTTATGTATGGGTAGTTATACGTGGGGTTAGAAGCCCCCTAATAGGAGTTGTAATGATACTTGCCCGATTTATAACCCACTTATAACTACCCATGAACCTCCAAGTAAATCAAAAGCCCAAAGCACAACAAAAACGCTGTCCTGTGTGGCGCTGCCAAAACCACTGGCGATACTTCTCTTGCAGCAAGGCGGCATCCTGGAGAGCAGGCGCTGAGGGTAACATGCAAGGCCTAGGCCGTAACGTGCCTCTTCGGTTTCATACAGTACCTATAAGTCTTCATAGTTTCTTTCGGTGTAATCAACTTGTACATAATGGACCCTGTAAGGTAGTCCCACAAAGTAACTACAACGGAGACTGTAGGTAGGCTGTATAGCTTTACGCACATGTATGTATCACAAAGCCGCACCTTAGAACTGCAGTTGCCAATCTTTGCTTCAAAATCAAGGCCCTGAGCGAATCCCCCGTCAGGAAGCCGGAACACGCACACATGCACACATGTACACAAGCACACATGCATACATGTTACATGTACTCGTATATTATATACACATGCATGCACGCATACATAATATATATATATATATATATATATATGTACATAACGGCAACAGGAAATCGTTGCCCCAGTCGAACTGTCATGGGAAGAACCGTAAAAACGTCAAACCGCTTTTTGGCGCATTGTCACCACAAGTGAAATACGGTTCGGGGTTATTCTTACCTGACCCTAAGGGTCCATATGGTCGACTAGTTTATACTTATTAAGCCTTAAGTAGTCACTACAGAGGTACTGTGGGGACAAGTATATATTGTGTTGAGCACATGGACCCTTGGGGTACAGCATCGCACGAGTTATGTTGGCAGTACGTCAAGCTTACAGCGATATGGGAGTTTCCGAAAAGAGGGGACCCTAAAAAAGTATCCTAAACAGTAGGATCCTTATTATAACGACCCCTGAATGAGGTACCCCTATTTTCAAATTCGGAAACTCCCATATGGGCGGTTGTCAAAATTATGGTCCCTTTTTGGGTCCCTATTGTAGTACGGCACTTAATCTTTAGGGTACCCAAAAGGGAACCCTAATTTTAACAACCACCCACATACAATCCTGAACAAAGGCCCATGGTCAGCAGTGGGGGACCGTCGGTCGAAGCGCAGCGAGATTTCTCACTGCCCGGAGCGATGGCGACCCGTGCACAAGATCAACTCTGCCACCCCCTTTTCTACTAATCATATCTGTAAGAGCATCTTCCCCCCCAAAACTCTGCAGAAGCCCTATTCAATGGCCTAGCTCTGTTGAAAAACCTAAGACCTTAAACTGGGGGCGCCGGAGTTCCTGCGACAAAGAAGAAAGCCCTGATCCTCCTCAAATACCCTGAAGCCCACCTAGGAGGTGCTTTTAAAGCCTTTGACAAATATTAGTAGGTAAGATCCTCTTAAGCCCAATAAGAACAAATATGAAATGTCCCAAAGGTTTACCTAGCCACACTTTAAAAGCCCTGAACCCTCCCACCTTGCGCTGCAGCGCCAGAGCGACGGACCGGCTGAAGATGCGGAAGTTGCTGTTGTCCATTGGCTTCCAAAGCACCTCGAGCTTTTAGGCTGAGCCTTGTTTTGAAAACCTGGGTACTTCTGAAGGACGAGCCCGCATGGCAGGGTTAGACAAGTCTTCTAGGATGAGGCTTTAGGATTTGGGGTTTAGGGCAAAACTCACGGGGTTTTTGGTGCCTTTGTAAGGGAGTATGTTATTGGGGCCTCCTTCAGGGCGGAGATTTTGTTTGTTCATTTTTGTGTGGCACTCTTTTTTTGTTTGTTGGTGTTTCTCCCTGGGTTTTCCTTAGGGAAAACACTATTTCCTTGCGTTTTGGACGAATTTAGTGTGATTTTCTTGGTTTGTTTTAAGAAAACATATTCTTTTCCATTGATTTTTCCTTAGGGAAAACACTGGTTAGTGTTGCTGTTGTGGTCTTTGCTGCTCTAGCAAAAAGCTTAATCTATAAACAAGCGGGGGGCACGATTACTATTACTATTACTATTACTATTACTATTACTATTGCTATCACTATTACTATTGCTTTTGCTTTTGCTTTTGCTATTGCTATTGCTATTGCTATTGCTATTACTGCTACTACGACGACGACGACGACGACTACTACTACTACCACTGCTACTATTACGACTATTACTACTATCACTAGTATTACTATTATTACTACTATTACTACTGTTACGACTATTACTACTATTACTATGACTATGACTAGGACTATGACTATCACTATCATCATTAGTATCACTAACAGTGTTAGTAGTAGCCTTTGCATGAGCTTTAGCATGAGTATTAGTAGCAGGATTATAGGCTTAGCAATAGTATTAGTAGTACTATTAGTACTAGTATTAGTATTCGTGTTAGTACTCGTCTTCGTCTTAGTATTACTATTTCTCTTCCTCTCTTCCTTCCTTCCTTGCTCCTGGCATTCCTTTGTTGCTTCTTTCCTTCCTTCCTCTTGATTCCTATTTTAGCCTTCCTTACTTGTTTCCTTCACTCCTTCGATTCTTCCTTCCTTAGCCAGCATCCTGTGTAAGTAACAGGACGTGGGGGCCAAAAAAAAGGGCCCCAAAAAAAGGCACAACATAATAGGTTCCCCTCCTTAAGATTTCTAGACAGTTGCTGTTGACGGCGGGTTCTGGAATGGTTGCGCGTTGCTTTATCCAGTTTGGCCATAATACATGGAATGGGGTTGGGGGTCTGCTATCATGATACATTTACAAAGCGATATTACTATTACTATCAGATACTATCACCATTGGTACTATCAGTCCTTCCGACCTCTTCTGTAATTTGGCTTTTGGGTGCAACGTAAGGCTCCATAGTAGTTCCTTCTTGGGATTACCCTATAGAATTCTAGATATGAACCCCAAAAATAAACTACGATGGAGCCCCTAGGTATAGCCGATAGCCATGGTATAGCTCTCGTCGGCGGAGGTGCAATGATTCTGAATCCGTCTACTATTTGCTTAAGAACCCCCAAAAATAAAAACATAATAATCCCTATATTATCCCTATAAGGAATATATTTCTAATTTTTGGGGGGTTCTTAAGCAAATAGTAGCCGTAGAGAGCGAAGTGGCAGAGCCCGGATGCAACGTTAGGGTTCAAGGCTCGGTGTTGAGGGCTCAGTGCTTAGGGATGTTTAGTCGGTGCGTCTTTGTGTTGCGATGCCTGCTGTCTCTCTGATCCGTATATAACTACAGTGCCTGGTGCGAGCTATCGCTGCTTTTTACCTCTGTTACCCGCTAGCAGCCATGACCGTCACCATTGTCATCCTCACCACGGATTTAGCAGCCAAGACTTCCGGTTTCGGGGCGAACACAATCGGCAGACGTGTGGCTGTACGTAGCGCGGGATGGGATGTTTGAAACACGTTTTAGGGTTTAGCGTGCCATTGCAAACACTATGCCGTACACAGGGAACATCGACCCTCCAACGACAGAACTAGGAACCCTGGGCAATCTTTGCAGCATCAAGCACTGACGAGATCAGCCAGCGGATAAGACGATCCAGGATGTAGTTGAGAAGAATCATCTGGCCTCGATTTCTTTCTCCCCTAATGGGATGAAAAGTGAAATCTTTCAGAATGGGAGTGCATTAGAAAACCCCAAACGTCTAAAAGTTTGGTTTCGTACCATTTAATGAAAAAACATGCATTTACCTTCGGGCCAATCTACAAACCCTGCAATCTGGATCCCAAACCCGCAGACTCTTGGGCCACGTGGGATCTTTGGGGGGCGGGTCCGGGCCTGTCTCTTGTTCCGGATCGAACGAGAGTCGAATAGGGCACCGGGTTTCGGCTTTCAATGGTAAGCGGTCCTCTGGGGGGGCTGCCACCGGGAGGTGGGGGGAATGGGAGCTGCAGGTTTGGACTACAAGCACTACTGCTTCTGCTGCTGCTAACTCAGTACTCTACTACTTCCAGTCTACTTAAGGGATCAGGCGACTTAGTCAGTAGGGTTATGCGTGCAGTAACCATGTGGCTATGCCTACCTATAAAACCTGCCTACCCTGAGTGCTGCCAGCATGCCCACCATGATGAACAAGGCTGGGTCGTCCAGGGGGTTCATCCTGAGAGATGAGTTCTTTGTGCTTCTTTGCCACCCGCCCAGCTGAACAAAGTCGCACCGCAGGGAACACGTCCGAATCTGCTACTTTGTGGTTTAGGGTTTAGAGGGGTTGTGTGGTTCGAGTCTTGAGCTTCTGAGTTGACCACACCCAAACCTGAATATGTGGGTGGTTGTCAAAATAGGGGTCCCTCTTTGGGGTACCCTAAATATTAGGTGCCGTATTATATTAAGGACCACAAAGGGGGCCATAATTTTGACAACCACCCATATGTGATTTCAAGTCTGGGTTTTCCCAAACCCTATACGCCCTGGCCCCATAGACCGTAGCATCAACTCTGAACCTTCTTGCTGGACAGCCGTGTCGAAACGCACGATTCTGTGCGAAAGGGTGCGGACCGCTGATTACCCCATTTTACACCTAACGGCTTGTTCGATTGGGCTTCTGAAGTGGGGCGTAGAGTCGAAATCGAACAAACTGTCCAGGCAACACTTCGGGCCCGTCAGAGTATAGTCTCCATATGTCTCCATTGTAGTTCCTGTTTTGGTTTAACCAATTCTATATTGGGGATCCTAAAAGGTAACCCCAAAAAAGGAACTACAGTGGAGACTGTAGGTAGACTTCAACGGTGTGGTGTGTAAAGATATCTACGTTTACGGCTCTGGGAATCTAATTTGGATGGTGGTCCCATTTTGCACATGAAGCAAGACCTGGGTTGTAGTTTTGGGGCTCTGAAAAGTATTTATGAATAGGTACCTCTAGAGAAACCATAAGGGGAAATTAAAAAAGCTTCCCAAATTGACACCTAGAGAAGTACAGAATAACCCCTGCTCCGACTCGAAAATGACGAGGACAAGCTCTGCAAACCACCACGCGCGAGCCTGAAATCACATCACTCCGTCGATGTACTGTCGACGTAAACTCCAAGCCACGATCCACCATAGACACCCAAACCCAATCTTAACCCCAAGTAACCTACCTGTTTAAGGACTTATATAACCTGAGGGTCCAGGAAAAGAGTCAGCTCGACCCCGAACACCAAGCCCGATGTGGCAGTTTCGCAAAAATTGGGGGGGTACCTTATTCTGGGGGTCCTGAAAAGGATGACCCTACTACATTCAGGGTACTATGTTAGGGTCCCCTATATTCGGAAACTCCCATGTCAAAGACGTCGGATCATCAAACCGCGGCGCGACTTTCGCAGGAAGATTGTGATGGACAGCAGCGAGACAAGCATACCCCAGGTGTAGTAGGTCTCGATGAAGTAGAACCTAGGTCACGTGTAGGGCTTAGGATGCGGGACGAGTTTCCCAGCCTGTCCAAAATTTGGAGCAGGTTATGCGACGGTATACTCATGCTACAGAAACCTACCTAGACCCCCCAAAAAATTAGGCAAAATAATGGCCCAAACCCCATAAAAGAAGGCTATTTTTCTACATACGTTCATAAAAAAGGCTATTATTCTACATACTTTGAGGGTAAGGACTCATGCTGGTAGTTGCTCGAGCTTCTCTAGAGTGGGTTGCAAAAATCAGTCTACAGTGCAGGTCTGGAAGCTGAGCACAGAAGGCGAGGCGAAATCCCGGAAAGGCGCACTTTAAGAGAGCCCGGTTTCAAGGTCTGGGGCATTGGTTTAGGGTTTCGGGTGGTTTAGGGTTTAGGGTCTATAGGGTAGTTTAGGGTTTAGTTTTGGGGCTACACAGATTCGAGCCGACTGGTGGTGGGCATTTATAAGCGTCTGCAAACTAGTAAGAAGATCACCTTGCAGAGTTCTATACAGCCACGCTAGAAACTGCTCGAGTAGTCAACTAAGGCCCTTGTACTTGTCACTGGGCTTTAGACAATCCGGAAACCGAAAACTCGAAGTTCCAAGCCGAGACTTTCAGGAATTCCAACAAGCATACCCAGGAGTAAGGACTAATTGCTAATTCTTGCGCTTAAGGAAAATAAGGGGGAACGCGAGTAACGCAAATTGCAAAATCAGAATATTGGCGGTTCCTCCGATAGGTAAAGGTTCAAGCTTGTGTGTGAAAGGAGAATTGTGGGGTCTCGAGAAGCACCCGCAAGAATACACGAGATGGATTCAGGTTGTCATGAACACCTAAGCCCCAATTAAACCCTCGACCACCAACCCTATACCTCCCCAGACCCTTTGGAAGACGAGGAGTGCAAGAGTAGAAGATATACCTTAGGGGTTCCTGAACATAGCTATTGTATGTTCTTCCCGAAAAACTCTCTTCTAATGTTGAAGGTCGCCATATACAACCCTTTATACCCTATAAACCGCTTGCAGAACCCTTCAAAGGAGCCCTATTCTCATTATTCAGGCCCCTATATTCACTCCAGAAAGCTTGCGCCGGTTTCGACTCCCAGTTCCTTGTCCTTTCGTCCTCCCCGCTTCAGCACGCCGTCGGCGACGACACCCCAAAGGACGACTGAGAGTTACGGCCTAGAGTTTTACTTAGGGTTTAGGGTCAAATCAGATTGCTTTGGGTTTAGGGTCAAATCAGAAGCTCGTCTAAAGCAACCCTCACAGGGCAGAACAGGAAGCACGACAAAACTCAATGAAGCGCTCAGGAGAACTCCACTCCTCACCCCGGCCATGAAGAGCCTCACCAAGAAATGGAGAGTCAACAAACTACGAAAACCGTCATGCCAGAGACAGTCATTACCCAGAGGCCCCATAGTGGTTCCTTTTTGGGATTACCTTAAAGAATTGTAATACATGAACCCCCAAAAGGAACTACTATGGCGCCTCTGGGTAATGAAACAAAGACAAGCATCACTACATGAAAGTAAACGTAAGCTGGGTCCCCGGGCTGTGGCGAGAATGCCAGGTGGTTTACACTCTGAAGCGGCTCCGCGATACTCAGGTCGAGTCGTGGGTCGTCGAAGAGCCAGCCTTTTCAATTAGGGTTCAAGGGGGTTTCAGGGTTACGGCCTTTAGGGTTTACGGTTTCAGGTCATCTTAAGGGTTACGGTCTTGCTATGATGCTTATCAAGGGCTCTTCTGTCGCTAGAAAGCTCTTCTTCAGAGGTTCTATTTCATGGCCCATGGTGTCCATTTACCAAAGTAGTATATACTTTGGCCTTAAAGTAATTCATACATAGGAACCTTGGGGGACCCTTCGGCTGAGGGTGTTGAGTTTAGGAAGTTTAGGGTGTTTAAGGGTCTGGGAAGCGGGGATGGGGGTCATCGTAAAGCAACATGATTCTGATCAGGGATTCAAGAGGTGGTGCTCCAAAGCACTGGTTTGGGGTTCTAGGGCTTTGGGTTTGGGGGTTTAGGGACCTCAACTTATAGGAAAGCTTTGGGAGGAAGCAAACGGAGACTCCAGTACGTAGATGCAGGAACAGCATAAGCCCTTAGCCCTAAACCCTATAAGCCCTGTTCTACGACTTCTCAGCATGGTCCAGGCACGGGTCACACGATTGCGCCAGCGCCACTTGGCGTAGAGCATGTAGTCGTAAATGCGGACGTTATTCTGCAATTCTGTGGCCTGGCGTCCAGAAAGTATAGAAGCGTTGGAAGGCGCGGTTTCGGTCCATTTGTGCTTTGGCTCAGGGTTGTCATCCCAAAGGGCTTGGGGTTCAGAATGTGGGCGGTTGTCAAAATTAGGGTCCCTTTTTGGGTCCTTAATATAGCACGGCACCTAATCTTTAGGGCACCCAAAAAGGGACCCTAATTTTGGCAGCCACCCATGTGTCTACATCCGGAAGAAGTGCTGGTAGAAACCCATCACTTTTCCGGGATTTCTCTGAACTCTGCAGTGTTCCCTGGCTATTCCTTCCAGTGTGAGTCTGCTAAGCAGGCCCGAAACCCTAAATCCTATTGAACTAAGCCCTAAGCCCTAAGCCGATTTAACCCGAAACCCTACATATATGCAATGCATATGTATATATAAATATATATATATATATATATATACACACACACACTTGTAAACACATGCAGCATATGTATATATATATACATGTATAGTATACAATGAAAACACATACATAATATGGCTCTTTTCTGGAAATCATTCAGCCTCCGTGTGATGAGTACCAGAGAGCCACACGAGATAGTTAGAAAGCAGTGTTACAGTTCAGGCCCCTGCACTTCGGTGTAGGGCTCAGCACCTTGGGCCGTATGAGCCCTTGAATCAACCCTAAGCCCCGAAATACTAACCACGGATGAGTCCTTAACCCTGCAAGCGCCCTAAGTAGCCCTAAACTCGAATTCCTAAGCCCTGAATCCTAAACAACTATTTGAGCCAGAAGGATCATAAAATCATAAAGCTCCAGCGAAGCCAGGCCAGAAAGCTGATCGATGAGAGCCTAAATCCTAGACCCCGAGCACCGACAAGTGAAGCCAAGTTTCGTGGTTCATCAAGATGTCCATCATGACCTTCAGGGTTTCAGTGCTTTAGCGTGGGGTTTCGAGTCTGGAGTCTGCCCATTAGCGTCATGTAGAGTTCTTTGCCCAGGCTTCACCCTAAACTCTAAACTCCTAAACTTAGTTGCTGAGTTCATAATGCCCCCCGAAGTGTACACTTTTAGTTTCACAGTGTGTACTATTTTCCCAAAGAGTGCCCCCAAAAGTGTAAAGTGTATCCACTCAGCTACTAAGTAAACCCTAAATCCCCATTACCTAAACCCTAACCTGACGCTCTTACAACGTGGCCTCTTGGGTTTGACTCTGGAAGCTGCGCAATCCGGCCGTGGTACTATAGGGGCCTTAATAATTCAATTAGAACAGGGTTCCCTTTAAAGGGTTTCTTTAAAAGGGGTTTAAAGGGATCTATGAGAAGGCTCTATGATAGGGACCTTAATAATTAGAAGGGTTTGGGGGTATCTAGTTGGGCTTCACTTTATCAGATTTCGGTTTCAAGAACCCCTTACATAGAAATTCTTACTTGTCCAGTATCCTGGAGGAAATAAAGGTTCGCTAACCTTTGGGATTATTAGACTGGGTCTTGGCCAGAAAGTCGTACTATACAGACTATACATACCTATGTGGAACCCAGAGGAATCATCGTAGTACTTATTCCGGCTTCTATACCTTAACCCCAAGCCCTCTACCGAAACCCAGACTCTACACGTCCCCCCTAAGCCCCTAAACAACCCTAAACCCTAAAGGCCTGGAAGGGGGCGATGATAAGACCGAAGAGCAGGTAACAAACCAAGTCTGTGCTTCGGATGTCGTACTGCCTGGGCGACTTTGGGGGGTGTATAGGGTTTTCAGGGCTTAGGGCCTTTTAGGGTTTACGCTCTCGCAACTCGGACACAGCCAGGCGAAGTTCTTAGGTGCGGAGTCGGTGTGAAAAATGCCTTGGGGTCGATTCTCACTTGTGCCAGTTCACCGCAGGGCTACCAAAACATGATAAAAAATACACAACGTCGGAGAATCTGTGTCAATTCAGTGCCAGCTCTCTAACGGTTTAGGGTTTAAGGCCTTTTAGGGTTTAGGGTTTAGGGACGTGGGCCTTATAGGCTTTAGGCCTTAAATACGGCTTAGGGTTTAGAGCCCTCTAGGGTTTCGGGCCGCTGGTTTAAGAGGGCCCGGGGCTTACGAGGGCGCTTGGGGTTTAGGCTCTTCTGGCCTATAGGGTTTAGGTTAGGGCCTGGGGTTAGGGTTTAGGGTTTAGGGTTTAGGGGTTGAAGCGGGCTTGGGGTTTAAGGTTTACAGGCCTTGTAGTAGAAGCCGAAAAGTTGGAAAGGCAATAGCCTGAATCTCCAAGAGTCAAGAACAGGGAATCCCAGCACGACTTACTTGTCCTTGGGGTCTGCAGAACCAAGCAAGGCAATGCGACTTGCACAAAAGCCTGCGTAAGGTTCGCATGCTCGGCCCGCCGGCTGGTTCTATTGATGATATACATTCTGCATTACCTTAAGGACCCTAAACTATGGAAATTATAGTACTAATTATGCGTAGTGCAGGATTTGTAATATCAACCGTATCATCCGGGAGTTAATATTCAAAACGCGATAGAGCTTCCTACTTGTCGGGTATCATGGGGAAAGGTTAACCTTTATTTGGTTATATAAGGACTATATAGGGACTACACTACCCAAAAAAGGTTTAAGGTCACCTACGATTCTCTACTACTAGGGGTTCAAAACGCAATAGAGCTTTTGAGGAGCTACAGCGCACATGCCTCAAGCATGAATCCTACTGCGGGGGTCCACGATTGACACAACTAGAACCTGCCAAGCACAAACTGATGGGAAACACAAGGTGATCGAGGAGACTTTTTGACAAACTGAGCAGGAATCGTGGCACACATACCACTTCAAAAGGACAACCAGGAAACCAGCATGACAACGTTGACACATCGATTTCCCAGAGTGACGAAGCCGAGCGACTTCCCTCGAAAATCCCAGAATTGCATGGAAGCTGCGCCGGAATCTCCGTTTCCTCGGCGAAGAAGAAAATGGCGAGGATAATGAACGGCGTCATGACTGTGCCTGGCAGCTGCACATGCCAAGCCCGCCAAAAGCCATATGTGAACGTCGACTCCGTGCGAACTGGTACCGTGTAGTGCGTAGTGCTGCTAGTATCAGTGGTCATCGCCGACATCACAAGCAACTACAAAACCCGTGCCACATAAGCAGCATGCGACATTGAGAACAACCCAGGTATATATGCTAAACTCGTGATCGAGAAGTGGCCGCAACCGTGCTCATCCCTCACCTCTCTCATTGTTCTTAGAGACTGAATACACAAGGGCCCCCAAAAATGCTAACAAACCTTTGCAATTATGCTAAAATTCCATAAGCCCCAAACGGTTAAAGGTTACTATAGGGGGGGGCCTAGTACATAGAATAGGGCTTTGGGGTGTCATTCTGAAATGTTCATAATCAGGAGCCTCCAAAATAGTCTTGGTAATTATGAAGGCCCCTTCATGAGCTACTCAGCTACGAAACTCGTCATAACTAGCGGCCCAGGGGCGAGAAAAAAGCTGGGAACAGTCATGGCCAAAAAACTGGCAATAGGTAGGATTTAGGGGTTTAGGGGTTTACACTCTCGCAACTCCAGGGAATTAGGGTTTAGGAAGTTAAGATTTAGGGCCTTAGGGTTTAGGGGATTTGAAGATCGATCCTTCACCGACAAGCATCCAACATCTAACCCCCCACCCCACCTGCAACCAGATTCGAAACAAGATCGATCGTTCCCCAACAAGCAGCCAACATCTAACCAATCAACCCCACCTGCAACCAGCTTCGAAACTGTAGCTGTCAACATTCAAAAACTCAGCAATCTGTACACTACACTCAGAAAGCCTCATACCCGAAACTTCCTGGACCCTCAGGGATATAGGGCTTAAGAACGCCTTACACAGCGTGAAAACTCTTACGACCACCGCCGGAAGGCTCATGCACGTAGTTCCACAGCCGATCACCTCCTCCATGGCTTCCTCTATGGGCGTGCCCTCCATGACCATCTGCGCCAAGGCTGTCGCGTTTTAGGGTTTAGGGCTTGAGGGTTTGGGGTTTGAGGATTTATTTCACTAGGGTTTAGGGTTTGAGGATCAGACAGTGATATATCGTAAGTCTTGTTTACTGGCCAGTTCATCATCGTGGTTTTTGCGCAGGGTGTGGGAGTGCTGAGGTTTTGGGGCGGAAGCATCGGACAAGAAGGATGTTGGGCTGCTCGTGCGAAAGCAGTAGCATCACGCCACAAGCTTGCTCCACAGCATCGCAGGGTACAGCATAATTAGTCGGAAACCGGAAAGTCATGTTGTGGTACTGGCCATAGGCGCAATCCTGACTGGAACCTACGCAGAGAGGCATTTGGAGTGGCTGCAGAAGAATGGGCTAAGCTTCGTGCGCTCCGCAGGCAAGGCAAAAGTGAGACTGACCCGACGCAGCCTCTTCTGGAGCCATTTCCTCAGCTGCTTGCCGCCCCGAAAACCAACTGTCACGGCAAAAGGCGTGGGGTTGAGATTGTTCGGAGATCCTGTAGCCCAAACCCTACCGGTTCATAAATGAGAAGGGAGGACTGTCTCCTACAGTCCTTGAACCCCCTGATCCGCCGACCAATTAACTCCCGCCATCCTTTTGCCATTCGTCGCCCTCGATGCCCGCTTTGAATGTTTAGGATTGGGGTTAAGGGATGAAGGAGATGAACTTTCGCGCACGAGGAGATGCGCGACTTACGGGCTTGTTCACAGGGTGGTCTGCTTAGGAATCATGTCGTGCAACGGTTTAGTGCTAAACTCTTCCGGGTCTTAAGCCTTGAATGCACGCACTTCACTGGCTTCGGGTTTGGGGCTCGGGGTGTAAGGCCGACCTACTCTACCCTTTTTGGAAAAATGGTGCACGGTGAACAGGTCCTCACTTGAGTACGACTCATCCAACAGAAGCGTTCTTAGTTCCGTGTTTCTTTCCCAGACTTCCAAAAAGCACTGCAGATCAGAATATTGCAGGCTTCCCTAAACTCGAGCACCCTGACACTCTGGCTACTAGGCCTTCAATCCAGAAAGTCTGTGGTATCTGGGGGCCCGCAGCACCTGAATTTTCTCAGGTTCAACCTACACCCAGACACCCAAAAGTAGGTAAAGTGATGGCCCAAAACCTACAAAAGACGCTCATTTTACATACTTAAACCCAGAACCCTTAAACCCTAAACCCCTAAACCATTATTCTACATACTTTTGGGGGGTCCAGGCGGGGCAGAAGCTGGAAGCCGGCTCCTCTCGAACTCGAGGGAAGTAGGGAAGCTAAGAAGCAAGAACGTCTGGTAAGCGCTTTCCATCACAGTAATATTAAAAGTTATATATATATATATATGTTTATTAATATTATAGTAATATATGCATGTATTAAGGAAACCCTTCAAGGAGCCCTACTTGGGCACATGGACCCTTAGGAAAAGACAAGGCCCTAAGCCGATATATGTATATATATAATAATATATATATATATATATATATATATATAATATGTATATATATATAGAGAGAGAGATAGATAGATAGATAAATACGTGTAGGAATGCTAATTTCAGTAATGGTACGATAGACATGGACGGTGTTTCTAGTCAAAGCTTGTCCACATCCGCAGTCCTTTGGCAAGGTGCATCATCATCCTTGCCCTCGGTCATCAACAGGCCGGCGCTGGAGCGTCCTTGCCACACCACACGAACACCTTCGAATCAAAGACTATCTAGGAGGGGCTTTTAAAGCCTTTGAAAAATATTACGTAGTAGGTAAGATCCTCTTAAGCCCAATAAGAGAAAATATAAAATGTCCCAAAGCCCTACCTAGCTATTCAGGCAAGCTTTGCATATACACATTGAGGCAACAAGGGACCTCTGATGAGAACCCTCAATTCCCAAACGATCTCTGCCGGACTCAAAGTCCTCCAGTGACGATGAGCGCCAAGCGCCAGAACCACGAGCGCGTCCTGGGTAGCGCCGGGCAGAAAGAAGAAACTCCGAGGCCAAAAAAGTCTATAGTCTATACCCCTATGCATCTAAGGACTCATACAGTAAGGCTTTTGGGCCCAAAGACCATACTATATAAGGCTTTTGGGGCTATTTTGCTCCGTGGGGTACCTGGACCCCGACAGTAGAATGACGGTCCTTCTAGGGCCGTAATACTTAGAACAGGGTTTTGGGGCCCACTAAAATCAGAATAAGGAACCCCCCAAAATAGTACTGGTCATTATTTAGGCCCCTGCACTAGGCCTTAAGTTTTACCTACTTTTGGGAGGTTTAGGTCGGCCCTCAAGCCCGAAACGATGAGGCCAGACACCAAAATCTCAAGAGCTTGTCCGAACAATGTAAGTAGGATGCCCAGTAACCTAGGAATAAAAAGGGCTCCCTTTTGGTATTGGGTAACTGTATAAGGAACCGAAGACTACGAAAAGGGAATTAGGCTACTACTGGGGATCCTTGGTAAAGTTTTCGGACTTTTTTCAGGAGGCCGTCTGGGTGAGATATCGCGTTCGGCTGCGGTTCGTCAGACTTGCTTTACGGTTCAGGGTAGGGTTCCTTAAGGACGAAAAGAACCCTAAAAGGATTTAGGGTTCATATACCTTATAGGGATTCATAGTACAATTCTTTAGGACCCCTGCTTTTTCGGGTCATTTGGTCCTTAAGGTTGGGACCATCGCAACTCGGACTCTGGAGGCGAAGCTTGAGGGTTTAGGCTTCAATCTTGAAGCAAAGAAGTCCCACAACTTTCAAAGCCAAATCCTCAAGGGTTTAGGGTTTATAGGGCTTAGGGCCTTAAACCCTAAACCCTTAAACCCAAAAGCCCTGAAAGAGCCCATGCGAGTCGCTTCACCCAATGGATGCCCTGTGCCACGCTCTTCTCGCCGGCCTTGCGAAAGCTCGGATGAGTTTCGGGATTAGGCTTTAAGGGTTTAGTGGTTTAGGGGTTTAAGGTTTCTAAGGATTTCGGGACTCGGGTATAAGGATTTAGGGATTCGGGTTGGGGTTTAGGGTTCTGGAGAGGCTTTTAGTTTTTAGGGTTTAGGATCAGGGGTTTACAGGGTTGAGGGTTTCGGGGTTAGGGTTCACGGTATTGAAGCTTTGGGAACAAGGTCGGGTGGAAGGAGTGCGGTGTGGAAGCTGAAGCAGCGTCCGCATCAAGTGAACCCTAAACCCTAAAGGGAACTCCAGAAAGTTGGAATATGGTTTCAGGGTAGGATACCCTATAATTTACCATAAAGGGTTTAGGATAATCATATTCCAACTTTCTGGCTTTTACTTTAAACCCTCAACTAAATCGAATTGGGGGATTTGCGTGTCCTTCAGGTGTCTCACTTCGATTGGGAGCTTGAAGGTCCCAAGACTGAGAAGACCACTTACAGCTTCATTCTGTTAGAGTTTAGGGTCTATGGGTTTAGAGCTTAGACTGAGTTTAGAGTCTCGGCCAGGGATTTCGGGCTGAAATTCAGTAGGTTGGAGAGGTTGGGGGTCTTGGAAGAGCTTCTGCTACGGTCCTATACGCCATGTTCGTGCCCCAGAAACACGGTCCAAGCTGGCAAGGACACAACGCTAAGGCCAATTGAACCCCGAAACCCTAAACCCTAGAGTAAACCTGAAACCTAAAGCCCTAAACCCGAAACCCTATCTTACCCTAAACCCCGAAACCCTAAGCCCTATACCCCTAAACCCGAAGCCTGAAGAAGACAGGGCCTCCATCAAGGAGCCTAGGATGAGGCGCTCTGCGATGCCGTAAAGCAGCTCCAGGAAGAAGCCTCTTGGGGCTCAGGTCTCTTCTTTTATGTGGGAGCTTCCGAAAATTAAGGGTCCCTTAATTTGGGGGCCCTTATAATAAGGATCCTACTATTTAGGGCAGTATATTAGGGTCCCCTATTTTCGGAAACTCTAAACCCTAAACCTTTTATAGAAAATTAAGGGGCCCTTGTTGGGGGTCCTTATAATAAGGATCCTACTATTTAGGGCAGTATATTAGGGTCCCCTATTTTCGGAAACTCTAAACCCTAAACCTTTTATAGAAAATTAAGGGGCCCTTGTTGGGGGTCCTTATAATAAGGATCCTACTATTTAGGGTACTACATTAGGGTCTCCTATTTTCGGAAACTCCCATGTCGGGTTTAGGGTTTTTTTTGCTCTTTGGCCTGATACTCAGAATCCTTCCTGTCTGGGTTGTAGTTTTGGGGCTCTGAAAAGTATTTACGAATAGGTACCTCAAAAGGAACCGTAAGGGACATTAAAAGGTTTCCCAACTCCCAAATTGCCACCTAGTTTATGTCGGGTGTAGGGTTCAGGGTTTCTGGAAATAGAGTCCTTATGGCCCTGAATAGTGGGTATTTGGGATATAGAAGGGGGTAGTTGGGGGTTTCGGCGCTCACACTCGGACAATCCAGGCGAGGCATATGGTTAGTTGGGGGTTTAGGGTTTCGGACTTATAGGGTTTAGGGAATCGGGTTGCGGATGCAGGGTTTCGGATTGTGGTTCAGGGTTTCAGGTTCAGGGGCTCAGGGTCTAGGGCTTCAGGGGTTTACTTTGGAGGGCTTTAAACCCAAAGAAGGTTACCCTAAGGCCCTAAAGTAGTTCCTTTTTGGGGTTCATATATAGAATAATAGAATCCTATGAGGTAGTCCCAAAAAGGAACTACTTTGGGGCCTTAGGGTAACCGTGTCAATTACGGCAGGATTGTATAAAATGCCAAAACGCTGAACGTGAATTGCCTACTCAGCTACTAATGCCCGAGGCCTCAGGTCAGCGTTTCGGGCTTCAGGGGGGTTTAGGGCTAAGGGGTGTAGTTTACGGTTTAGGGCATACAAGGGCTTTAGGGTTTAGGGCTTAAGGTTTTTTGGGCCCCCACTCGGCGCGGCCCATGTTCGACACAAGTTTGCGCGTTGAACACTTGCTAATCTTGTGTTGCTTTGCTTTCTGTTTGGGGGGGAGTAGGATTGCCGCAAGATTTGGCCCACCTTGACCAAAAAACAGTTGCACCACTTTCCAAGGAGGGAGGGGCTAATACTACTGCTGCCTCTGCTGCTGCTGCTACTGCTGCTGCTGCTACTACTACTACTACTACTACTACTACTACTACTACTCCTATTACTACTATTACTACTACTACTACTACTACTACTACTACTACTGCTGCTGCTACTACTACTACTACTACGACTACTACCACTACCACTACCACTACCACTACCACTACCACTACCACTACCACTACCACTACCACTACCACTACCACTACCACTACCACTACCACTACCACTACCACTACTACTACTACTACTACTACTACTACTACTACTACTACTACTTCTTCTACTACTACTGCTACTACTACTACTACTACTACTACTACTGCTCCTGCTCCTGCTCCTACTCCCACTCCTACTCCTACTCCTACTGCTACTGCTACTGCTACTGCTACTGCTACTGCTCCTACTCCTACTCCTACTCCTACTACTGCTGCTACTGCTGCTGCTACTACTACTGCCACCTACTAGACTAGAGCTACTGCTACTGCTACCATTGCTACTGCCTGCCATTGCTGCCACTGCTTCGGCTGCACCTACTGCTGCAACCACGGTCCCCTAAACCCTAAACCCTAAATCCTAAACCCTCAACCGTAAACCCCAAACCCTCAACCCTAATCCTAAACCCTCAACCCTAGACCCAAACCCCAAACCTTTGTGCTGTATCCCAAAGCGAGGCCTTCACAGAAGTCCACGAAGTCGTCGGCTCCTAGGGTGCCTGAAGTGACAGAAGGTTTGGGGTTGAGGGTTTAGGGTTCAGGGTTCAGGGTTTAGGGTTTAGGATTCAGGGTTCAGGGTTCAGGGTTTAGGGTTCAGGGTTCAGGGTTCAGGGTTTAGCGGTTGAGGGGTGCAGGGGTTTGGGGTTGAGGGTTTTAGGGTTGAGGGAAGCTTAGGGTTGAGGGTTTAGGGAGGTGTCAATCGTACGGGTTTCCGGTAGAGAGGCCCGTTTTAGGGTTTAGTGAGGTTTAGCACCGAAGATCAGGAACTTTCATTTACGACTTGGGCTTTATTCGCATTTATAAGGTTTTGGAGCGTATGGTTTCCGGCAACGTGCCGCTTAGTTTGAACATGCGCTCCTCACGCTAAGTATACCGACCCAGCTCAACCTGCCCTTCAATTACATACAAATCAAAGGGGAAAAGGAGGGACCCTTAATGGGGACCCTACCGTATAATGGCTATATAATGGGTATATTATATAATAGCTATATTAAGGGTATGTACCTAAGAGCCCAAGTAATGGTATAGTTTATATTTTTTTGTGCCCAAAGCCCCACGACGCTGAATCCTAAAACCAACAATGCCCGGACCCCAAAAGTATGTAGAGTAATGGCCTTGTATAGTTGTGGGTCATTATTCTACCTACTCTTGAGGATCTAGGCAGTCCCAAACCCAAAAATAGGATGCCCAGTAACCTAGGAATAAAGAGGGCTCGCTTATTCTATTGGGCAACTGTATAAGGAACCTAGGACTACAAAAAGGGAATAAGGGTAGCACTGGGCATCCTAGAATAAGTCCCTGAAGGACCAAATGACCCTTAACAGTAGGGGCCCTATACCCATATACTATGAATCCCTATATTAGGTCTATGAACCTTAAACCCGTTTAGGGTTCATGTCGTCCTTAAGGCCAAGGCACCAATGAAAAGCACCACGCTGCAGGCTGTTGACAGTGGGACCTGAATGAGCTCCTCGCGAACAGCCCTGCCCAAGCCACCGGCGGTTGGTTTTAGTCTTGCGCGTAGGGCTTCGGGTTCCGGCTCTTTCTAAGAGTTTAAGGCCGGATTAAAAAGTTTAAGGCTTTTGGGGTCTCGGGCAGGTATGGGGTTTGGGCGTAGGTACTGCTCAGCATGCGTTTGGATGCCATGTGCGGTCAATCCCGCAACCAAGCCTACGCCTAAGCTCCTAAACCATACACCAAAAGGGCAACACATGTGCGTGTCTGGGCGGCTGCAGCGGCTGCACGGCCTTCTAAACTAATTAATGCTTCTTCACGTGCCCTGAAGACGGCTTCTCAAACGAAGGCAATGGTACTTGCGGCGGGATGCTGAGGAGTGGGTGTCCGTTCATGCGAATATTACTGCTCTGACAACTTAAACCCCAAACCCTGATCGTCCTGATCCAAAACCAGCAGCCTAAACCCATAAACATAACCAAATTATCAGCCCTCAAATCCCCCTTAACATTCCCTACACCTCCAGGGACCTTATTTTGGGGTCCTTAAGGGGTCTAGGGCCCTAACTATCAGGTCCTTCGAGGGATAGGGATTTTGAAACACAATTGAACGCAAAACTTCCGAGGCACTGCCCTGAAACAACCCAAGTCTTCAGACCCTATAAACTGGAACAGAGGTCTCAGGGTAGCAGGGTTTAGGGCAATGGAAATTTTCCCGGGTGCTAACGGGTTTCCGCTAATTACAAAAGCTAAACCCGGAATAACCTACCTTTTGAGGACTTATATAAAGAAATTATAGTAAGGAGCCCTAAAAAGGAAGGTTCTTCAGGGTTAAGGTATAGTTACTGCCGGGCGAGATCTCTTGTACAATCTCGCGACCGGCAAATCAGCCTGGACGCAGCATAGCCCAAAGCGTCTATAGATGGTCCCGTGGCCCAGCAGTGCGGCACCATATACGCTATGGGTTATGGAATTGACTACAGGCCTCAAAAGACCACTCTTGTTGTGGTTTTGGGGACCTGTTTCCATCATGGCGGTATATATGGGGGTTTCCGAAAATAGGGAACCCTAATATAGTACCCTAGGTAGTAGGATCCTTGTTATAAGGACCCCAAAGGTACCCCCCTGTTTTCGGAAACTCCCATATGGACCCGAAAGCAGCGGCAGCCATCAGGAAAAAAACACCGATGCAACCGTAGCTCCACCTCAAGATCGGACCAGGACCGAAGCTGCTCCGCATATCTTCAACATACTACCTATAGTCTCCATTGTAGTTCCTTTTTTTGGTTTAACCAACTCTATATTAGGGATCCTAAAAGGTAACCCCCAAAAGGAGCTACAATGGAGACTATAGGTATACCTTAAGGACGAAATGAACCCTAAAAGGGTTTAAGGTTCATAGATCTAATATAGGGATTATAGATATGGGTATAGGGCCCCTACTTTTAAGGGTCATTCGGTCCTTCAGGTAGGGGCCTGCATGATGAGAGTGACAGTGTGGGGATTTTATTACCCTGTCATTACAGTAGGGAGCCCTAATTACAGTAGGGATCCCTAAGGAATCAGCCTAAGGAATACTGTTGGTAATTTTTGAGCTTCTGCATTACCCAAGTGTGCTTTTGAATGGTTCGAGCTTCTGCATTAAGCAAGTGTTCTTTGCCTCTGCGAAAACTGCACTCCCACGCAACACATCGAAGCGATTCTGAACATCAAGCGCAGCACACAGGTCTGTGCTGATACTCAGAATCCTTCCTGTAGTTGCAAAGTCCACGGCAGCTGAGCGGATGTATGGGCTTTTAGACTGCTATAGTAAACCCCGTGAAGTTGGAAACCGGATTAAGACCAAATAGTGCTGGAATTCCCTATACATTACTCTTAAGGATTGAGGCTATGGGGTGTCCACGTTTGTGGGGTTTGCTGTACTCCTATTGCTAATGCCACTTCTACGGCTCTAACATTCGCCTAAATTACGGCGAGCCGGCCTGCATCGTTAGGGCCGGGTGCTCCAAATACTAACTGAACACTGGGAGTTAGCAGTCGCACCCATCAACCTTGGCCCTACACTGTAAAAGCCCTGATCCCAACCCTAAACCCTGAGCCTTAACTTAAGTTAAACCCCAAACATCCCTGAGCCGTAAGCCGAAGAATGTGAAAATGCCCCGCATGCACCTAACCAGTGGTTTTGAGGGTTCCCTTGGCTCTTTAGCTCCTCATTTCAAAGGGATTATCATCATCCCTGGCTCCTTAGCTCCCCCCAATATGGGAGTTTCCGAAAATAGGGGGCCCTAATGTAGTACCCTAAAGAGTAGGATCCTTATTATAGGGACCCCCCCCAAATAAGGTCCCCCGAATTTTCGGAAACTCTAAACCCTAAACCCTTTATAGAACCCTTATAGATCCCTTTACGGAACCCCAATATCAATGGTTAGGCACGGCGAAGCAGGCCTCGACAAAGAGTTGTCCACAAAGTTCATGGCGAAGCTAAAGCCGATGATGAAGTACAGAGCATTCCTTGGTTGATTGTAGTTTACCCATAGGCTTTATAGTAGTTCATTTTTGGGGGTCCATATTTAGAATCCTAGAAGGTAACCCCAAAAAGGAACTACTTTGGAGCCCCTGGGTAAGGAAGTACAGACCGTTCCTTGGCTGATTTTAAGGGTCCATATGAAGTACAAAACATTCCTTGGTTGATTTTAAGGGTCCATGTACCCGAATATGAAATCCTGGTGGCCCGGAGTGCCGACGCAGGGACTGCAGTAGGGCCAATGTTTACACTAGTCGGGTACATGGACCCGTGGGGTACAGGGAAGGCAGTGAGAAGCCATCAGATTCACCATCAGCCGGGAACGGCTACACAAACAGAGCCAAACATTTTCAGATTCAGAGGCCCAGATTCCTCATCAGGGATATGGTACGTCTTCTTTTGTAGAGAGCCCTGGGGATGGGTCGTAACAGGCGCTCTACTATGAGCGCCCTTCGGGCGGGGGTGGAGACTACACTTCCTCGAAGAGGCCATGCTGACTTCAGGGCCCCTATCCCTTGAAGGGCCCCTTTAAAGGGATCTATAGGGATTCTATAAGGGTATAAGGGATCTATAGGGATTCTATAAGGGTATAGGCTATAGGGTTTAGGGCCTACTTGGAGGTTCATGGGTAGCTATAAGTGGGGTCATAAGTAGGGTAACTATGGCTAGAACTCCTATTGAGGGACTTATATCCCTACTTATAACTACCCGTGAACCTCCACGTAACATAGGGCGGGCGCCTGAAGATCTTATAGGGTTTTCGTGTTATACCGTGCCACAAGTCTACAAACCAGGTATGGCGATGTTGCGAGCACTTACCATAGGGACCCCATGCGACCACCCTATGCTTGATACCCATAACTCGCCAGCCATCTTCACCCCGTTGCTGAAGCGTCTTGACACAGAGGGCTACATGGTTTGGAAAGCGGGATTGGGTACGCATGTACAGCAGATCAATGGATGGATGGATGGATGGATGGATGGATGCTTCTCTCTTCTTCAACAACCGGCCCCAAAAAGTTCAAACTTTCTAAGATAGAGCAAATATATAAGGCCAAAAAGTTGAAAGTACCCCCGTGCACTATCTAAGACTTGATGCAAAGTGGCATTTAGGGACTGAGCACAGGCCTACAAGCAAAAGCGCGCCGAAGGACATCAAGAGCCAAGAAGCTCTCCGAAGAAATCACAGTACGTGAACTCCCACAGCAGGATCAGCGGGAAAACGAGGAAGATACCTCATGCAAGTGTAAGTAAGGAACATGCATGCCCTAAACCCTAAACCTTTTGGCGTCAGCCAGCCTTCAGAGGCGTAAGCCGTAGTTAGATGCACATCAACAGCAGCGTCAAACTCGCTAGGCTGCCAGTCTCGCATGACTATGATCCCATGAGGCACCTAAGTTCTCCAGCAGTACCAGACGTCGATTCTGCCAACCAATCGGAGTCAGAGCCAATAGGGCCCCCAAAAAGCACCTAAGCAAAAATTGGGATAGGGATATCACATATAAACCCCCTTATAATGAAGCCCAATAAGGTGGGGATATCCCTATAAAATGCTTCTGCTTATGTGCTTTTTGGGTCCCTAAGCCAAGACACTCACAAAAATCAAGTGCGCCCGCTTCCATCGGATTGGAACTGTCCTCCGGGTGGACAGAAGATCCTTTAAAGAGCCAGTACTCTCAACGCGCTAGAATGTACTCGGCTTCTCCGATTTCAAGCCATGACCCGCAACCCTCCTTACAACCCCAACCCTCAAACATCCCCTAACCCTAAACATCCCCAAACTCTAAATCCTAAAACATGACTACCTGGACCCCAAAACTATGTAGACTAATGGCCTTTTATAGGTTCAGGCTCTGGGCGATTATTATTCACCTACTTTTGGGGTCAGGCCGTACGAACCGGAGATCCTGATCTGTTGTCGCTGCTCCGCACGGAGGGTTAAGCCCTCACGACCTCGCAGTGAAGCTCTTATCGGGGTTTAGGGTTTAAGCTGCAGAGTTTTCCTTGGGCTTCAAAGCCAGGATTACAAGGTTTAGGGCTGGGGAGTTCAAGGTCTAGCGACTAGGGCTGACTTATTGGGCATTTTGTCCGGTGTAGGGTTTAGGGCTTGTAGGGCCTATATGCACATAGGGTATTATAGGGTGTGGGGTTTAAGGTGCCCGTCAGGGTCCTGTATAGTAGAATGTAAGGTTCTTATCAGAGGAATTGCAGTTCTGGTTTGGGCAGGTATCCCCCATACAGGTACATAGGACCCTTTTGCGAAGGTTTGAAGGCTTTCGGTTGTCAGAGAGCCAAGAGGATGACAACAAAAGCTCTTGGGGAGTTCTCACCGAACAAAAACCCTACAGCAGTGCGTGCGGTTTTGGGGACTGCTTTAAGGAAAGCATGATAATCAGGAGCCCAGAAAAAGTAGGTTATTTGGGGGGTTGATTTGGGGGGTTGCACGGGAACCATATGCATATGCCCTCATGTATGCAGTATGCAAGGAATTCGTGCATCTAGTGTATGTATGAACGTATGTACATAAGCAACTACGTCTGTAGGTATCTCTCTCTCTCTCTCTGCCGCGCCATCATCAAGAGTCTCGCAATGCAAGGGCGCGAAATCGCAGTTTAGAATATCAGGAGGCATTGCGCGAACGCTGAACATCCGTCATTCTTCGAGCTGTAGGTATGCATGCTAATGACAATAATGTTTATATATATATATATGCGTATATAGATGTATATTTGTACATGTTTGATTAATTTATGTATGTAGGTTTTACTGCAGGCGAGCAGGTCGGTGGATCTGCAATAAAATCGTATACGCGCCACCCACGCACATACTTCAGCATGAACTTAAAAGGGAGTGGCAAAGAAGGGTGGAGAGAAGGTCAGCCGGGACATGCCCGCGCTCGCAACTTCCCGAATTGAAGCTGCAGTGGCAGCACGATTTCGTGCGACGAAAAGCAAAACTTGCGGTACTGCGGCGGGAGCGCTTCTTCCACTTTTGCAAAAATCTTACATCTTCAACCCCTGAAAAAACAGAATGTCCACCACAAAAGCGGGACTGCAAAGATTTGAAGGACTTCGAGTGGTTTCAAAGCAGAATGGCGTACGATTTCCGCAGAATTGGCACAAGACGTGGGTGGGAACACCATGCATATCAAGTTGGACAGGGAAGGGTGCTGCATTTCAAAATGTAGCTATCGGCTGTCCCCGCGAACTTGCTCGAGCGAACCGCGCAACCACCGTCCGCTTATTAGGGCTGAAGAGTGAAGCCTGTTTCCCTTATTAAGACTATGGGCACAAAGCGAAGATGCTTTGGTATGACTCTGACAGGACTTTGGGGTTAGGGGGTCTGCGGCTCAAGGACTTGCGTCTCTTGCCATTTAGTGCCTCAACCAAAGGATCCAAGTACCATAATAGTAGCTATTTGGGCCCAACAAGTCTAAACTATACCATTACTTGGACCCTTTGGGTTTAGGAGTATAGCTCGCCACTACTTATTTAGGCCCTCTAGTAGGTTATTAATCCAAAAGACTTTAATGCGACGCTTGCCATGTGGTGTTATGGCTTTGCCCAAAAAAAGTACTTGCGTTTATGCTTGACCTTGAGCCGTGAATGCGATGTTGCCAAGTGGCTGAGCAAGTGCGTGGGCTGCTGCAAGAGGTATTGCTCCTGACCGTGCGAACAGAAATACCTTGAGTCATAGGGGTGGTTGTCAAAATTAGGGTCCCTGTTTGGGTCCTTATTATAATACGGCACCTTATGTTTAGGGTACCCAAAAAAAGGGGACCATAATTTTGACAACCACCAATAGGGGTTTGGGGTAGGGTGTTTTTATGGCAGAGTTTCGGTTGGAATTGTCTGATTCCACTTGATGTGCGGGTCGCAGGCTGTTCGAGCGAGACTCCCTGACACATGGCTCAGTGTTGGATCCTAAATCCCCATAAGGTCGAGAGACTCGCACGGGAGTTGAGCTAACCGTGTTGTATTCTGTAGCTGCGAAAATATCGCATCGATACTAAAGGAAGGACGGCATTTCTGCGAGGGACTGTAGTTTCATGCTCAGGCCTGTAAACCAAGGAAGCACTGCCTCATGAACAGCTGGCCACTGCACGAGAAACCCAGAGCCGTCACAGTGCCCATACCGCAACCCCAAGAACTATCTTTACAGCCTAGATCCCAAACATTCCCACACCCTAGCACTGAACCAAACTACCGACCCCAAGCATGAAGAATCGTGAAACAGCAGCCGTCCTCGACTTCGCGAAGCCTTGGAATGATCATGCGGCTGCCGGAGACCATCATCAGCAGCCTTTGCCCAAGTCTCTTTGCAAGCAGAACGGCCAAGCAAACAAGGAGAAGCAGAAGGGCAATACGCTTGGTTTCCTTGCGTGAAAGCATAAAGTGCTACAGTTCCAGTTCCAGTCGCAGTGGTGCTGGCAGGATCCTATTGGCAAGAAGGGCGTGCTGGTGAATCTCGTATGACACCCTCCTGCACCATGGACGACATGCCACGGGGTTCCTGCGAGTTAATTAGTTAACGAGCATGCTCTTAAGCATCAAGCTGCAAGAAACATGTCGCTGGGGCTATTCACCCTTCGCAAAAAAAGCCATCACACGGAAAATTCTCTAGCTCTGCACTCAGGCCAAGAGTGTGACGACAAGTCCCAGGACAGCGGCGGAGGCAGTGCCCGCGATGGCCGAGCTGGGCGGCTCCTCATCGCCGTCGCCGTCGTCTCCATCGTCCCCGTCGTCTCCCGTGCCATCGTCCCCGTCGTCACCGCCCTCGGTAGTGGTAGTGTTGCTGGCCTCTGTCGTTGTGGTCGTTGTCGTGGTGGTCGTGGTCGGTTCAGGAACGCGCATGGTCATCTTGCCGGTGACCTCCAGGGCACCCGAAAAGCCCACGCTCGCGACGGCACTGGCGATAGCCTCATTGGTTGCATCCAAGGAGATGGTCTCGATCTCCACCTGCTTCACGATGGCGTCCTCAAGGCTGGGCATCACGACACTGAAGATGGCCAGCAGCTCGACCTGAAGCTTCCTGGTGTGGGCAGTCAGGCGTCGAACTGCCTGAATCTCAAGCATCACATCCGCCACAGGCACGTCCATCGCCTGTGCAAAACCTGTCTTCATGGCATCCTGCACGGTGGCGTTGTTGAGGATGGCAGCCGCATCGTCCACGGTGAGTGGCAACGTGACTTCGATGGTGCTGTAGGTCACTCCTGCCACGGTTGTCGTCGGGGTGACGCTCTTTGGATCCTGGAAGCACACACCGGACTCGAACATGGCCTTCCACTCGCACGTGGTATCCGATTCGCATGCCGCCGCATTCTCAACGTAATCAACCGCACAGTGGGAGATGTTGCCAAGCGTCTCCAGATATTCCTTCGGGCCGTAGAGCATCGGCGTGCACATTCGAGAGTCGACCGGGGCCGGGTTCCACAGGCTCGTCCAGGCTCGCCATCCGTAGCGTGTCTTGTCCTTCGGAGTGAACTCCTCGGTGATGTTCTGGTCCACGCTGATTTTCCAGGCGATGTAGTCGTCTCCGGTTGGTCCGAAGGACAAGCTGCAATTTGCCCACGACTCGTTGGCAGTGCTGCCTGTTGCAAGGTCCCACGCGTCGCAGAACATCTTGGCATCGTCCGTCTTGTACAGCACCTCGTACTTGTCGTGGTGGTAGTTCAGGGTGATGCTGAAGAGTCCCTCTGCTTGCAACATGGAAGCCTCACAGTTCGGACGCTCACCACAGTACTTGGAGTTTCTCAGGACGTACGGCAGCACCGGCTTGTCGCCCATGTCCATCAGAACGCTCACAGGTGCTTTGATGATGTGGTAGTTGTCCGTGAGGGCGAACCACTTCGTGTCGACGAGCCTTGCAGTCTCGCAGAGGTGGTAAAAGGGATCGCCGGTGGCAGCCTGCGTCGTCATTGTCACGTTGCCGGCCGGGGCCTCGTACATGTCAACCATTTGCGGATGCGGGTAATAGGTCAAGGCCAGGATTTTCTTGAAGGGGTGGTGCGTCGGGATGGTGTCCTTCAAGTGTCCCTGGTGATCGAACACTGCCACTCCCAGCGTCACATGTTCATCATCCAAGTTCGCGAACAAGTTCTTGCTGGAGCCGTGGCGGATGTAGGTCGGGAACTCGAAGCTGGTGTTCAGAAGGGTGTTGGCGTAGTTGCCCACAAGCATGGAGTCCCAGTTGTAGGTCTGGCTGTTTCCCCCTGCAGCTGCCCAAGCAGCTGCGAACTGGCTCGTGTTCCCGGACATCGCATCCATGGTAATCATGGCGAACGCGACATCGAAGGCCATTTCTTCCATCATGTTGCCGCCATCCATGCTACTGAATGCATCGTACACCGCCTTGGTCCAGGGGTGCTTGAGGTTGTACATGGCATTGCCGTTGATGTGCTCCACCAGGTAGGTAGGCATCATCGCTTTGAACAGGTCCCACTTGTCGCCCAGGTACTGGCTTCCGCGGATAGCCATGCTGTTGTCGGCCATCTCATGGGCCTCCGTCTCGAACTGATCGAGCCAGTGGTCCTTGATGGGAACCGCGTCCATCTCCATGAGGAAGAAAATGTCGTACGTGTCGTTGAACTCGCCCTCCATCATGGCCATCATGATCTTTGAGAAGACGGCATTGGGGCCGGAGACCCAATGCTTGTTCGTGGTGTAGCCACGGTTGTCATAGACGTCTTGCTCCGGATTCAGCTTGGCCGACATGTTCTTGATGTTTGTGAAGCAGTTCATCCAGTTGAACTCCTTCGAGTGGAATGACATTTCAATCTCACTCACCAGGCCCTTGGCATCTTGATCCATCTCCAGGTCCTTGCTGTAGACCAAGATGAGATCGATCTCGCTCATGTTCGACTTTGTGGTGCACGGAATTGAACCGGCCATATCCCACTGTGGGACACTGTTGTTAAGCAGCTGCAACTCCTCCTCGGTCGAGAAGACCCGGACGACTGCCAGGTGTTCGTGTCCTGCATGTCCTCCCGCTCGGATCTGGACCGCTGCCAGAGCTGCCAGAACCAAGGCAAACAGCGTCATGGTAGATGCAAGCGTGCCGAACCCTTGAACGTACCGGCTACGGTTGAGGATGTAGTGGCACAGAAACGATGATCGTGCGGCTGCCGGAGATCATCAGCCTGAGACTAGGGTTCAGGGTTAGCTTTTATGACTATCGGACCCACGGTTTGGTTAACCAGAAGATCATCAGAGACTGCAAGCGAAGGCAACATGACGGCGTTCCTCTTTTCATAGCTCGAAGCCACATACAGATACAGTCCTGCAGTCCCAGTCGCAGCGAAGCTCGCCGGATCCTATTGGCAAAAAGGGCGTGCTGGTGCATCTCGATTCGTGTGACACCCTCCTGCACCATGGACGACATGCCACAGGGCTCCTGCGATTTAGTCTTACGAGATACTCTGCATTGCAAAATGCTGAGGGTCGTACTGGAAAAATTCCATGGTAAATAATTGGATGATTGTTATCAAAACAGGTAGGTCAACGCTCTGTGCAGGTCACCGGGCATGCTCCGGAGCATCATGCTGCAAGAAAACAACGCTCGCGGGGGCCATTCACCCCTCTTCAAACATTACACCATCGCAAGGAAAGTTCATGAACATTCTATAAGTCTAGCTTTGCGCTCAGGCCAAGAGTGCGACGGCAAGTCCCAGGACAGCGGCGGAGGCGGTGCCCGCGATGGCCGAGCTGGGCGGCTCCTCATCGCCGTCGTCTCCATCGTCCCCGTCGTCTCCCGTGCCATCGTCCCCATCGTCACCGCCCTCGGTAGTGGTCGTGTTGCCACTGGCCTCTGTCGTTGTGGTCGTAGTCGTGGTGGTCGTGGTCGGTTCAGGAACACGCATGGTCATCTTGCCGGTGACCTCCAGGGCACCCGAAAAGCCCACGCTCGCGACGGCACTGGCGATAGCCTCATTGGTTGCATCCAAGGAGATGGTCTCGATCTCCACCTGCTTCACGATGGCGTCCTCAAGGCTGGGCATCACGACACTGAAGATGGCCAGCAGCTCGGTCTGAAGCTTCCTGGTGTGAGCAGTCAGGCGTCGAACTGCCTGAATCTCAAGCATCACATCCGCCACAGGCACGTCCATCGCCTGTGCAAAACCTGTCTTCATGGCATCCTGCACGGTGGCGTTGTTGAGGATGGCAGCCGCATCGTCCACGGTGAGTGGCAACGTGACTTCGATGGTGCTGTAGGTCACTCCTGCCACGGTTGTCGTCGGGGTGACGCTCTTTGGATCCTGGAAGCACACACCGGACTCGAACATGGCCTTCCACTCGCACGTGGTATCAGATTCGCATGCCGCCGCATTCTCAACGTAGTCAACCGCACAGTGGGAGATGTTGCCAAGCGTCTCCAGATATTCCTTCGGGCCGTAGAGCATCGGCGTGCACATTCGAGAGTCGACCGGGGCCGGGTTCCACAGGCTCGTCCAGGCTCGCCATCCGTAGCGTGTCTTGTCCTTCGGAGTGAACTCCTCGGTGATGTTCTGGTCCACGCTGATTTTCCAGGCGATGTAGTCGTCTCCGGTTGGTCCGAAGGACAAGCTGCAATTTGCCCACGACTCGTTGGCAGTGCTGCCTGTTGCAAGGTCCCACGCGTCGCAGAACATCTTGGCATCGTCCGTCTTGTACAGCACCTCGTACTTGTCGTGGTGGTAGTTCAGGGTGATGCTGAAGAGTCCCTCTGCTTGCAACATGGAAGCCTCACAGTTCGGACGCTCACCACAGTACTTGGAGTTTCTCAGGACGTACGGCAGCACCGGCTTGTCGCCCATGTCCATCAGAACGCTCACAGGTGCTTTGATGATGTGGTAGTTGTCCGTGAGGGCGAACCACTTCGTGTCGACGAGCCTGGCAGTCTCGCAGAGGTGGTAAAAGGGATCGCCGGTGGCAGCCTGCGTCGTCATTGTCACGTTGCCGGCCGGGGCCTCGTACATGTCAACCATTTGCGGATGCGGGTAATAGGTCAAGGCCAGGATTTTCTTGAAGGGGTGGTGCGTCGGGATGGTGTCCTTCAAGTGTCCCTGGTGATCGAACACTGCCACTCCCAGCGTCACATGTTCATCATCCAAGTTCGCGAACAAGTTCTTGCTGGAGCCGTGGCGGATGTAGGTCGGGAACTCGAAGCTGGTGTTCAGAAGGGTGTTGGCGTAGTTGCCCACAAGCATGGAGTCCCAGTTGTACGTCTGGCTGTTTCCCCCCGCAGCTGCCCAAGCAGCTGCGAACTGGCTCGTGTTCCCGGACATCGCATCCATGGTAATCATGGCGAACGCGACGTCGAAGGCCATCTCTTCCATCATGTTGCCGCCATCCATGCTATTGAATGCATCGTACACCGCCTTGGTCCACGGGTGCTTGAGGTTGTACATGGCATTGCCGTTGATGTGCTCCACCAGGTAGGTCGGCATCATCGCTTTGAACAAGTCCCACTTGTCGCCAAGGTACTGGCTCCCGCGGATGGCCATGCTGTTGTCGGCCATCTCATGGGCCTCCGTCTCGAACTGATCGAGCCAGTGATCCTTGATGGGAACCGCGTCCATCTCCATGAGGAAGAAAATGTCGTACGTGTCGTTGAACTCGCCCTCCATCATGGCCATCATGATCTTTGAGAAGACGGCATTGGGGCCGGAGACCCAATGCTTGTTCGTGGTGTAGCCACGGTTGTCATAGACGTCTTGCTCCGGATTCAGCTTGGCCGACATGTTCTTGATGTTTGTGAAGCAGTTCATCCAGTTGAACTCCTTCGAGTGGAATGACATTTCAATCTCACTCACCAGGCCCTTGGCATCTTTATCCATCTCCAGGTCCTTGCTGTAGACCAAGATGAGATCGATCTCGCTCATGTTCGACTTTGTGGTGCACGGAATGGAACCGGCCATATCCCACTGTGGGACGCTGTTGTTAAGCAGCTGCAACTCCTCCTCGGTCGAGAAGACCCGGACGACTGCCAGGTGTTCGTGTCCTGCATGTCCTCCCGCTCGGATCTGGACCGCTGCCAGAGCTGCCAGAACCAAGGCAAACAGCGTCATGGCAGATGCAAGCGTGCCAAACCCTAGAATAGGCTACAGCTGAAGATGCATTAGCGCTGACACTTGAATCTACTTCGCGAAATCCTGGGATGTTCACGCGGCTGCCCGACAACATCATGAGCAGCCTTACGGTGGGGTTTTAGTTTAGACTTTCGGGTTCAAGGTTGAGGGTTTGGCAACACAGGTGCAAGCAAAGACTGCAAGCAGAGGCAAAATGGCAACGCTCCTCTCTTTTCATGCTTGAAGTCGCACATTCCTACAAGTCTTACAGTCCAAGTCCCAGTCGCAGCGAAGCTCGCCGGATCCTATTGGCAAGAAGGGCGTGCTGGTGCATTTCAATTTCGTCTCGTGTGACACCCTCCTGCACCATGGACGACATGCCACAAGGCTCCTGCGATTTAGTCTTACGAGGTACTCTGCATTGCAAAATGCTGATGGTCGTGCTGCACTGGAATAAAGAACGAAACAAATTCCATGGCAAATAATTGGCTGATTGTTATCAAAACAGCCAGGTCCACGCACTGTGCAGGTTGCCGGGCATGCTCCGGAGCATCATGCTGCAAGAAAAAACGCTCGCGGGGGCCATTCACCCCTCTTCAAACATTACACCATCGCAAGGAAAGTTCATGAACATTCTATAAGTCTAGCTTTGCGCTCAGGCCAAGAGTGCGACGGCAAGTCCCAGGACAGCGGCGGAGGCGGTGCCCGCGATGGCCGAGCTGGGCGGCTCCTCATCGCCGTCGTCTCCATCGTCCCCGTCGTCTCCCTTGCCATCGTCCCCGTCGTCACCGCCCTCGGTAGTGGTGGTGGTGTTGCCACTGGCCTCTGTCGTTGTGGTCGTAGTCGTGGTTGTCGTGGTCGGTTCAGGAACGCGCATGGTCATCTTGCCGGTGACCTCCAGAGCACCCGAAAAGCCCACGCTCGCGACGGCACTGGCGATAGCCTCATTGGTTGCATCCAAGGAGATGGTCTCGATCTCCACCTGCTTCACGATGGCATCCTCAAGGCTGGGCATCACGACACTGAAGATGGCCAGCAGCTCGGTCTGAAGCTTCCTGGTGTGAGCAGTCAGGCGTCGAACTGCCTGAATCTCAAGCATCACATCCGCCACAGGCACGTCCATCGCCTGTGCGAAACCTGTCTTCATGGCATCCTGCACGGTGGCGTTGTTGAGGATGGCAGCCGCATCGTCCACGGTGAGTGGCAACGTGACTTCGATGGTGCTGTAGGTCACTCCTGCCACGGTTGTCGTCGGGGTGACGCTCTTTGGATCCTGGAAGCACACACCGGACTCGAACATGGCCTTCCACTCGCACGTCGTGTCCGATTCGCAAGCCGCCGCATTCTCAACGTAGTCAACCGCACAGTGGGAGATGTTGCCAAGTGTCTCCAGATATTCCTTCGGGCCGTAGAGCATCGGCGTGCACATTCGAGAGTCGACCGGGGCCGGGTTCCACAGGCTCGTCCAGGCTCGCCATCCGTAGCGTGTCTTGTCCTTAGGAGTGAACTCCTCGGTGATGTTCTGGTCCACGCTGATTTTCCAGGCGATGTAGTCGTCTCCGGTTGGTCCGAAGGACAAGCTGCAATTTGCCCACGACTCGTTGGCAGTGCTGCCTGTTGCAAGGTCCCATGCATCGCAGAACATCTTGGCATCGTCCGTCTTGTACAGCACCTCGTACTTGTCGTGGTGGTAGTTCAAGGTGATGCTGAAGAGGCCCTCCGCTTGCAACATGGACGCCTCACAGTTCGGGCGCTCACCGCAGTACTTGGAGTTTCTCAGGACGTACGGCAGCACCGGCTTGTCGCCCATGTCCATCAGAACGCTCACCGGTGCTTTGATGATGTGGTAGTTGTCCGTGAGGGCGAACCACTTCGTGTCGACGAGCCTGGCGGTCTCGCAAAGGTGGTAAAAGGGATCGCCGGTGGCAGCCTGCGTCGTCATGGTCACGTTGCCTGCCGGAGCCTCGTACATGTCAACCATTTGCGGATGCGGGTAATAGGTCAAGGCCAGGATTTTCTTGAAGGGGTGGTGCGTGGGGATGGTGTCCTTCAAGTGTCCCTGGTGATCGAACACTGCCACTCCCAGCGTCACATGTTCATCATCCAGGTTCGCGAACAGGTTCTTGCTGGAGCCATGGCGGATGTAGGTCGGGAACTCGAAGCTGGTGTTCAGAAGGGTGTTGGCGTAGTTGCCCACAAGCATGGAGTCCCAGTTGTAGGTCTGGCTGTTTCCCCCTGCAGCTGCCCAAGCAGCTGCGAACTGGCTCGTGTTCCCGGACATCGCATCCATGGTAATCATGGCGAACGCGACGTCGAAGGCCATTTCTTCCATCATGTTGCCGCCATCCATGCTATTGAATGCATCGTACACCGCCTTGGTCCACGGGTGCTTGAGGTTGTACATGGCATTGCCGTTGATGTGCTCCACCAGGTAGGTAGGCATCATCGCTTTGAACAGGTCCCACTTGTCGCCCAGGTACTGGCTCCCGCGGATGGCCATGCTGTTGTCGGCCATCTCATGGGCCTCCGTCTCGAACTGATCGAGCCAGTGATCCTTGATGGGAACCGCGTCCATCTCCATGAGGAAGAAGATGTCGTATGTGTCGTTGAACTCGCCCTCCATCATGGCCATCATGATCTTTGAGAAGACGGCATTGGGGCCGGAGACCCAATGCTTGTTCGTGGTGTAGCCGCGGTTGTCATAGACGTCTTGCTCCGGATTCAGCTTGGCCGACATGTTCTTGATGTTTGTGAAGCAGTTCATCCAGTTGAACTCCTTCGAGTGGAATGACATTTCAATCTCACTCACCAGGCCCTTGGCATCTTTATCCATCTCCAGGTCCTTGCTGTAGACCAAGATGAGATCGATCTCGCTCATGTTCGACTTTGTGGTGCACGGAATGGAACCGGCCATATCCCACTGTGGGACGCTGTTGTTAAGCAGCTGCAACTCCTCCTCGGTCGAGAAGACCCGGACGACTGCCAGGTGTTCGTGTCCTGCATGTCCTCCCGCTCGGATCTGGACCGCTGCCAGAGCTGCCAGAACCAAGGCAAACAGCGTCATGGCAGATGCAAGCGTGCCAAACCCTAGAATAGGCTACAGCTGAAGATGCATTAGCACTGAAGCTTTATTAATGCATGTCGCGAAATGCTGGGATGTTCACGCGGCTGCCCGAAAACATCATGAGCAGCCCTACGGTGGGGTTCAGGGTTGCTTGTATGACTGTCTGGCTCATAGTTTAGGGCTAAACCAGAAGATCATCAGAGACTGCAAGCGAAGGCAACATGACGGCGTTCCTCTTTTCATAGCTCGAAGCCACATACAGATACAGTCCTGCAGTCCCAGTCGCAGCGAAGCTCGCTGAATCCTATTGGCAAAAAGAGCGTGCTGGTGCATCTCGATTCGTGTGACACCCTCCTGCACCATGGACGACATGCCACAGGGCTCCTGCGATTTAGTCTAAAGAGCTGCTCCGCATAAAACTGATGGTCGTGCTGCACTGAATGATAGCTAAATAATTGCATGGTACATGATTGGCTGACGGCTGATTGAAAAACTAGCTACTTATATGCACTTGGCAGGTCACCGGGCATGCTCCGGAGCATCAAGCTGCAAGAAAACATGTCGCGGGGGCCATTCACCCCTCGCAAAAACTACGCCATCACACGGAAAGTTCAAGAACATTCCACAAGTCTAGCTTTGCGCTCAGGCCCAGAGTGCGACGGCAAGCCCCAGGACGGCAGCAGAGGCGGTGCCCGCGATGGCCGAGCTGGGCGGCTCCTCATCGCCGTCGTCTCCATCGTCCCCGTCGTCTCCCTTGCCATCGTCCCCGTCGTCACCGCCCTCGGTAGTGGTGGTGGTGTTGCCACTGGCCTCTGTCGTTGTGGTCGTAGTCGTGGTTGTCGTGGTCGGTTCAGGAACGCGCATGGTCATCTTGCCGGTGACCTCCAGGGCACCCGAAAAGCCCACGCTCGCGACGGCACTGGCGATAGCCTCATTGGTTGCATCCAAGGAGATGGTCTCGATCTCCACCTGCTTCACGATGGCGTCCTCAAGGCTGGGCATCACGACACTGAAGATGGCCAGCAGCTCGGTCTGAAGCTTCCTGGTGTGAGCAGTCAGGCGTCGAACTGCCTGAATCTCAAGCATCACATCCGAAACAGGCACGTCCATCGCCTGTGCAAAACCTGTCTTCATGGCATCCTGCACGGTGGCGTTGTTGAGGATGGCAGCCGCATCGTCCACGGTGAGTGGCAACGTGACTTCGATGGTGCTGTAGGTCACTCCTGCCACGGTTGTCGTCGGGGTAACGCTCTTTGGATCCTGGAAGCACACACCGGACTCGAACATGGCCTTCCACTCGCACGTGGTGTCCGATTCGCAAGCCGCCGCATTCTCAACGTAGTCAACCGCACAGTGGGAGATGTTGCCAAGCGTCTCCAGATATTCCTTCGGGCCGTAGAGCATCGGCGTGCACATTCGAGAGTCGACCGGGGCCGGGTTCCACAGGCTTGTCCAGGCTCGCCATCCGTAGCGTGTCTTGTCCTTCGGAGTGAACTCCTCGGTGATGTTCTGGTCCACGCTGATTTTCCAGGCGATGTAGTCGTCTCCGGTTGGTCCGAAGGACAAGCTGCAATTTGCCCACGACTCGTTGGCAGTGCTGCCTGTTGCAAGGTCCCATGCATCGCAGAACATCTTGGCATCATCCGTCTTGTACAGCACTTCGTACTTGTCGTGGTGGTAGTTCAAGGTGATGCTGAAGAGTCCCTCTGCTTGCAACATGGAAGCCTCACAGTTCGGACGCTCACCGCAGTACTTGGAGTTTCTCAGGACGTACGGCAGCACCGGCTTGTCGCCCATGTCCATCAGAACGCTCACCGGTGCTTTGATGATGTGGTAGTTGTCCGTGAGGGCGAACCACTTCGTGTCGACGAGCCTGGCGGTCTCGCAAAGGTGGTAAAAGGGATCGCCCGTGGCAGCCTGCGTCGTCATGGTCACGTTGCCTGCCGGAGCCTCGTACATGTCAACCATTTGCGGATGCGGGTAATAGGTCAAGGCCAGGATCTTCTTGAACGGGTGGTGCGTGGGGATGGTGTCCTTCAAGTGTCCCTGATGATCGAACACTGCCACTCCCAGCGTCACATGTTCATCATCCAAGTTCGCGAACAGGTTCTTGCTGGAGCCATGGCGGATGTAGGTCGGGAACTCGAAGCTGGTGTTCAGAAGGGTGTTGGCGTAGTTGCCCACAAGCATGGAGTCCCAGTTGTAGGTCTGGCTATTTCCCCCTGCAGCTGCCCAAGCAGCTGCGAACTGGCTCGTGTTCCCGGACATCGCATCCATGGTAATCATGGCGAACGCGACGTCGAAGGCCATTTCTTCCATCATGTTGCCGCCATCCATGCTATTGAATGCATCGTACACCGCCTTGGTCCACGGGTGCTTGAGGTTGTACATGGCATTGCCGTTGATGTGCTCCACCAGGTAGGTCGGCATCATCGCTTTGAACAGGTCCCACTTGTCGCCCAGGTACTGGCTCCCGCGGATGGCCATGCTATTGTCGGCCATCTCATGGGCCTCCGTCTCGAACTGGTCGAGCCAGTGGTCCTTGATGGGAACCGCGTCCATCTCCATGAGGAAGAAGATGTCGTACGTGTCGTTGAACTCGCCCTCCATCATGGCCATCATGATCTTTGAGAAGACGGCATTGGGGCCGGAGACCCAATGCTTGTTCGTGGTGTAGCCGCGGTTGTCATAGACGTCTTGCTCCGGATTCAGCTTGGCCGACATGTTCTTGATGTTTGTGAAGCAGTTCATCCAGTTGAACTCCTTCGAGTGGAATGACATTTCAATCTCACTCACCAGGCCCTTGGCATCTTTATCCATCTCCAGGTCCTTGCTGTAGACCAAGATGAGATCGATCTCGCTCATGTTCGACTTTGTGGTGCACGGAATTGAACCGTTCATATCCCACTGTGGGACGCTGTTGTTAAGCAGCTGCAACTCCTCCTCGGTCGAGAAGACCCGGACGACTGCCAGGTGTTCGTGTCCTGCATGTCCTCCCGCTCGGATCTGGACCGCTGACAGAGCTGCCAGAACCCAGGCAAACAGCGTCATGGCAGATGCAAGCGTGCCAAACCCTAGAATAGGCTACAGCTGAAGATGCATAGCGCTGACACTTGAATCTACTTCGCGAAATGCTGGGATGCTCACGCGGCTGCCCGAAAACATCATGAATCATGAGCAGCCTTACAGTGGGGTTTAGGGCTTTCGGATTCAAGGCTAAGGGCTTGAAAACAGTGGTGCAACAAAGACTGCAAGCGGAGCCAGCATGGCAATGCTCTTCTCTTTTCATGCCTTGAAGTCGCACATTCCTACAAGTCTTACAGTCCAAGTCCCAGTCGCAGCGAAGCTCGCCGGATCCTATTGGCAAGAAGGGCGTGCTGGTGCATCTCGTATGACACCCTCTCGCACATTGTCGACATGCCACGGGACGTCTGCGATGTAGTCTAGCAGGCACTCTGCATGGAACAAGTAGTCGTGCTGCACTAAGGCTAAGCAAGAAAATCCTTGACTAGTGAACCATACACTTAATTAGCAGGTTACCGGGCATGCTCCGGAGCATCAAGCTGCAAGAAAACATGTCGCGGGGGCCATTCACCCCTCTTCAAACATTACACCATCACAAGGAAAGTTCATGAACATTCTTAAGTCTAGCTTTGCGCTCAGGCCAAGAGTGCGACGGCAAGTCCCAGGACGGCGGCGGAGGCGGTGCCCGCGATGGCCGAGCTGGGCGGCTCCTCATCGCCGTCGTCTCCATCGTCCCCGTCGTCTCCCTTGCCATCGTCCCCATCGTCACCGCCCTCGGTAGTGGTGGTGGTGTTGCCACTGGCCTCTGTCGTTGTGGTCGTAGTCGTGGTGGTCGTGGTCGGTTCAGGAACGCGCATGGTCATCTTGCCGGTGACCTCCAAGGCACCCGAAAAGCCCACGCTCGCGACGGCACTGGCGATAGCCTCATTGGTTGCATCCAAGGAGATGGTCTCGATCTCCACCTGCTTCACGATGGCGTCCTCAAGGCTGGGCATCACGACACTGAAGATGGCCAGCAGCTCGGTCTGAAGCTTCCTGGTGTGAGCAGTCAGGCGTCGAACTGCCTGAATCTCAAGCATCACATCCGAAACAGGCACGTCCATCGCCTGTGCAAAACCTGTCTTCATGGCATCCTGCACGGTGGCGTTGTTGAGGATGGCAGCCGCATCGTCCACGGTGAGTGGCAACGTGACTTCGATGGTGCTGTAGGTCACTCCTGCCACGGTTGTCGTCGGGGTGACGCTCTTTGGATCCTGGAAGCACACACCGGACTCGAACATGGCCTTCCACTCGCACGTGGTATCAGATTCGCATGCCGCCGCATTCTCAACGTAGTCAACCGCACAGTGGGAGATGTTGCCAAGCGTCTCCAGATATTCCTTCGGGCCGTAGAGCATCGGCGTGCACATTCGAGAGTCGACCGGGGCCGGGTTCCACAGGCTCGTCCAGGCTCGCCATCCGTAGCGTGTCTTGTCCTTCGGAGTGAACTCCTCGGTGATGTTCTGGTCCACGCTGATTTTCCAGGCGATGTAGTCGTCTCCGGTTGGTCCGAAGGACAAGCTGCAATTTGCCCACGACTCGTTGGCAGTGCTGCCTGTTGCAAGGTCCCATGCATCGCAGAACATCTTGGCATCGTCCGTCTTGTACAGCACCTCGTACTTGTCGTGGTGGTAGTTCAAGGTGATGCTGAAGAGGCCCTCTGCTTGCAACATGGACGCCTCACAGTTCGGGCGCTCACCACAGTACTTGGAGTTTCTCAGGACATACGGCAGCACTGGCTTGTCGCCCATGTCCATCAGAACGCTCACCGGTGCTTTGATGATGTGGTAGTTGTCCGTGAGGGCGAACCACTTCGTGTCGACGAGCCTGGCGGTCTCGCAGAGGTGGTAGAAGGGATCGCCCGTGGCAGCCTGCGTCGTCATGGTCACGTTGCCGGCCGGAGCCTCGTACATGTCAACCATTTGCGGATGCGGGTAATAGGTCAAGGCCAGGATCTTCTTGAACGGGTGGTGCGTGGGGATGGTGTCCTTCAAGTGTCCCTGATGATCGAACACTGCCACTCCCAGCGTCACATGTTCATCATCCAAGTTCGCGAACAGGTTCTTGCTGGAGCCATGGCGGATGTAGGTCGGGAACTCGAAGCTGGTGTTCAGAAGGGTGTTGGCGTAGTTGCCCACAAGCATGGAGTCCCAGTTGTAGGTCTGGCTGTTTCCCCCTGCAGCTGCCCAAGCAGCTGCGAACTGGCTCGTGTTCCCGGACATCGCATCCATGGTAATCATGGCGAACGCGACGTCGAAGGCCATTTCTTCCATCATGTTGCCGCCATCCATGCTATTGAATGCATCGTACACCGCCTTGGTCCACGGGTGCTTGAGGTTGTACATGGCATTGCCGTTGATGTGCTCCACCAGGTAGGTAGGCATCATCGCTTTGAACAGGTCCCACTTGTCGCCCAGGTACTGGCTCCCGCGGATGGCCATGCTGTTGTCGGCCATCTCATGGGCCTCCGTCTCGAACTGATCGAGCCAGTGATCCTTGATGGGAACCGCGTCCATCTCCATGAGGAAGAAGATGTCGTACGTGTCGTTGAACTCGCCCTCCATCATGGCCATCATGATCTTTGAGAAGACGGCATTGGGGCCGGAGACCCAATGCTTGTTCGTGGTGTAGCCACGGTTGTCATAGACGTCTTGCTCCGGATTCAGCTTGGCCGACATGTTCTTGATGTTTGTGAAGCAGTTCATCCAGTTGAACTCCTTCGAGTGGAATGACATTTCAATCTCACTCACCAGGCCCTTGGCATCTTTATCCATCTCCAGGTCCTTGCTGTAGACCAAGATGAGATCGATCTCGCTCATGTTCGACTTTGTGGTGCACGGAATTGAACCGTTCATATCCCACTGTGGGACGCTGTTGTTAAGCAGCTGCAACTCCTCCTCGGTCGAGAAGACCCGGACGACTGCCAGGTGTTCGTGTCCTGCATGTCCTCCCGCTCGGATCTGGACCGCTGACAGAGCTGCCAGAACCAAGGCAAACAGCGTCATGGCAGATGCAAGCGTGCCAAACCCTAGAATAGGCTACAGCTGAAGATGCATAGCGCTGACACTTGAATCTACTTTGCGAAATGCTGGGATGCTCACGCGGCTGCCCGAAAACATCATGAATCATGAGCAGCCTTACAGTGGGGTTTAGGGCTTTCGGATTCAAGGCTAAGGGCTTGAAAACAGTGGTGCAACAAAGACTGCAAGCGGAGCCAGCATGGCAATGCTCTTCTCTTTTCATGCCTTGAAGTCGCACATTCCTACAAGTCTTACAGTCCAAGTCCCAGTCGCAGCGAAGCTCGCCGGATCCTATTGGCAAGAAGGGCGTGCTGGTGCATCTCGTATGACACCCTCCCGCACATTGTCGACATGCCACGGGACTTCTGCGATGTAGTCTAGCAGGCACTCTGCATGGAACAAGTAGTCGTGCTGCACTAAGGCTAAACAAGAAAATCCTTGACTAGTGAACCAAACACTCAATTAGCAGGTTACCGGGCATGCTCCGGAGCATCAAGCTGCAAGAAAACATGTCGCGGGGGCCATTCACCCCTCTTCAAACATTACACCATCACAAGGAAAGTTCATGAACATTCTATAAGTCTAGCTTTGCGCTCAGGCCAAGAGTGCGACGGCAAGTCCCAGGACGGCGGCGGAGGCAGTGCCCGCGATGGCCGAGCTGGGCGGCTCCTCATCGCCGTCGTCTCCATCGTCCCCGTCGTCTCCCTTGCCATCGTCCCCGTCGTCACCGCCCTCGGTAGTGGTGGTGGTGTTGCCACTGGCCTCTGTCGTTGTGGTCGTAGTCGTGGTGGTCGTGGTCGGTTCAGGAACACGCATGGTCATCTTGCCGGTGACCTCCAAGGCACCCGAAAAGCCCACGCTCGCGACAGCACTGGCGATAGCCTCATTGGTTGCATCCAAGGAGATGGTCTCGATCTCCACCTGCTTCACGATGGCGTCCTCAAGGCTGGGCATCACGACACTGAAGATGGCCAGCAGCTCGGTCTGAAGCTTCCTGGTGTGAGCAGTCAGGCGTCGAACTGCCTGAATCTCAAGCATCACATCCGAAACAGGCACGTCCATCGCCTGTGCAAAACCTGTCTTCATGGCATCCTGCACGGTGGCGTTGTTGAGGATGGCAGCCGCATCGTCCACGGTGAGTGGCAACGTGACTTCGATGGTGCTGTAGGTCACTCCTGCCACGGTTGTCGTCGGGGTGACGCTCTTTGGATCCTGGAAGCACACACCGGATTCGAACATGGCCTTCCACTCGCACGTGGTATCCGATTCGCATGCTGCCGCATTCTCAACGTAGTCAACCGCACAGTGGGAGATGTTGCCAAGCGTCTCCAGATATTCCTTCGGGCCGTAGAGCATCGGCGTGCACATTCGAGAGTCGACCGGGGCCGGGTTCCACAGGCTCGTCCAGGCTCGCCATCCGTAGCGTGTCTTGTCCTTAGGAGTGAACTCCTCGGTGATGTTCTGGTCCACGCTGATTTTCCAGGCGATGTAGTCGTCTCCGGTTGGTCCGAAGGACAAGCTGCAATTTGCCCACGACTCGTTCGCAGTGCTGCCTGTTGCAAGGTCCCATGCATCGCAGAACATCTTGGCATCGTCCGTCTTGTACAGCACCTCGTACTTGTCGTGGTGGTAGTTCAAGGTGATGCTGAAGAGGCCCTCTGCTTGCAACATGGACGCCTCACAGTTCGGACGCTCACCACAATACTTGGAGTTTCTCAGGACGTACGGCAGCACTGGCTTGTCGCCCATGTCCATCAGAACGCTCACCGGTGCTTTGATGATGTGGTAGTTGTCCGTGAGGGCGAACCACTTGGTGTCGACGAGCCTGGCGGTCTCGCAGAGGTGGTAAAAGGGATCGCCCGTGGCTGCCTGTGTCGTCATGGTCACGTTGCCGGCCGGAGCCTCGTACATGTCAACCATTTGCGGATGCGGGTAATAGGTCAAGGCCAGGATCTTCTTGAACGGGTGGTGCGTGGGGATGGTGTCCTTCAAGTGTCCCTGGTGATCGAACACTGCAACTCCCAACGTCACGTGCTCGTCGTCCAAGTTTGCGAACAGGTTCTTGCTGGAGCCATGGCGGATGTAGGTCGGGAACTCGAAGCTGGTGTTCAGAAGGGTGTTGGCGTAGTTGCCCACAAGCATGGAGTCCCAGTTGTAGGTCTGGCTGTTTCCCCCTGCAGCTGCCCAAGCAGCTGCGAACTGGCTCGTGTTCCCGGACATCGCATCCATGGTAATCATGGCGAACGCGACGTCGAAGGCCATTTCTTCCATCATGTTGCCGCCATCCATGCTATTGAATGCATCGTACACCGCCTTGGTCCAGGGGTGCTTGAGGTTGTACATGGCATTGCCGTTGATGTGCTCCACCAGGTAGGTCGGCATCATCGCTTTGAACAGGTCCCACTTGTCGCCCAGGTACTGGCTCCCGCGGATGGCCATGCTATTGTCGGCCATCTCATGGGCCTCCGTCTCGAACTGGTCGAGCCAGTGGTCCTTGATGGGAACCGCGTCCATCTCCATGAGGAAGAAGATGTCGTACGTGTCGTTGAACTCGCCCTCCATCATGGCCATCATGATCTTTGAGAAGACGGCATTGGGGCCGGAGACCCAATGCTTGTTCGTGGTGTAGCCGCGGTTGTCATAGACGTCTTGCTCCGGATTCAGCTTGGCCGACATGTTCTTGATGTTTGTGAAGCAGTTCATCCAGTTGAACTCCTTCGAGTGGAATGACATTTCAATCTCACTCACCAGGCCCTTGGCATCTTTATCCATCTCCAGGTCCTTGCTGTAGACCAAGATGAGATCGATCTCGCTCATGTTCGACTTTGTGGTGCACGGAATTGAACCGTTCATATCCCACTGTGGGTCGCTGTTGTAAAGCAGCTGCAGCTCCTCCTCGGTCGAAAAGACCCGGACGACTGCCAGGTGTTCGTGTCCTGCATGTCCTCCCGCTCGGATCTGGACCGCTGCCAGAGCTGCCAGAACCAAGGCAAACAGCGTCATGGCAGATGCAAGCGTGCCAAACCCTAGAGTATACAGGCTACAGCTGAAGATGCACTAGCGCTTACACTTTAATCTACTTCGAAATGCTGGGATGCTCACGCGGCTGCCCGAAAACATCATGAGCAGCCTTACAGTGGGGTTTAGGGCTTTCGGATTCAAGGTTAGGGGTTTGGAAATAGAGGTGCAACAAAGACTGCAAGCAGAGGCAACGTGGCAACGCTCCTCTCTTTTCATGCCTTGAAGTCGCACATTCCTACAAGTCTTACAGTCCAAGTCCCAGTCGCAGCGAAGCTCGCCGGATCCTATTGGCAAAAAGGGCGTGCTGGTGCATCTCGTATGACACCCTCTCGCACATTGTCGACATACCACGGGACTTCTGCGATGTAGTCTAGCAGGCACTCTGCATGGAACAAGTAGTCGTGCTGCACTAAGGCTAAACAAGAAAATCCTTGACTAGTGAACCATACACTCAATTAGCAGGTTACCGGGCATGCTCCGGAGCATCAAGCTGCAAGAAAACATGTCGCGGGGGCCATTCACCCCTCTTCAAAAATTACACCATCACAAGGAAAGTTCATGAACATGCCATAAGTCTAGCTTTGCGCTCAGGCCCAGAGTGCGACGGCAAGTCCCAGGACGGCGGCGGAGGCAGTGCCCGTGATGGCCGAGCTGGGCGGCTCCTCATCGCCGTCGTCTCCATCGTCCCCGTCGTCTCCCTTGCCATCGTCCCCGTCGTCACCGCCCTCGGTAGTGGTGGTGGTGTTGCCACTGGCCTCTGTCGTTGTGGTCGTAGTCGTGGTGGTAGTGGTCGGTTCAGGAACGCGCATGGTCATCTTGCCGGTGACCTCCAGGGCACCCGAAAAGCCCACGCTCGCGACAGCACTGGCGATAGCCTCATTGGTTGCATCCAAGGAGATGGTCTCGATCTCCACCTGCTTCACGATGGCGTCCTCAAGGCTGGGCATCACGACACTGAAGATGGCCAGCAGCTCGGTCTGAAGCTTCCTGGTGTGAGCAGTCAGGCGTCGAACTGCCTGAATCTCAAGCATCACATCCGAAACAGGCACGTCCATCGCCTGTGCAAAACCTGTCTTCATGGCATCCTGCACGGTGGCGTTGTTGAGGATTGCAGCCGCATCGTCCACGGTGAGTGGCAACGTGACTTCGATGGTGCTGTAGGTCACTCCTGCCACGGTTGTCGTCGGGGTGACGCTCTTTGGATCCTGGAAGCACACACCGGACTCGAACATGGCCTTCCACTCGCACGTGGTATCAGATTCGCATGCCGCCGCATTCTCAACGTAGTCAACCGCACAGTGGGAGATGTTGCCAAGCGTCTCCAGATATTCCTTCGGGCCGTAGAGCATCGGCGTGCACATTCGAGAGTCGACCGGGGCCGGGTTCCACAGGCTCGTCCAGGCTCGCCATCCGTAGCGTGTCTTGTCCTTAGGAGTGAACTCCTCGGTGATGTTCTGGTCCACGCTGATTTTCCAGGCGATGTAGTCGTCTCCGGTTGGTCCGAAGGACAAGCTGCAATTTGCCCACGACTCGTTCGCCGTGCTGCCTGTTGCAAGGTCCCATGCATCGCAGAACATCTTGGCATCATCCGTCTTGTACAGCACTTCGTACTTGTCGTGGTGGTAGTTCAAGGTGATGCTGAAGAGGCCCTCTGCTTGCAACATGGACGCCTCACAGTTCGGACGCTCACCGCAGTACTTGGAGTTTCTCAGGACGTACGGCAGCACTGGCTTGTCGCCCATGTCCATCAGAACGCTCACCGGTGCTTTGATGATGTGGTAGTTGTCCGTGAGGGCGAACCACTTCGTGTCGACGAGCCTGGCGGTCTCGCAGAGGTGGTAAAAGGGATCGCCCGTGGCTGCCTGCGTCGTCATGGTCACGTTGCCGGCCGGAGCCTCGTACATGTCAACCATTTGCGGATGCGGGTAATAGGTCAAGGCCAGGATTTTCTTGAAGGGGTGGTGCGTGGGGATGGTGTCCTTCAAGTGTCCCTGGTGATCGAACACTGCCACTCCCAGCGTCACATGTTCATCATCCAAGTTCGCGAACAGGTTCTTGCTGGAGCCATGGCGGATGTAGGTCGGGAACTCGAAGCTGGTGTTCAGAAGGGTGTTGGCGTAGTTGCCCACAAGCATGGAGTCCCAGTTGTAGGTCTGGCTGTTTCCCCCTGCAGCTGCCCAAGCAGCTGCGAACTGGCTCGTGTTCCCGGACATCGCATCCATGGTAATCATGGCGAACGCGACGTCGAAGGCCATTTCTTCCATCATGTTGCCGCCATCCATGCTATTGAATGCATCGTACACCGCCTTGGTCCACGGGTGCTTGAGGTTGTACATGGCATTGCCGTTGATGTGCTCCACCAGGTAGGTAGGCATCATCGCTTTGAACAGGTCCCACTTGTCGCCCAGGTACTGGCTCCCGCGGATAGCCATGCTGTTGTCGGCCATCTCATGGGCCTCCGTCTCGAACTGATCGAGCCAGTGATCCTTGATGGGAACCGCGTCCATCTCCATGAGGAAGAAGATGTCGTACGTGTCGTTGAACTCGCCCTCCATCATGGCCATCATGATCTTTGAGAAGACGGCATTGGGGCCGGAGACCCAATGCTTGTTCGTGGTGTAGCCACGGTTGTCATAGACGTCTTGCTCCGGATTCAGCTTGGCCGACATGTTCTTGATGTTTGTGAAGCAGTTCATCCAGTTGAACTCCTTCGAGTGGAATGACATTTCAATCTCACTCACCAGGCCCTTGGCATCTTTATCCATCTCCAGGTCCTTGCTGTAGACCAAGATGAGATCGATCTCGCTCATGTTCGACTTTGTGGTGCACGGAATTGAACCGTTCATATCCCACTGTGGGACGCTGTTGTTAAGCAGCTGCAACTCCTCCTCGGTCGAGAAGACCCGGACGACTGCCAGGTGTTCGTGTCCTGCATGTCCTCCCGCTCGGATCTGGACCGCTGACAGAGCTGCCAGAACCCAGGCAAACAGCGTCATGGCAGATGCAAGCGTGCCGAACCCTAGAACGTGGATGCGTTATACTGAAACTTTCATTTCACACGGCTGCCGGAAATCATCATGAGCAGCCTGACAGTGGGGCTTAGGGCCTTCGGGTGCAAGGTTAAGGGTTTGGCAGCAGGGATGCCAAAAGAACTGCAAGCAGAGGCAACATGGCGAACATCCTCCCTTTTCACGGCACATTCCTACAAGTCTTGCAGTCCAAGTCCCAGTCGCAGCAAAGCTCGCCGGATCCTATTGGCAAGAAGGGCGTGCTGGTGCATCTCGTATGACACCCTCCCGCACATTGTCGACATGCCACGGGACTTCTGCGATTTAGTCTAGCAGGCACTCTGCATGGAGCAAGTAGTCGCGTTGCACTAAGGCTAAACAAGGAATTCCTTGACTAGTGAACGGTCAAAATATCAACCCCTGCACTTGGCAGGTCACCGGGCATGCTCCGGAGCATCAAGCTGCAAGAAAACATGTCGCGGGGGCCATTCACCCCTCGCAAACACTATGCCATCACCTGGAAATTTCTAACTTTGAACTCAAGCCCAGATTGCGACGGCAAGTCCCAGGACGGCGGCGGAGACGGTGCCCGCGATGGCCGAGCTGGGCGGCTCCTCATCGCCGTCGTCTCCATCGTCCCCGTCGTCTCCCTTGCCATCGTCCCCATCGTCACCGGCCTCGGTAGTGGTGGTGGTGTTGCCACTGGCCTCTGTCGTTGTGGTCGTTGTCGTGGTGGTCGTGGTCGGTTCAGGAACGCGCATGGTCATCTTGCCGGTGACCTCCAGGGCACCCGAAAAGCCCACGCTCGCGACGGCACTGGCGATAGCCTCATTGGTTGCATCCAAGGAGATGGTCTCGATCTCCACCTGCTTCACGATGGCGTCCTCAAGGCTGGGCATCACGACACTGAAGATGGCCAGCAGCTCGGTCTGAAGCTTCCTGGTGTGAGCAGTCAGGCGTCGAACTGCCTGAATCTCAAGCATCACATCCGAAACAGGCACGTCCATCGCCTGTGCAAAACCTGTCTTCATGGCATCCTGCACGGTGGCGTTGTTGAGGATGGCAGCCGCATCGTCCACGGTGAGTGGCAACGTGACTTCGATGGTGCTGTAGGTCACTCCTGCCACGGTTGTCGTCGGAGTGACGCTCTTTGGATCCTGGAAGCAGACCCCGGACTCGAACATGGCCTTCCACTCGCACGTGGTATCAGATTCGCATGCCGCCGCATTCTCAACGTAGTCAACCGCACAGTGGGAGATGTTGCCAAGCGTCTCCAGATATTCCTTCGGGCCGTAGAGCATCGGCGTGCACATTCGAGAGTCTACCGGGGCCGGGTTCCACAGGCTCGTCCAGGCTCGCCAACCGTAGCGTGTCTTGTCCTTAGGAGTGAACTCCTCGGTGATGTTCTGGTCCACGCTGATTTTCCAGGCGATGTAGTCGTCTCCGGTTGGTCCGAAGGACAAGCTGCAGTTGGCCCACGACTCGTTCGCCGTGCTGCCTGTTGCAAGGTCCCATGCATCGCAGAACATCTTGGCATCGTCCGTCTTGTACAGCACTTCGTACTTGTCGTGGTGGTAGTTCAAGGTGATGCTGAAGAGGCCCTCTGCTTGCAACATGGACGCCTCACAGTTCGGACGCTCACCACAATACTTGGAGTTTCTCAGGACGTACGGCAGCACTGGCTTGTCGCCCATGTCCATCAGAACGCTCACCGGTGCTTTGATGATGTGGTAGTTGTCCGTGAGGGCGAACCACTTGGTGTCGACGAGCCTGGCGGTCTCGCAGAGGTGGTAAAAGGGATCGCCCGTGGCTGCCTGCGTCGTCATGGTCACGTTGCCGGCCGGAGCCTCGTACATGTCAACCATTTGCGGATGCGGGTAATAGGTCAAGGCCAGGATCTTCTTGAACGGGTGGTGCGTGGGGATGGTGTCCTTCAAGTGTCCCTGGTGATCGAACACTGCCACTCCCAGCGTCACATGTTCATCATCCAAGTTTGCGAACAGGTTCTTGCTGGAGCCATGGCGGATGTAGGTCGGGAACTCGAAGCTGGTGTTCAGAAGGGTGTTGGCGTAGTTGCCCACAAGCATGGAGTCCCAGTTGTAGGTCTGGCCGTTTCCCCCTGCAGCTGCCCAAGCAGCTGCGAACTGGCTCGTGTTCCCGGACATCGCATCCATGGTAATCATGGCGAACGCGACGTCGAAGGCCATTTCTTCCATCATGTTGCCGCCATCCATGCTATTAAATGCATCGTACACCGCCTTGGTCCAGGGGTGCTTGAGGTTGTACATGGCATTGCCGTTGATGTGCTCCACCAGGTAGGTCGGCATCATCGCTTTGAACAGGTCCCACTTGTCGCCCAGGTACTGGCTCCCGCGGATGGCCATGCTGTTGTCGGCCATCTCATGGGCCTCCGTCTCGAACTGGTCGAGCCAGTGGTCCTTGATGGGAACCGCGTCCATCTCCATGAGGAAGAAGATGTCGTACGTGTCGTTGAACTCGCCCTCCATCATGGCCATCATGATCTTTGAGAAGACGGCATTGGGGCCGGAGACCCAATGCTTGTTCGTGGTGTAGCCGCGGTTGTCATAGACGTCTTGCTCCGGATTCAGCTTGGCCGACATGTTCTTGATGTTTGTGAAGCAGTTCATCCAGTTGAACTCCTTCGACTGGAATGACATTTCAATCTCACTCACCAGGCCCTTGGCATCTTTATCCATCTCCAGGTCCTTGCTGTAGACCAAGATGAGATCGATCTCGCTCATGTTCGACTTTGTGGTGCACGGAATTGAACCGGCCATATCCCACTGCGAAACGCTGTTGTTAAGCAGCTGCAGCTCCTCCTCGGTCGAAAAGACCCGGACGACTGCCAGGTGTTCGTGTCCTGCATGTCCTCCCGCTCGGATCTGGACCGCAGCCAAAGCTGCCAGAACCAAGGCCAGCAGCGTCATGGCAGATGCAAGCGCGTGTCAAACGCTAGAATATACAGGCGTTTGCTGTATAGAACAAGGAGCACTGAGCCCAAAAACTACCGAAGGTTGCATCGAATTCTTTGGATGATCATAGTGCTGCTGTTTGGCGGTTTTCAGGCTTTCGGATTCAGAGTTGAGGGTTCCTGCAAGCATTGGCAAAACGGCAGCAATCCCCTCTTTGATTTGTCTTGCAAGCACACATTCCTGCAGATCTTACAGTCCCAGTCCCAGTCGCAGCTCGCTGGATCCTATCGGCAAGAAGGGCGTGCTTGTGCATCTCGTATGACGCCCCCCCTGCACCATGGTCGACATGCCACGGGACTTCTGCGATATAGTCTAATAAGCTACTCTGCATGGAACAAGTAGTCGCGATGCACTAAGGCTAATCAAGGAATTCCTTGACTAGTGAACTGTCAAAAGATCAACCCATGCACTTAGCAGGTCACCGGGCATGCTCCGGAGCATCAAGCTGCAAGAAAACATGTCGCGGGGGCCATTCACCCCTCGCAAACACTATGCCATCACCTGGAAATTTCTAACTTTGAACTCAGGCCCAGATTGCGACGGCAAGTCCCAGGACGGCGGCGGAGACGGTGCCCGCGATGGCCGAGCTGGGCGGCTCCTCATCGCCGTCGTCTCCATCGTCCCCGTCGTCTCCCTTGCCATCGTCCCCATCGTCACCGCCCTCGGTAGTGGTGGTGGTGTTGCCACTGGCCTCTGTCGTTGTGGTCGTTGTCGTGGTGGTCGTGGTCGGTTCAGGAACACGCATGGTCATCTTGCCGGTGACCTCCAAGGCACCCGAAAAGCCCACGCTCGCGACGGCACTGGCGATAGCCTCATTGGTTGCATCCAAGGAGATGGTCTCGATCTCCACCTGCTTCACGATGGCGTCCTCAAGGCTGGGCATCACGACACTGAAGATGGCCAGCAGCTCGGTCTGAAGCTTCCTGGTGTGAGCAGTCAGGCGTCGAACTGCCTGAATCTCAAGCATCACATCCGAAACAGGAACGTCCATCGCCTGTGCAAAACCTGTCTTCATGGCATCCTGCACGGTGGCATTGTTGAGGATGGCAGCCGCATCGTCCACGGTGAGTGGCAACGTGACCTCGATGGTGCTGTAGGTCACTCCTGCCACGGTTGTCGTCGGGGTGACGCTCTTTGGATCCTGGAAGCACACACCGGACTCGAACATGGCCTTCCACTCGCACGTGGTATCAGATTCGCATGCCGCCGCATTCTCAACGTAGTCAACCGCACAGTGGGAGATGTTGCCAAGCGTCTCCAGATATTCCTTCGGGCCGTAGAGCATCGGCGTGCACATTCGAGAGTCGACCGGGGCCGGGTTCCACAGGCTCGTCCAGGCTCGCCATCCGTAGCGTGTCTTGTCCTTAGGAGTGAACTCCTCGGTGATGTTCTGGTCCACGCTGATTTTCCAGGCGATGTAGTCGTCTCCGGTTGGTCCGAAGGACAAGCTGCAATTTGCCCACGACTCGTTCGCAGTGCTGCCTGTTGCAAGGTCCCATGCATCGCAGAACATCTTGGCATCGTCCGTCTTGTACAGCACCTCGTACTTGTCGTGGTGGTAGTTCAAGGTGATGCTGAAGAGGCCCTCTGCTTGCAACATGGACGCCTCACAGTTCGGACGCTCACCACAATACTTGGAGTTTCTCAGGACGTACGGCAGCACTGGCTTGTCGCCCATGTCCATCAGAACGCTCACCGGTGCTTTGATGATGTGGTAGTTGTCCGTGAGGGCGAACCACTTGGTGTCGACGAGCCTGGCGGTCTCGCAGAGGTGGTAAAAGGGATCGCCCGTGGCTGCCTGCGTCGTCATGGTCACGTTGCCGGCCGGAGCCTCGTACATGTCAACCATTTGCGGATGCGGGTAATAGGTCAAGGCCAGGATCTTCTTGAACGGATGGTGCGTGGGGATGGTGTCCTTCAAGTGTCCCTGGTGATCGAACACTGCCACTCCCAGCGTCACATGTTCATCATCCAAGTTTGCGAACAGGTTCTTGC